TCATATTTCCTGGTTCTTTTTTCACTGTGACATTTCAAGATGATTTTAAAACTTGGGCAACGGATTCTTCTACACTTTTTTTTTATTAATTACGTTCTCAGATTCACTTCTTTCCTATCTGTATGTCACATTTATTTTCATTATTGTTATTATCATCATCAGCATAAACCCTTCCTCGCTGTATCTCTAACTGGAAATACCAGCGCGTGGAAAACCTCCTCTCCGGGGTCGCTTGGGAACAGGTAGTGGGGGTGGCGGGGTGAGTTCAGCCTCCTCAACCTTCTCCCTCCCATTCCCTTTCCCTCTCGATGCTTGGTTGCTTACTTACCTTCCTTCTTACTACCCTATTACATCCCTCTCTTCTTTATATTTCGAATCTTTTTTTTTCGCTACTTATTGGCCTACCATCACACACACTTGTTTTTATCACTGTTTTCCCGCGTGATCTTCATGGATCAACATCTTTCTCTTCCGTGTCATCTCTCTCGCCTGACTACACACACCCTTAAGCTACTGTAATACCGACAGTTTAAAATTGCCGGTATATACAGACAAGATAATCCGATACTCCATGTACAGTTTTTTATAAAGAACGGAGACGGGTTACAAGGTGTTGACTGTAACACTGATGAGTAGTGTTGACACCTCTAACCTGTATAGCCCTGTATTACTGTAACACTTAAGGTGAAGGACAGTTGCTTTGCCCAACTTAACAGGTATAACGAGAACAAGTTTCACGTATATATATATATATATATATATATATATATATATATATATATATATATATATATATATATATATATATATATATATATATATATATATATGTTGGGATGACCATTTCTTCCTCAAAACTTTGTCAGGGCTTCATAAATAATTCTATACTTTGAACCCAAATACAACCATATAATGTATTTTATGTACTTTTATAAATGGATGTATTTTTGTATTTATTGTTACAGGCTTTAGTACTCGGTTTATCCTCACTCGTTCACTCTTCCCGTCTCCTTCACTTCCTCTCACTTGCCATTTTGCCCCCTCGTCACTTGTACCACCATTATCACCACCAGGCCCACCACCACTTTCCCGTTCCAATTTCTTTTGGCATCTCCACCACCTCTACTTTCACCAGTTGCTTCACCTCTCTCTCTCTTCTTTCGCGGTCTTTACCTTCCGTGTGGATAAGCAACGGGAGCCTAGAACACATTTGCCGCAGGACACGTGTTTTCCATAGGACATGTGTTTCCCCATAGGACACCTGTTGCCCAGCTAATATCCTAGAGAGGAAAACGCCTTCACAGATGACATGCAAGCTGTGAGTGACCTTTAAGACACAGCTCTCCATCCATAACTGGAGACTTTATCAGTGAGACCAAACCATAAAAGGAGACGAGAAAACTATGAAGCCAAACAACGTAACACAGGAGATAAACCAGGTTAATGAGACGACCAATTTCTCTTTTCTTCTCTTCTACTACTTTACACATTCTGCTCGTGAACAGTACATTAATCCATTGCCTACCCTGTTCCATTTAATTGTGTTTCTCTTTATTCTTATTCTCCTCCTTCTGTCCATCTTCCATTCACGTTTATTACGCCTTCTCACCAACATCAAGACCCACACACCACCATCACCTTGATCCTATATAGACTCACCTAGAGGCTACCGGATCTTCCCCTCACCACCACCATCAGAGTACCCCACACACACACCTGGCTCATAACACTACGCTCTGATGATAGTATAAGTATTACAGAACACCTTTACACACACACACACACCGCAAGTTAATTTAGCGTGCGTGGGAGATAAGGCAAAGTAACGGAATGGGAAAGACGTGTGAAAACATAAGTGAGAAGGAGAGAGAGAGAGAGAGAGAGAGAGAGAGAGAGAGAGAGAGAGAGAGATAACGGCCAGCATGAAGTATCTCAACATAGAAATTAACTTCCGGGGGTGAGATGTACCTGAGGATCCCATCCGGCAGACTAGTGTGGCAAGGTGTTCTCGTGTGATGACTTAGTGACCTTCATGACTGCGACACACACACAACTGCGCCTGAATCCCTAAAGCAGCCTCACCGCAGCAACTAAAACACCTCACAAACTAACTAATATGAAACATTACTCACATTTAACGTTAAACTAGAACGGGCTGGGGCTTCCTCGCGGTGCCAACTCTCACCGGGCAGCAGTACGGACAGTCAGGGTCGCCATACACATACAGTATATGCAAAATACGAACGAAGTAGTTCCTCCGCGATCTAGGTTATGTTGACGCAGATACAAGTGACACTGGTCCCCGCCGGCGTACTTTTCCTCCATTCATATATAGATTTCTAAGTCTGTCACCAAATCTAACAGTTTATCACAAAATTCTGATAAATTTAATGGAACGGGAAATCGACGCAACATTTTGGAGGGCAAAAACATAACTTTACTGTTGGTCAAATTCTTACCCAGTTATCTGGATTTACCGACTCATAACTTATCACATGTTGCCTCGAGTGTAATTACCTTCTCCTGGACCTTTAAAGATGAGAGTTTCTTGAAAATATTTAGTCATCATAAGACTGAAAAGTATACAAGACACTGTTCGTCCAACTGTGTCTCGTTGACAACTCTAATTTTGGGATACATGTAATACCAATTCTTAGTCTTGGTTCACAGATGATCATTTCAAGTCTATTCTATATTGGCCGAGTGGTGGTAGTCATGGGCAAGGAACTGGACGGAACTCCCCAGATCCAGGTGTAAAGGCGTCCAGGAGGGTCCGACTAATTACCCAAATGTAACCAAATGTAGCCAAATATAGCCGGAATGAAGTCAAATAATGGTCCTACATGAATAAATCGGACTGCCAATCACTTCTCGACTAGTATTTGGTGTCACAAAGTCACAAAAAATTGGTAAACTTAATTTAATCTGAGTTAATAGATCGAGTGCATGTACCTAACCTAACCTAACCTCGACTAGTATTTGGTATCACGAAGTCACAAAAAATTGGTAAACTTAATTTAATCTGAGTTAATAGCTCAAGTGCATGTACCTAACCTAACCTAATCTAATCTAATCTAATGTAATCTAACCTAACCCAACACAACTCAGATTAAATTAAGTTTACCAATTTTTTTTACTTTATGACACCAAATAATAATCGAGAAGTGATTCACAGCCCGAATTACGCTTGTACGACCATCAGTTGAATTCATTGCGGCTACATTTGGGTAATTCCTGGCTCCGTCGGTACATGCACGCGATCTATTAACTCAGATTAAAGTAAGTTTTCCAATTTTTTGTGACTTTCTGACACCAAATACTAGTCGAGAAGTGATTAGCAGTCCGATTTATTCATGTAGGACCATTATTTGACTTCATTCCGGCTATATTTGGCTACATTTGGGTAATTAGTCGGACCGCGTCCGCGTCCCCGTCCAGGATGATAAACTGCAGGAGGCCTCACTCACATGACTCCTTGACCAAATGAACTGTAGACCGATGTACCCCAAGCCAAGGTAACAGGAGGTGAGCGCCACACCTATCGCTGTTTTTCGGTTAACAAATAAAACGCGCAGGTGTCAACCAGCTAAATACGGAACATATTTGAAGAATGATTTTTTTTTAAACTGACACAGGAAAAATACTAAGTGGCAGGGACTACCACAGTGCTAGCCCGGGATATGAAAGATATTTTAGTAGGCAGAAATTTTAAAAAATAACTTTGTGGATTTAAAACGAATATGCCCTTAATGCATATAAAAATAATTCATAGTACAACCCCAATTCATGTTCTTAAAAGACAGGCTACTTACTGTCGGGTCATGACAGCCAAGTAAAAACAGCTGATTAAATTTAATTATTTCATATTACGAAAAGAAAATCGGTACCAAAACACTTGTATTGTTAACAAAGAATCAGTCTAGCGGTTCTAGCCTAAGTCTGACAACGAGAAAGACTACAAAATAAGTAAATAAGTTCTGAGTTCGATACCAATAATTGAATGTCACAGACACACTATCAACATATAATACAAAAAAAAATCCTCTTACGTCCGTCCGTAATACTGTTATTAGTTTTGCTGGTTAATGTTACCATTGTCACCCATGACATGAGTTCAAAAGAAATTATTTATATACTATACGCACGAGGCTGGTGTGGTTATTGTACCCAAGGACAGTAGTTACCATTATGCGATAAGGAATACAAATATAAAATCAACAGGTTTGGTTTGCTCAGTTTCGTCAGGTTGGTTTGTATTTGTCGTACTAAATGGTATTGTTGTATATAGGTCATGTATAACAGTTATCTAGCAAAAACAAACTTAAGAGTCGGGTAGTATTGGTACTAGGCACATCCATCTATGAATGACAGAAGTAATAAGTATTATAATCCGTGTATAGTACAGGTTCCAGCCTTCTGTACACCCCCCCCCCCCTCAAAACACAAGAGAACAGAAACATGAACTCACCTAAGCATATGTGACCAATTCATCTTCCATCTGGACTCCACTTCACACAGTACTTGAGGGATAACCTGCTTGTTTTAAACGATCGGTCATCTCTTTTAAATTCCTTTGTCACTGGTTCACATAACTGTCAATTTGTCAGTACCATATATATGCGATGCTTTCTCCCGTTAACATCAACAGGAAATGTAACACGTGGCCAACTCACTTTTCATAAACATACTGTACACACTAAGTTATGTTCACTGATATTTGGCATTTCCTTAAGTGATCGTAATTTGCAATGTAATCTGAACTTCACTCACACATACACTGCCACTTTATTACATTTTGCAATAATTATATTCCATAAAAATCACACTCAATATTTTGTTTTCCTGCTCAAACTTTGCAGGTATTTATGATTATTGAAACAGTACGGCGGAAAAATTAGAGACCAGGTATAAACTGGTGCACTGATAATCTATTACACAAATTATATAAACAGTTGAGAAATAACCAGAATATACACATATTTTTAATACACCAAACACACCTCAGTGAATCACTATCCCGACACACTTCACCTCGGCTCACCACTTGTGCCATTCACACTAACCTCTGCCGGGCCGGGCTGTCCCACACAACACAAGCTGCCGGCGCCACTCTGTACGACAACTGCGGGCCACCTCTCACTCACGGAACTAAGATAATTTTTTTGCAATAATACAGTACAGAAATACAAATCAAAATATACGGTCCGGTCATAAAATAATCGATTCAGGGTTTCTCTCAATCTTTTATCGTCAGTAACATTATATATATGAGTAGTACATTTATTATCAAGGTTGTCCCTCATCCATGATTTAAATGCAAAAAGAAAAAAAGACGTTATCACGATTGATGCCAAGGACGAATTTAAATCGCTCTAGCACATTCAACAGATCGAAAATTGCGTTGTGTTAGAATAACCTGTTAGTAGTGTCAGTTATTGTTCGACAGTAATGAGCGGCAGCAGGAGGTAGGGGGGTGGGTGCGCCTGAGGGGAGGGCAATGTGTGCATCACTGTTCTCGCTGTTGTGTTACTGTGTGGTGTTTTTTGTTATGCGTGTTTCCCCTTAGTGTCATAATGCATTTCTATCACCGACATAATTATTATTCTTTCAGCCATAACTGATTGTTTTAACTAACTACTGGAAATGAAGACAAGAAAACCGAACTGTATACAACAAATACAGTAATAAATCCAACCAAGAGTTATAGGTGCGTGTTGAGGAAGAATCAAGAGTTTACAAGCATGTCTGGAAAAGCAATTAGTGAAACGTATCATTGTGTCTCGTAAATCAATCTTATATATTCATTGTTGTTCCTAATCTAGTTGCACAGAACACCATCCAAATCTCTTAGACGAAAAACACGTATTGCCACGATCAACTCCTTATTCATATTCCTCTTCTGGTTATACTTTCGATTATATACTTATATGTTAAAGTAATGGGAATTTAATTTTCAACTTGACCTTTTGGACTTTCAATATGAACACCTACAAGGATAGCTATTTCTAAGATAACATTTTAGTATAGTGTTATTTTTCCTCTTGTAACCAATCGCGCCCCGAATAAACTAAGGTTGAGATTATTCTGACCTTGACCCTGAACCTTGACCTTTGTTGTTGTTTTGATGTATTTCTGGCCGCCGTTCCTCGATTATATTTTAAAAAATTTGGTAATAGCCCCTGCGTTTAGATAGTTTATTATTTCTATTTTAAGCAAATCCCTTCCGCGGGTTAATTCCCATCACATTACAGTACGCTCAGTTATTTCTTTAAGTTACCCTGAAGAGTAGTTTTCTTTTTCTTACCGAGTTTCAGAACATCTTCCCTGAAATGTTTCTAAAGATTATTATAAAAGTAAAATAGAACAATATATTTTTATTATAAATAATTAACACTGCGGTAAGTTTCTCTTAAACTATGGCAATAATTTTTCATAGCATTAAAAAAAATTAGGTTCAATAAATGTACATCGCAACTTGGAGCAAACTAACACGTTACAGAAAACGTTATATAATAAAAGGCAGACTAATAAAATGTTCTTCGATTACAGATAAATTGATACTCATAATTTCCGTTCCTTCCACTATAGTATAATAATGGGTAAAGGCACGCTCAGACTATTTCAACCGTCAGATTAACACTTTTACGCTTATGATTTTTTTTTAATTTACATTTTAGTGACGGTAGGAAATTGTGTAGAGTATCTGAACTTACCAAGTGACCTGACTTACAATTTTGTTTGACAGGTGTATGGATGAACAAGAGATTCCTAATGACTTGAGATCAGCATAAGTGATCCCCGGGTCCCGGAGGTGCCGGAGTGTAGGCACCAGTCTGGTGGCCCTCCTTTCGACATTTTCAATCAACTGATATCCTCTAGCATATCTTGGGGACCAGACGGGGTGACGGTACTCCAAACGGGAAGCACCTCACCTTTGAAGACCTTTATGAGAGATGGACCATCTAGGTAAATGAACGACCTTCTTATAAGAACTATTGCCTTATTTGCTTGAATTGCCTCTTCTCATAACGGCCCGAGAACTTCATATCGTTGTCAGCATACACATCCAGGTCCTTTTCACATGTCTCAGTTAATGTTTCTTCGTCCGCCGAAATATATGACACGACCTGAGTATATTGTAGGGGTATCGTGATATATTAATGTTGTCTAGCACTCAGGATGGAAGGAAACTCTAATGTGGTTTTCTTGTATAATATAAGTTATATGATAGACAGTCTGGTGCTGGAGGTGCTTGTGGTGAGGAGCTGCTCAGTAGAAGACGTTCGGTGAGTAGCGTGTTGAAGCGTGTTGAAGGAGGTAGATGTGCAGGAGCTTCGTTAGAGAAGATGTTGCCTGTTGCTGGCCTCCTGGTTGAATGAATGCTGGACAGCTAGGAGCTTGCTGGGAGGAGGTGTTGCGTGTTCAGGAAGATGGGCCAGAATGAGAGTTGGTTGGTGAGGAAGCTCAGAGAAGGACATGCTCGCTGGCGGGAGCGAGGACCGCCAGGCAGGCGGAGGAGAGGCGAGGGTCGCCAGGCAGCGGCAGAGGAGGAGGTGTTGCTTGTTCAAGAAGATTGGTCAGACTGAATCTCGATACGATACGAAGTCTTTAGTTAAGAGGTGAAAGAAGATTATTAGGGGTTGAAGGAAAAGTGGTGAAACTGAAATACAGTAGGAGTAGAAAGAATCTGGGCTCAACCAGATCGCTTCATCTTTCTTATTGGAATCTCAAGGGAGAGACAGAGCTTATATACACGCCGCAGCAGCCGCCAGTCCTCTATGAGTCATGTTGGGAAAACCCGAGAAGTAGCCGGTGACTAGTTTCGTTGCTAAGATACGGTAACATCTGGGGACAGCTCTCGCTTGGTTGCTAGGGGAGGCGGCACATTGGAATGCGATACGCAGTTTGTAGGGGAGACGTCCACTACAATATCCTTTTGCTTTTCGTAATGTTGAATCTTCACGGCAGATCTTAATACCAGATCCAGGCATCCAGACAAGCTCCCATGTTGCAGACAAAACAAGCAATTAAAATAAAATCACAAGAACAGAAAGTTCTCTCATTAATTAAGCATTCTCTCCAGTGTTCAGTGGACGAGACGGTCACGGCTGGGAACCTCCCCACTAAGGGTGCATCAGTCACGCCAGGTTCACGCTGTTGCTCTCGCTGTAAGTGGCTGGCTTCTTCCCTGACAGTGAATTATCTAGTCCACGGTACTTTTTGGCTGTGTTAAGTCAGCCCAATGATCACCTTTCCTGACCTGTCTGATAATGTTTTACGTGGGTGAGGGGAGTTTTTACAAGAGCGGATTAACGCAGTTTGTGACTAATCACCCCGTTGCCCTTGTTCCTTTAATGGAAGGATAATATTTGTATATAACACACGGTACATAAGGTCCACCTAGGGTATTCTCCTGTTTAGATGTTATACTTGGTGGTGATGATCACTATATCTACAATGGTGTTAAGTGGTGTCAATGGAGACAAAAATTAAAATATTACTCACACTGATCGCGACAAAATTAACAACAACAACATTATTAACAGCAGTACGAGCAACTGCAGAACCTGGATACAGTACAAACTTTGAACCAACATATAAATATATTATTTTTCACCTGAACAAAAACAAACTCACTTCTGACTTAACTGTGTAGCTAATAGTGAGTCAGACTGAGTTTAGGTTGAGCGGGTTTTATGCCAACTATAAACCAAACAGTGGAGATGAGAGTTTGTGGTACAGTGATTCGAATGTAATTTAACCTTATCACTGTTTCTTCCCCATAAACAAACGTAAATAACGAGAAAGAAGAAACATAAAATAATCCGCGCTTGAAGTAACTCCCTTAAATTGTAAAAGAAAATTTTGTCAGTTGGGAAAGTCGGACATTGAACTGACATAACGGTGAGCAGCTAAAAAAAAAATCCCTGAATTACTTTACCTCATGATTAAATAACTAAAACCGGTCAACACAGCAAATAAAACAAATCTGCATTTATCACAACTCTTCTGAGAAAGCCACAACAGAACACGTATCATATTTATCAATGTATAACCTTTAAAAATAATAACAATAATAATATCTACCCTAAGATTAACGAATAAACAACAACAAATTATAAAGAACACCAGACTAATAAATAGAATACAAAAGACAAGATATTATTGTATTATAACATTGATGCCAAGAGTAAAATTATTCAGATCTTATAATACCGACGAACAGTAATTAAGATCTGCATCCCAGTGGACATTTAGGAAGCAGGATACAGGGAGCTGATGGCCACGAACGGTAAGGTATCTCAAAGTAATTTTTCCACGTATATTTTAGGTAAAAAGAAAAAAGAAGAACAGAAGGTGGCAAGAATGGCGGGGTCCGGGAGAGAGAATAAAGAAGACAAAGAAAGACGGGAGAAAGTTTGTGACTCGGGAAGGTGTGTTGACTTAACCGCCTTCCTTTCTTGTTCTTGTTGCTGTTTACCCATTCCTTCCTCAGTTTACTTCCTTATATTTGTTATTTACACCCATTCCTTGTACTTGTTGACACTCTTTCCCCCTCAGTTTACCTCCTTCCTTCACTTTCGACACTACACCATCTTCAGCAAATTATGAGTAGCCTAGTCATCCTGAAAAGATACTTTACTTGAGCTAAGACAAACGTTTTATAATACGGAAAACTATAAAAAATAAATAAATAAATAAATAATAAGTAGATAATTATTTAAATAATTTGATAGCTAAATAAATAAAAAGTAAATACATAAAACAAAATATCCATGAAAAAATCTATGATATTGTAAAGTAGAAAACTGCGTCGCTTTCGTATTGTCAATTGAACAGCCCACAATGAGCCGCAAACACGAAGGTTAACTATAAAATTAACTTCGGTCAGTATGTACTACACAAAATGACCTACTTGTTGACTTGATGTTGTATTACTATTATTAATTACGATATAGTGAAGTTTCATGATTATCTGACCAACAGCGTCTGAGTCGAGGCAGTTTGTAAAAGACGTACGAACACACGGTTGATTTATTTGTCGTAGATGCGTGGCGAGGCAATAACATGATAGACGAAAAGGAATAGGATTTGGGTTATGTTTCGGTAACTAGATAGTTCACCGCTGTACAGTCCCCTCCCAGTGTTCCTGTTAGCGAAAGACAGCATAGTACAGTATTTTAAAATCAGTTTACTTTTTTATTGTGTGTGTGTGTGTGTGTGTGTGTGTGTGTGTGTGTGTGTGTGTGTGTGTAACCAATAAGAATGGGAGGGATCAGCCAACAGGGGGTGAGATGGGTGGGGGTGGTGTAGTCTACTCGAGTCCTTTTAGGTCACAGTGGCTAGCCGAGCGCTGAGGTGTCCGCACGCGTTCCTCACTCCTCCATCTCTATCACCGACACCCATACATTTAAGGTACACCCACATTTCACCAGATCCACCCATACATCACCAGGTCCACCCACATATCACCAGGTCCGCCCACATATCACCAAGTACACCCACATTTTACCAGATACACCCACATATCACCAGGTACACCCACATATCACCAAGTACACAAACACACACCGACAAATACACCCTTGGATCACTAGGTACACTCAGGTACACCCACACACTGACAGGCATATCAATACACCACCACATACATCAAGGAACACACACACACTAAAAAGTGATCGTCCACCCCCGTCATTAGCACTAAAGAGATCGTCGAAAGATAACCTATTTGGTTCTCTCTGACTTATTGTGTAGTGTTTCAGCGACGTCCCCTGTGCTCTTGTTGTCTCGTAGGGCGTGTCTTAGGGCCTCTTGGACGTCTGCTATGGACCTCAGACGATGGCTGTGTTCTAAGACTTCAATAGTGGTTAAGACGAGTGTATCTGGAGAAGTCTCTTGTATCGAAATATCTCCTTGATTGTGTGTAGCCCTCTTGATATCTCTCGTGCTGCGCTGGAGTTCGTCGTGTTTAAAGCCCCTCTGTGGTGTGAGTGACCCAGTGAAGTACCTGTGGCCTATGAGACAAACGCCTGTGTGAGGAGCCACTCTTCAGCTACCAAGACAGACAGGTGAGGAAACACACGAGTAGAATATATGCCGTTAATCAGGTGTGTGTGTGTGTGTGTGTGTGTGTGTGTGAGACTCCTAGAAGCACTTGGTAATAGACACAATCATAACGCGTCATTTCCGAGAAAGTTGGTAGAATTGTAAAATATCTTCTTGGTGGAAGATAAGGCACTTCTACCCGGCCGCTGAAAACTGCCCAAATTACAGTGGCCAATAATATTCTCAACAATTCCGAACCTGTCATAACACGCTCTTACCCCTAAACTGAAGTTAGTCCACCACTTCTACGAAACATTATCCATCGAAAGTACAATTAATAAAGGTAATAAAAACGTATTAACCAATTGATAATTCACTGGTAAAAATAGTCCACGATTCTTACTCCAGACATTAAGAAGTATTAAACATCTTAACCCAGAACACATTGTACTCAGAACCCTAACCCCCCTCCTCCTCCTCACCTTAATATTTTTACTTTATACAGGTAGTTACAAACTTAAATCTTCTCATTACTATATCCGCTTCAACATGCTCGGCTCGTGTGTCATGCAGTTTCTTTATTTAGACAATTAAGTTAAAGAAAACTCTATAGCCTAGGACTTTCCATGCCATACTATCATATATTTTGTTATTCTTGTGTCGTTGTCTGTAAGTTGGACAGTGGAATAGTTCAAAACTCTTATCATTTATCAATATACACGTTAATCAAAATTAGTAAACAACTTCATTATCCTCAGCACTAAAAAAATTAAATAAATAAATAAATAAAAAATAAATAATAAAATAAATAAATATTGAAGTGATAACCGTGGTAACATTATGAGATGTACTTATTACTACCATGCTATTGTACTATTCCAGATGATACCAGATGTTACATAATACTTCCTTGAGATAAATGTATAGTATACATCAGGTGCCTCAAAGAGAGCTCAGGTTCTCAACTGGCTCAGCCATGTTAATATTGTTATTATTACCCACTCTGTATCTGTATTTTTCTGGTTAAATAAACTGTTACAATTCAATTCAACAGGAAGAAGGATGAGGTGGGGTCCTTGGCCGAACTGTGTCCTGCTGCTGCTCCTCCTCCTCCATCTGGCGCCCTCCGCCACCACCTTAGGCCTAGGACTCTCAGCTAAGAGTGCCTTCTTCGGCTTCTCCTACATTATGTCCTTTCTGAGGACGGCAGAGAGGCTGTTTGCACTCCTAAGTCCCACTACAGGCGTCAGTAAGTGCCAGTGTCTCTTTACTTTGTATTTGCTTGTATTGTTTGCGCCATCACTATATTACAGAACTACATAGTATTGTTACCATGGTATTATGTACTCAGCTGGACCTATGGGTACTTGCATATCCATTTTCGTTTGAGTCGTTATTCCACTCCTACATGTCCGTTCCCCTGGAGGCGCAGCGCTGGATCAGAATTAACACAGTCTCCCCCATAATTCCCTAATATCCATTCTTTCTAACTGCCATTGTGGTTGACTTTGAAAACGGACACTATAATTCCCATCCAATATTCATGTATATAATCCATGACTATGTATACACCACAAATATAATTTGTGTATACAATTATAGCCGAAAATCTACTGAGGTATCATTGAGATAATTACAGTATTTATTTATGAACTGTAATTATATTTATAATATCATGATTAATTTCTACGTTAAGCCACGAGCATGTTATTTATGTGCATATTTTACCTGTTAAATAAATAAACTATTATCTGGTTGTTGACACTTGTAGTTATTGACTATAGCTGCGGGCGCTTCAGAACGAGTACATGCTGTCTACTCGTAGGACAATAAGTTTATTTCTTAACAAAGCTTTGACACCCTTCACTTGTTAACTAATGTTTTCTAAAAGTGGAGAGAGAGAGCTTGTCGAGTGCATCAGGGCGGCTCTCTAGCTTGTCGAGTGCATCAGGGAGGCTCTCTAGCTTGTCGAGTGCATCAGGGAGGCTCTCTAGCTTGTCGAGTGCATCAGGGAAGGTGTATGAAAATCAGAAGGATGGAAGGGATTAACAGCGTAGAGATAGACGGCAACCTACAACGTTCAGGAAAGGTAGGGACGGTGTAGGTTATGTATGGCAACACAACAATATCCTCATATGAAGAAACGTATGCTACATGTGGCATTCATATAAATGTAAAAGACTTATTATGACAAAGCAGACTTTAGTGCATCGGTGTGAAAGTAGGTCATATAAACCTGACAAACTGATTACTAGCTTCTGTACACATGGAGACAGTGTGGTCAGCACTGCAATCGTCCAACTTCGCTCCCCAACAAAACTCAGGTACAGTACCCATTCACTACGACAACTGGGTCGACTGTAGGTGCCCCCGGCGCGAACCCAGTCACCTTTCAGGCAGTCGACTGCATCCCTGCATTAGGTCTGGAAATTAACGGCGAGAGTTATTGTATGCGATAAAACCCAATGCGTATAAGTGGCTGGGAGACGATGTGAAAACTCTGAAACAGGAGGCTGAAATATGTAGATATGGGTCACGCACGTGAAGGAAAAGCCAAAGACCTGAGGTGTGGGTCAGGAGGATGAAGTGTTTAGTGAAGGACAGCGTAGAGGAGTCAGACTCCAGGATCCTGGAGGAGTACACTAAAGGGACAGGTCTTGGGAGGGTGTGAGGTGGGACAGTGGAACAGTTTAACCTGGGTAGCTTGAAGGTTTTTCTGTCATAATCACCTCCTCAAGTGGAACAGGGGTTTCAGATACACATAAACAAACAAATAAACTAATCAGTCACCTGTCAAGGATGTAAATAAGAAGTATACAAACAACAAACACAATAAACACAAGGGATACAAAAATCACCGAGACAAACAGATAATGAGCCGAGCACAAGCACACAAAGTCTCACCTTAAGACAGTCAGGCAAGGAAACAGAGAAGCTAGCATGGCCTGGAGCAGCGAGGAAGAGAGAGTAACAACAGCGGCGGTGGTCCGGGCGGTGACCCACATCCTCGCGGCCAACCCCCTCCCTCCTCTCACCTGCAGGTGTTGACTGGCGCCCTCCCACCAACCTTGACTCATTCCTACCCCGAGAAGGATGACTGTGTGAGTGATCTTCTCTTTAGTTATGAAACAGTGTGGAAGTGCGAGTGTGTCCGGCTCAGCACTCTAACGAAACGACCTCAATGCACTGGACAATACACAAGTAGCAACCTGGAAGATTAAGGACAAACCTCTATATTTGTAAGCACAAGCCTGTAAATTTAAGTATTATCTTATGAAATTAATTAAGTACAGGCCTGGAAATATACACACATAATTTGTGTTTTTTTTTTTAGGTATTGTCTCTAGTTAGCTGAATTTAACAGACACGAATCAGTAAACTATATCCTGAACGTTTGTCGCACGAAAAACTTGTCTGGTTAAGTAGGACGGAAATTGGATTTCAACGCAGCATAAAATCAGCCGGCAGTCGTTGATGGAGACATTGTATTAAACTCAAAAAGTCGTGCGTCTGAAGAACGAGAAACATTTTGTAAACGTTGATGACGGTGCTGTACCGAGGTTCACGGTCCAACAGATACTGAAAGCGGTACACCAGAGGCTTGCGGGACGACAGGTGTATTGAGGCGGTGGGGACGACAGGTGTATTGAGGCGGTGGGGACGACAGGTGTGATCTGGATGGACACAGATAATAAGTTCAAATTATCACACAGCTATATGTTTGTGTGGGGGAGTTTTTTAATTTGGTCCCGTATAGTGCAGCTTGAATACACCAACCATATTGTAGGCAAATCCATTTTTTATGCGCAAGGAGGAAGTGTGGGCCAACACTTCCCCAGCTGTTAAGTTAAGTACCCATTCATAGCTGGTTGGACTGGTGGTACCCTTCTAGGAGGCGAGTGTTGTAACAGTCAAGAATAACCCAGCCACTGTTGGTGAAACAGTAAATGTACGGAAGTGGTGGCGTCAAGCTACTATGGAATGGAACGGATACATCAGAAAATATGTCGCAGGGCAAAACAAAAATATGTAAAAAACTAGTTTACAAAAACTGTGGCCCACAAACTCAACTTTCACAATTACTTATCAGCTGGATGAGGAGATGGTTGTGCCCCGGTGCTGTGGGAGTAGTGACCAAGCGGCGCGGCTAGATTGTGGAGTTGTGGGTCAGTGTTGTGTTGCCTGGTGTTGCGAGAGGGTGAGCGGCAGCTCCGGCGTGAGCATACATTGCGTGATTATAACTACATCACCTCTCACTCCTACTGTTTCTGCAATTCATGATCTCCCCCATACAAGGATGTAGTGTATATCCTAAAGGACAACGTATCATATGGTTCTGAGTGTGTAGTGCGTGTGTGTGCAATACATTCCAATAATTTGCACTTCAGCAACATCAAACTGCTATGCAAACAGAATGAACTTGAAGTGAAAAAACGAAATGTGTCAAGTTTTGTGCAGTATCGGAGACGTCGAAACATGATAACTGAAACTATAGATGGAAGATATAACTATAAATTCCTGAACATTTTGTAATTACTAAACTTTCTTCTTGTAGATGCTTTATACGACAGAGATGTGTACAACGCCAAACAGTAGTGGTGTTGGAGATATTAACTATGGTTTATCGTTTATTCATACATTAGTCAAATATATGGGAGGAGTAATAATTAAAGCGCAAAGAATATGGAGGCTGTTTCTCACGATTCATACATCAAATGGACAACATAACATATGGGCGGATATTGTGGCTCTAGACGTCCTGTGGGGGGGATGACGTAAAATAAAATTTGAAAGATGCAGAACTTTTGTGAAAATAGGTTTAATTTCGTCCTAGTGTAAGAATAAGAGGCCGAAGCGTCCTACATATCAGAGTAGGATATGTTCTTGCCTGTAAGGATACAAGAACTATCACCCCAAGGGCGAGCACAGTTCCGACCAATGATACAGTACCTGACTTTACTCATCTACTGTGAAACCGGAAAAATGACCGAGATACGGTAAGAAGATCACCTGCCGGCAAACAGCGACATGATGCCTTTACCAAACAAACGTGGTGGTGTCTTCCAATGCCGGGCACTCCGCTCAGCCAACCTTTGCGTGTAAAAATACTATATATCTATTTTATTACCGCCAAACTAGACTCAACATCACCTTATTAAATGTAATTTTTAGTGTCAAATAGCATTTGTGTTTTCTGACCAAAATTATGCACAATAATGAAACATGTAAATAATTCTCTCGCTAACAGTAAGAGAGAGAAACCTGTGTCACCACCCAACTTTCTCTCTCCACTCTCCACCTACTCAGGGCCAGGGTCAGGTAGCTACAGACCGGTTTACGGGAGATAGTGGCTTTTTTAGGGTCGCTACAGGCTGCTTCTCGGCCGACGCTTTTCAGCTAAACACAAGTTTTTTTTTATCCCGGTCATAACCCTAAGCTCTAACCCCTTAACCCCGTTATTTAGACATCCATGAATGGTAAGAATAATTAGTCACAGAAAATAAGACTTTGACCACTGTATCACAGACTGTGCGCTAGTATTAATCTGCTTTTGTTAGAAAGTGGAGTATCAGTATTACGATACTGTCACTGCCACTGTATAACCTTCATCAGTTGGGAGGGGAGGGTTTTCATTTGCGGAGGCTGTCGACTAGAGGACATGAGATTCAACAGGTGTCTATAGACAGGAAGTTCAAGCTTTTCTTTATAACCAAAGGCTGGAAATGACAAGACTCAACCAACTCTTTAACCAATATTTTTTTTTTTCGTAAGAAGATCCGCCCTATACACTATACAGTAAAAACTTGCCTAACAGCCTGGCGACAACGGTAAAGATTACAGTTTAACGTGGCTTCTACGTGTGGAGAATACACAACACTTTTTTTTAATATATGGAAATGAAATCCTTCGTCAATAAATGGGTATGGCAGCCTCGGCTATAGTATAGAAATAATACAATGCAGACGAGCAGTTAACTAGTACGCATCTACTGACAAGCCAATCCTACTTTTCATGATCAATTTCCTCACTACGATTTCAGTAAAGGCTTCTTCAAAATAATGACTGCCACTGACTCATTAATCCCCCATGATCACCCGAGCCTTTCTCCTGAACCTGATCTTTATGAGGGGCATTCTAACCAGTTTTTGTCTCCTTCATGCCTCGAAACTTAATTTCTTTTCTCAAACTGAATCTTGAAAACATGCACCAAGAGCCATTCATGTGTTACCTCTAAACTAGGACACTTGGCTAGTGGGTGTTTTTACGTTTTGTAGACAACCCGTGCGTAAACAAGTGAATGAATAACTTAATAAAGTTCGGGAAGTAAAGGTGGTCTAGTGGGGCTCCGCGGTCTCCTTGTACTGTACTGTATTCAATGTTTTATACGAACTGCCCGGGTTTCCCACCTCCAAGGATTTTCGAGTCCGGAGATTTTACCTACATGGTCCGTATATTTGTTAACTCATGTTTACTATCGATCGATCGTTAACAAAACATGAACATGAAATAGTTAATCATTGTAAGCCATTACCTGATATTAAAAGAAAAAGAGCAAAATATCGGTAATAAAGACATTTAACTGTTGTAAGACAAATGGAAAATCAAAAGCTGTGAGTAAATGAGTAAGAGTAAATGAACTCGAAGACTTACCTTTATTTAGTGCCTTTAAATTGTATACTGTACTGTACTTTGGTTCTTTTCAGCCTTCACAAGAAGGTACACCATTTTTTTTTCCAGATGACTGTTTTAGTGAGTGGCGAAAATATTTACAGTAAGACAAGTCAGCTCATAGACGGTTGTTGTGATGACTGCTAGGTAGATCTCTGTGTGTTTCATCTCAATACAGGAGAACGAAGTACAGTACTTATACCAGTAAGATTTCGTTCACGGTATACCATTTATCACATTACAATACCGAATGTTACCAATTTTCGTAATAAATATGCAATCAGCAATGCAATACGTAACGATTTCAACACATGAATCAATATAGTGAGTGAATATCGTATCCTTTACTTGCAGAATGATCATGGAAAACGTCATGACAATTACATGAATCCCAAGAAGCCTCTAGTGAACAGAAAAACATGCACAATTTGGCGAAAAAAGTTGGTGTAGACATTCAGCTCATCCTCGCTTAATGCATCACTCCTCAACATGTTGACCAACTCCTTAGTGAAGATGGTGGTGGTTAGTGTGGTGCTACTGGCATTCGCTGCCCCATCACACTCATTCTTCTTAAACCACCTGTATGACAGCATCTCTAATAGCTTCTACGACCACTTCGTCGAGCCTATTGTGGAGGTTACAATTGGGGGCGGCACTGGCATAGTGTACAACGCCCTCACCCATAACTTTCTGGGTCTTCAGCCACATATAAGAAGGGTTTGGAGGACGGTAGTGGTGGATGGAGGAGGCTTCGTCATATCTGGAATCGCAAGCGGAATCTGGGACATCGCAGTCGGAATCGTAAGAGGAATCGGCAGGATAGTTAAGACGTTTGCTCAGAATTTATGGAATATGCAGTACAATTTAATTTACTACGGCTTCAGGCTCTTGAATCCGTTCTCCTTCGTCCCAGACGTGAATGTGTTGGTCCTAAGTGACGTTGATGTCGCCAAAAATATCAAAGTGGCGAACGGCAGCAACGCAAAGTCCAACCGAGAAGGAGGTAAGTGGCAGTGTGTACAATATGCGTGAACAAATTCATCAGCAGGACAGGTAGCTGGGCGAGAATTATGAACTGTCTTCCTACGCTAAAACTTGTTATGGTTTCTCTGCTAACTGCTAACACAATCAATTTCTTTTTGTACTATTTTATGGCAGTGAAGTGAGTAACAAAACTCTTGCTTGAGACGGCAACCTAGTCAGTCCATAGGTAGTGACAGTCGGCGAGCGTTACACTTTTACATTACGGTAATTTAGTCTGAATTAACAAAAAGAAACAAAAAAGCAAAAAAAAAAAAAGAAGATATTTAAGCGTCAAAGTTTTTCAAATTGAAAAACGCATAACAGCACCAGATATTAGAATTTATTGGAAATGTCTCATTTGGATAGTACACTCTCACCAAAAACTTCTCGAAAGCTATAAGCACTATGCAATCTGAAAAAAAGAACGAAGAATCTGCAACCCTTCCGAGATGACAAGCTCCATTTTGCTTATTCTCACATCCATCGTGCCCAGGTGTTCGAGAAGTTTTTGTTGAGAATGTAGTCTCGTCCAAGATTCTTCAAACACTGCTGGAGACAGTTGGCAACTCAAGGCCGTTTATTTACATAGTAAAAATTATGTGTGAATGAAAAAGTGATCGGTGATTGGTTACTTAGTTCTCCGTTGCTTAATTAATGGTTATGATTTGTTGTTTCGTATTATATTATACTACGTGTTCAAAGAATCTTGAACGACACTGCACGTACTATACTTTACCGTAGATTATGGGTGTGATAATGTATAGGAGAATTTTACCACAAATATAATAATAAACCAAACATAAATGGCACAGGCGAAAAGTGTAGCAATATTGCAATAAACAGCAACCACAGAATTCCGGAAATTTACTATATACCCAATCGATAGAACTATTTTTTCTATGGTCATTTCCATATATTACACTACCGTCGCAAATTGATAATGAGGAAGTTACTGAATTTTAAAAAGAATAAAATCAGGGCACCTGTTATTTTCTTGTGAAGGCTGACCATGCGACACTGTTATTACATAGTTGTTGGAGGTCCGTTCGGCTAGGGGGTTAGGTAAGGTTTAGTTTGGTTATACTGTATAAGTTAGCAAGCACAGAGTACCGGGAATTTAGAACATGCAATCGATAGAAACAACATAATGTCTGGTGTGTAATGTGTTCTTCTAATGTTTTCTTGTTGCGATTCGGACAATTTTGGGATTCGCCTTTACCACAAATCACTCATTTTGGTTCTCCCCCACCCAGAACCCCGAATTCCCCCATTATTGTTAGAGGGGGGGGGGGGGCTAAATCCAAAACGAGTGATTTCCAATAAAAACGAATGTCAGATCAAAATCCACCAGGAAAAAAAAATCTATTTATAATTCTTTGGTTGCTGTAATCTGCAATTTTACCAAAAGTGTATTATAATCATCACATTAATGTTACTAGTATTGTTACATAGGTATTTCTACTAACACTTACAGTGACTGCTGGTGCTCGCCCGGTTGTAAAGTGGTGGGGGGGGATGTTGGTGATGAAAATTAGTGCCTGTCCAGGATGCAGCTGCATTTCACACCATTTGAGCTCACAAGCTTAGAGACAAGCACTTTGGTGGTTGAAGTCCCCTACAGCACAAAACTTGTCGAAAATAACTTCAATTTTGTCCATATCTACATTATTGTTTTGTCACAAGCACACCCGTTCCATTTTCTTTGTTTTCATATCAAACCAGCCCTCCATATCATGCCACCTACATTACCATATATATCCCGACACCACTGGCTGATTATCACTACCTGGGGAACTTATTATTCACGAATATTAAGCACAATTTACATACAACAGAGAGCAGAATAGCTAACACACGATACGTAAACACCAACCACGTACCAGACACAACCAGAGGCTCACACTGGACGGTCATTGACTGTCTGCACATCGAGGCTGATTGGCTACTGGTGTATGAGAGGGACACTCCCACCCTCTCTTTACAGACTTACGAAGTTACTCCTTATACTATTGGCGTAACAAAGTTTAAGTGCATTACTTCCTGCTTCCATTTAAAATGGTTCAGAAAATTTATACACCAGTTCAACTCTTTAAATCCAGAGAACGAATTTACACCTCATTCTCAGGCTCTTCCTCTTGGTTGGGTTAGCAACAAAGTAAACGAACGGACAGCGATTCTTAAAGATTGAATACTTCACGGAAATAATTTGTGCTTCAGATTCATCTGATGAAGCATGTTATTAAAAATACTTTACCACAAATATATACAGCCACTGATTAAGTAAAATAGTATTGGTTACCTTACCTTACTGCTCTTCGCATATGGGTCGAGGTTTTGGAGCAAACCGTTTCTAAACGAGATTTTGATGCATAATCACCAGCTTCCACACGAAAAGCATATAGCTGCTTTACATTTCCTTTGTATCACAAAACATGTGGCCGCAGTTTTTGTACATCATTGTCGGCTCACCCAACATTTTTTTTTTAATATAAGGGGGGAGGGGGGCAAATGCCCCTCTTGCTTACTGGTGAGCTCTCCCAGTCAAGTGTTATGTACAATGTATTACTAACTTAATGTGTATTAAAAAGCATCATTTTTTCTAATGTTACATTTTCTTGGCGCCAACAGTAACAGTGCTGAGAGGTCGCCGTGCGGTGGGCATCGAGTACCAAAACCTCAGGTACGACTTCCTGAGTGCAACACTTCATGACCCGATGCAATGCCTCCCCCTCGTGCTCTGTGCCATACATGCTGACCCTGATGACCTTATCACTGCTAAAGAAGCAGCATTTAGAAAAACCTTTAGGTATAGTGACATGGCTGATTCTTGTCTGCTAGGCTGGATTAACGTAATTTATGAGGCTGTTTAGTTATGTATTGAGCAGCAACCCATTTTATTCAGCCCATTCATTCAGCATTCATAAATATGTTCCAAAAATATCTCAAGATGAGGGTTCCATGTCTTCACCCTCAAGCATCATTGGTGCCTATATTGTAACGCTTCTAAAAAAAGTTTTATATTTCAGGGAATAAGAATGGTATTTACAAGTACAGTATATTAGCAGATGAAATAACCGACACTGGTATGAGTGAATAACACTCCTCGATAGTTGCACTCAGTACATATCCACCACTCTCTAGTCTTTGCGAGATATATATATATATATATATATATATATATATATATATATATATATATATATATATATATATATATATATATATATATATATATATATAGAGTAGGGTCATTACCTAATACCTGACCATTGTGGACCTGGTCTCACCCTCCTCTGTATATGTACACCTTGGTTTGTATTTCTCTCTCTAGTCTGTACTCACCCCTTAAGATGTGATTACACGAAAGCGCTTGGGAACTTCGTGTTTTCTTCTTTCCTTGTGGTTATCATATATATATATATATATATATATATATATATATATATATATATATATATATATATATATATATATATATATATTATTTTTTTTTTTTTTTTACTTTACCTTTATTAACTGCAACCAATACAACAAAGGCCTTTATGGAAGAGTTAGGAATTATTATCTATCTTTTTTCGGGTGAAGATCTTTATTTTTTTTAATTAGTGGATCTTAATCAAGCTCTTCCAACAGACCATACTTCACACAGCAGCCAATCCCAGACTGGGCAGAACAGTATGTCCATGCAGCCGACATTGGAGCAACTACAAAATCTACGGACTCCTGCAGAGAGGCATACCCATTCTGTGGTTTCTCTCAATACTATCTAAGGAAACTCATTACTCAAGCCATGAATAGTGAGGGCAGAAGCTTACTGCAGACATATAAGTGATCCATGGAGAGATGAATGTTTTATATCCTTAATCCAATGGAGGAATGCTGTGAGCAATTCAGTACTGGGTATTTGCAAAGAGTATTAATCCCACAAGTGACATGGAGAAAAAATTTGGATGATATGTCCTATGTCTAGCACAAAGGACTTACCAGTAACTGGAGGGCTATACAGAAGTATTTGCAATCACGTTTTACCAAATAAATTAATGTTCTACAATTTGCTCAACGAACTTCATTTATTGATAACACAAATGTAAATATCAACGGCACTTCCAGTAGAAAATGCCCAATTTAATGTGCATCTTACCAGTTCCCTGAATACCGTACAGTCCACTTAAGAGATTTACATATCATGCTACAGTATATTTTAATTGTTCGTTACTAAATATTTTTTTTATTGTCTGGAATGAAGTTTGTATGAATTCAATATTTTGTTTATTGACAGGAGTAGTTCAGCTTAGTTTGGTTCAGTAAATCATCATATTACTTTACATTCCTTCAGCATGTATATACACAATACAGGTTCTACTGTATTCAATTCAGCATGGTATCAACACCTAATTGAGACAGGCTCCATCCTTTTGTCGGGCAGGGGTCCTCCCAGCTGAAATAACCTCCGACAATCACCAGAATAAAATACTAAAGTGCACCGCTGCCCAACAAAGGTTAGAGGCAAAATTTGGCAAGATTTTCTATTATAATTTTTGTCATGTTTCATTACTGTATAGGTTTCCAATACTTGTATCTAGTGTGAGGTAGCAACATTCTCAGCACTACGATTTCCAGCCCCTTATATTGTTTTCCGGTTTCAAAAATTCACTTTCAATGTCAGAAAATGTAAACTGAGGAGTCTTTGATTACCACTGGTTGTTGCCAATTCAGAATTCCAAAAATACATCTGAATTTGTTTGATATACTACTGTATTATAATTTATTTATTAATAATACTTTATATTTGTAAATTGCATTTCCATATCCTACCATAATTGACGTACCTTCTCAGTAGACTCATAATTTTAACAATTCTATTGATAATGAAGTGAATTAACAATGGTCATAGGTACTCCATATTTGAAATAATTACATCGTGGAAAAGTTTCTTCATAACCACAATAACAATATCCCAAACATCACTATCAGTTGGACGCTCGGAAGAGATTTACAAAAAACAACAATTTTACAATGCAAAATTTACACATTATTGAATATGACCACAACATCGAGACTTGCATGAAAAAAAAAACTCCAAATAACTATGGCAGTGACAGTGGAACAACACAGGTTGCCAGCATTAGGGCCCAAAGTCTCTCTAAATACCTGTAAATCTACCTCTTCCTAGCTGACATTTCGTAAGAGATACCCATAGTAAACTCCCTACACTTTATACTGTACTTCTATTTATCTCGGCCATTGATCCATTTTAGACTATGACATCATACTACAGTAGTCTGGATTACTCATTCAAGTATCTTTAGTGTCATGCTACTCTGAATTACTCATTTTTGCATCATAAATCTACCGATCTGCCATTCTCATTTGTATATCATTAACCTATCATACTTGTCTAGGTTAATCATTTGTGTATCATTAAACTGTCAGGCAGCAAGACACATTCTCACATGCAAAATTTTTTAAATATTTCTTTTCTTTTCTCAGCTAATCCTACATAAGTGTGGGATAGTACAGGTACAGAATATCTTTGAGATATTTGTTTTAATTAGATTCCATAGCAATTTTATCATTGAGTTTTTCCTTCTGTCCAACGTAAACAAAACACACGGCTGCCACACTGCACAAAACCTGATTAGCCCCTGTAAATGCACTAGTGAAGGGAACTACCTAATATTAAAAGATTACACTGAAATGACTAGTTACAGGATATCTTTATTTGCATATAAAACAGCACCTTCTTTCATCTTCTATGTTATCAATAATTTCAATATACTGTACCAATCTTTTACAAACTTAAAAGTACCGTACAGTATAGTTAATGATTATGGATACAAGCAAAAATCTCCATCATGCACACCTTACATTTAAGTGAAGAAATTATGGAAAGAATAAATGTGTACTAAAAAATTACAGCCAGTTTAAGAACATGATTGGTGTCAAACTGGTGGCAAGATAACTTAAGGTAGAGAAAATGTATGGCTCTTCCTGCAACTTCATGAGTGGCCGACACAATTAATGCTTCAAAATCTACAAATCCTTTTTTCAAACAATTCCCTAAACAGTATGCAAAAAGAGACTTGACATGCAATTATGGTTTATGAAAAACACAAATAAAAAATTCTAAGACTTGATATTCCTCTGTATATTTTTCGAGTGTAATAGTGGCATTAAACTGAATATACATACATACGGTGAAATACACGAGTGAACCGAGTTTCAAAACTCAATAAAAAAAATAAAAAATTCATACATTTATAACCAGCAACAACACCCATTGATTGTAATATAAAAGCCCCGAGTTTACATCCTTATCACTAGTCGGTACAGTACCTTATACTAGGGTATGGAACAAAACAAAACTTCTCAAAAATATAATGCCAAGGGGCAAACTTGTCTCACATAGGAGGTTTTAAAGTGTGCACATTGTTAAAAATTTAATTACATGTATAGTTAAAAATTTCTGATGTTGCTGACAGCTAAGATGAGCAACATCTACAAACATGATTGTAAGCAATGATCAGCAACCCCCTAAAACCTTGCTCACAAAATGAAATTATTTTTGTGTATTATATATTGTACTTGACACTTCAAACATTATACAGATGAGATTCATCATTAAATTCTATGAACATTACAGTAATCAATATTTTTTGTTCCATCTTCATTCACTGTTAATTTTGAGAAAATATATATTTACCGGTGCTAGTCAAAAGCTGTGACCCAAGATGCAAAGTGAAAAATAATTATTCGTCTACCATACATTAAGTCAATGTACATTATTAGTTACAGTATTCTTTAAAAATACATTCTAGTAATTTATGACAGCAGAATTCTTAAATCCAGCCAAATGTGGTAAATGGGCATTTATACCCTTTCTGTTTTGTGGCTATTGTAGGATAACAAGATGTATACAAAATCCTCAAGGAATAACAAAAACACTCAACTTTACTAAGCTCCATTCAAAATCACTCCTTTGGGATCTTCCTCATTATCTGCAACACGAGGAGAAATACGAGTCTTGCTCAGAAATGGCAAATAATTTGAAGTGGTTCTTGATGCTCTGTCACAGCTGTCTTCAGCACACCAGTACCCATGGGGACAGCAGGTGTCATTGTCACAGCATGTTGCCTATTGTAAGGACCACAACAGCATGTAAGTATAATTGTATATCATCTAAATTTCAGTACTGTATTCATTAAAAGATATAAAATATTATTAAAATACTGTAGTAATGTAAAAATTTCATAACCACTTGTTATGGTCAAAGGAATGATTTAGGTTGCCACTTCTTTTCCCAGGAAAGATTCCTTGGAGTTGAATGCTATAGATTCTAGAATATACCCAGGTAGTAAACTGTCAACTTTTGCATCCCTAAATTTTGTGGTTCTTCAAATTTTATTTTAAAAATAAACTTAGTTGGAAAGGATACAAGTTTAAAGAATGGCAAGAACTTCACTTGAAATCACTAATACCCACTGCTTTACATTTAATACTGTAGCATTTAGTTTGTAAAATACCGATATGCTATATCTGAAAACCTTAAGTTTTTTTTTATGAACATTTTTTTTTTTTTTTAAACAGGGATTAGCCCACCCAGGCATAGATCACTGACCCACATTGGGGCCTGGTGGGCAAAAATGTAATAGTAATACTAATTATAATAATAATTATTCTAAGTGAATAAAATTTTTAAAAAATACACCAAAATAAAATAATAATGATAACAATAATAATAATAAAATATAATAATAAAATTCTTAATAACAATAACAATAATACTGTACTGTATTAAAAAAATAATAATAAAGAAATACAAGAATGAAAAAAGATAAAATGAGAAACACGACCTAGACCTATAAATTATTATTATAATTATTAAAATATTTTCGCCTCCTAGGCCCCAACGGGGATCAGTGACTTGTGCCCGGGTGGGGAGAGGAGGAGGAGAAGAAAAAAAAAATTAATCATTCTGAAATCCGAAAAATTCTGAAATGCCTCTGGCCCCAAGGATTTCAGATAAGGGATTGTCACCTGTACTGCACAAACCTGATGAAAATATCCCTAAAATGAAACGTTAAACACAGCACGTACTTGTAGGTGAAAAACTCCCGATACAAACAGTATTTATATATATAAATTACATTAGAAAATTTAATGCTTACACGAGTCATGGGGCAACATCCATAACCACCACTACTAAGTGTGCAGCAAGTGTTTCCATCAGGGCAGACATTACCATCAGGGCATACCACAGTCCTGACTTCTGGGATTGTTAATTTAGAGCTGGCCTGTTGAAATATAAGTAGAGATTACATTCTATACATTCTTAAGCTATGTACTTAGTATTCAATATATAAAACTGCCACTAACTGTAACATGCATGTATTTTCCATAATGACAAAAGGCAACTGAGAGTTCTATTAAGGTGTTGGTAGCACGAGGCAATTTAATGGCATACATGATGCAATTTATTAAAGCTAAAATAGGTGCTCCATTAAAAAATAATGGTTTTTCTCATGTAAAGGTTATAACAGCCAATCACAAGAGGAGTTACTGTACTTATACACCACTATTATAAAGACATTTACATAACACTGCCTTCACCTCTTCATTTCTAATGGCAGATGAGAACTGAATAAAAGGTGGGAGATCGGGAGATCCTGCCCTCCTCTGGCACCCACTACCAATGCATTCATAACCATGGGGGCAACAATGTTCACGGTCACTGCAGCAAGTTGCCTGTAAATAAAATAGAAAACTGCGCTGAGTTTATTAAACACATCCCTTTGTGGCTGCAGATATAATATAAGCCAATCAATCCATGACTAATATGTTTAGTGGTGCACATAAACTACCTGTACTTAAGATCAGGGCAGTGAGGAGACCCCTAGAAAATTTCAAATCTAATGCTAAAACAGATCAATTATCTTTCAGCCAAAGTAGAATACCGATTGGTTTCAAAATATTCCTCACAGAGTAACAAGAATTAGGTAGAAGACTTACGAGAGGCATGGGGCAACATCCATAGCCACCACTCCTAATTGGACAGCATGTTTGACCATCTGGACAACGGGATTCTCTATCAGGGCACACAATGCCAACTTCATCCTTTTGCTCCGCTTCTAATCTTGCCTTTGGTCTTGACACTTGCGACAATCCAAGAGTTTCAATGGAGTGGGCAGGAACAGACAATTTCAAGTTCTTTTGCTGAAGAGATATGATAATTATGTTTCATCCAATTTCTTCCTCTTACAGCATGGTAGCCTAAGTACTGTACAGTAATGGCATTCACAGTGCAACACGTGCACATTAAACCATAACACATTATATCCTACTAATCCTTCCCAGTTCTTCCAACTCTCTCTTCTTGCATTCTTTCCACTTATATGAATTCATCTTCTCTACATTCATTCCCTGATGTTCACATCAATTTACTTTCATCATTTCCTTCACCAATACTTTCTGAAAATTTCTCCAAGTCTCCCATGTCTTGTAAGTCACTGTTTTCTCTTCTTTGCATAAGTTTCCTCAACACATAAGCATCCCTGTCCAACTAAATCATCCTTTCTCTCTTATAACTAAAGTATTTATATGCACTTTGCCACTGTAGTCTGTACTGTACACACATTGTCTTCAGCCTCACCCAAAGTTGTAAGCAGCATTAAGAGGAAAGTATCCCAAGTGAGTTATCAATTTATGATTACCAATTACATTTTCCTACAATCTGATAATAGTAACGGTGGCTGCTGCATCTGTACTGTATTTTGTAAGACTTGCTTGTACTCTGAGGAATGTGTTGTAGCCAAATGAATGAAAAGAGCCTAAGAAAAAAATAAATTCATGGATAAAAAATACAGATTTAATTAAGTTTAACACTTCCTCTTGAATTCAATTCACAACAAAATGTATCTTGATACAGGCATGTCTAAACACATATTAGTTATAATGTAGTCCTACTATTATTATTCCATTTATGTTGATCTTTGTAAAATAAGAAAATTGGGCTATTGTATACACCTTAATGAAATGTCAAGTCTTTCACCATCACCTTTTCTGTCTGAAGTCAAACCATTTCTTAAGCAGTATTTATATTTTAATTTGTATCTATGCTTTACAAAGTTCTCAGTAACATTGAAATATACTGTACTCACCACATCACAGGTTCCAAGGGTGGTGTTGCAGGTGGTTCCTTTAGGGCAACAGTGGATATAGTCTGTGCAACAAACAGCATCAGTATATGGGCAGCATCCATATCCTTGGTCCATGACCTTGCAGCAGGTATATTGCTCTTGGCAAGGGTGGCCGTCAGGACACTCGCCTCCTGGGTCTGTCAGAGATGGATCAAGCCCATTTACAATCATACTTGAGGTAAATATACAATATACACTAAAATCACAAAACATGTAAGGTAAAGACAAGTGTTCCTAATTTAAATGAATAAAGATGCAAAATGACCAATGTATTTGTTCATTAAAAAAATATATATGAACATCTGACTTCTTATTTTTAATTTGACAGTCAGTGGGGGTGGCCATAAGAAAAGAGCCTGCACAGACAGACGCCTACATGAAAACTTGTACATGTACCCATCATTCACTAGAATAAACCCGTACCACTCTAATTCAAGAATTACTGTCACACCATACCAGTACACTCTGGGGAAAAAATTATAGCACAAACCTTTGAGAAGTTGAGCCCTGACCCCTGTATACATTTAATGATGATGCTGCTGCTACTGCTACTACTACTACAAAATTTACATTCTATATAAAACATACCGGCAATGTTCTCTCGAGCTGGCTTAATTAGTGGCGTTGTCCTTGCAGTTTGAACTTTTGTCCTGGTTATCTTTGGAGGTTTCTTTGACTCCATAGGATAAGCATTAATAGAAAAATTCATGTTCTCATGCTGAAATTAACAAACATTTTTAATTATATATTTGGTGTGTATCACCACATGAACTAAGCCATAAAATAAATTGAAATCTGGTGCCAAGAAGTTATTTTTTTACCAAGATGCATATTCTCTAGCTGCTGATCTAATTTTGCAAGAAGGGTTAAATATCCAGTTTTTGTTAATTTTGTTACTAAAGAATGGATTCATCACCACCGTTTTACAGCCATTTACCACACTTACGTGGGTCAGCTGTACGAGTGGTAATACTTGATAGCAGCTCTCCAGGTTATATAGTTTCTTGCAGCTTCTCTCATTAACTTCTTAACTCTCTTGTTATTTCTACAACCTCTCCACATGAAATTCTTGGCTTATCCCTAGCTCCCCTCACCTCCACAAATACCCCTTGCACCTTTTGACCCAATTGGTCTCCTTCATTCTTCCCACATGCCTAAACCATCTAAGAAAGTGAAAGCAAAATTTATATCAAGGGTAGGTGCCTTCACTTCCTAGAGTAGTAATGTACAGTACAGTATATACTTTAGTATCTTTAATATATGATCCATTTGGTTTCTCTACACAGTAGTGTATAGCCCATATACTGTACAGTATTATCATTTAATGTTTAAGAATTTCTTAAGAACACTGTACTACAGTATTACTCAAGATATGTATGTATGTATGTATTGTTATGCATAGCGTAATGCATTGCGTTATGCATCGTGAAATATTTGATTCAAGTACAGTATTTAACAAGCAATTCCCTAAACTAGTTTGGGGAAGTGCTCGTTACCCTCCCCTTCCGTGTGGTGGTGGCATTGGTGTAGGGATGACTACGTGTCATGGTGGATTGTATGTAAAATATTTTATATAATTACGTATTTGTGAGCAAAACTGGTACTTGATACCTAAAATTGTCCTAAAATGTATGTATGTTTAACTATTTTTTCAGCTTAATGTAGAGTTGTTTTATATTAAGTGTTGTTTAGGCTTCGAGTTCACCGGTGCGTTTTGGGAAGTCGAGGCTGGGCATTGGTGCCGACAGGACGTCTGGGGTCAGCTAAGTATTGTATATTCAGTGCTGCTCTATTGTTATGTATTGTGTTTATTGTATAGTGTAATCAATTATTGTGTTGTAATGTGGTTTATGGTTTATATACTGTGCACATATTAATTGTTTATTAAGGATGGAAAACCAAGTGCAGTTTAACTTGGTAGGGAGTCATTACTTATGATGGTTTGTCCTATGCTAAATATTTCCAGTCAAATAATCATGCATATTATTTATTCTCATGAATTCAATTATCCATCAATTATTTAACCAGCACATTTATTATCGTAAACTTCTGTTATTAAATTATTTTAAATATTTCGTGTCGTGTATAATTCCAAACCTTCACTCCTGAATTGATGTGATAAAGCAAGAGGGGTGCGATTGAAACCAGGACGCACCATTTAGTCCTTATTTGTGTTTTTAACTTTTGCATTTTACCATTGTTTGTCGTGTATTGAAATAACGTTAATTTTAAGTTATAAATATTAAAGATTAAGCTGTGCCGAGTTGCCAATTAGTTTTTTGTTGTGCCGTATGTGCTCTCATTATTATATTCATCTTTAACTTAACTAAGTTGCTAAATTATGGCATAACAGTGTGTAAATAAATCTTGGTAGCACGTACATAGCATCCTCCAGTAGTCGCATCACACTGAGACCCTTTAGGGCAGCAGTGGAAGCCATCAGAGCAGCAGACCCCAGCATCATAAGGACAACAACCATAATCCCCACTGTACATCCTGCAGCAAGTATATACTCCTGGGCACCAATGCTCATCGGGACATTTCTTTCTTTCGGTCAAGCCTAAAAACATTAAAATACGGTTATTCCACTAGGCAGTCTAAAAACATGAAATATCATTTCTCCAACAATGTCATCTACCACAAAATACTAATATTCATCATCAATGAACTTTTCAACAACTTAGCTGCATACACTGTGCAAACTGTAAGGTGGAGTAATGCCAAAAGACTTTATTGGGATTTGTGTACTGAAAATAGTTTTGGCATCTTTTCTAAAGTTTTGTTGTTTTAAGTTAAATCCTAACCTTAGAAAATGCCTTTCACTATCAAGTTTTCATTTAAGATGCCAGTTTTAAGGATTGCATTAGACATTCTAATAAGGGATGCCTTTATTATCTAAGGTCAACAAAATAAACAATTATATCTCTTTTGCCAGAATATCAGCATGTATTATATTATGCTGCATGTATTTAGTTTGGCAAGTCTCCAAATTTTTTCCACAGCATAAATATGTTCGCTTGCTAAGCACATGCTCATGGGGCAGCAGCTGGTCTGATGCAGTGTTTTACCAGTTCTATGCTTGCCAATAAATTGAGTTTTGCACCACTAAAGGTGCCCACTGTTAGATATTTCAAGAATTATATTTGGAATATACAGACAAAAAAAAACGGATATCAACATATCAATTTAAAGTTTATATAACTATTATCTGTATTACCTTCAGACAGCTCCACTTCATTTGTCTCTATCTGCAGTTCTTCTACAACAGTTCTTGGTTCAATCTGCTCAGCGAGTTCTTGGTGCACAGGGACTTTCCAGAAGAATTTCACAGGAAATCCATTCTTTAAACAAGCCTGATAGACTACATCACATTGCATATCTGAAAAGGTACCGGTATTAATTTTCATAGTCTCCCACGCTGTGCACTTAAATCAGCATGATGTACAAATTGGAACGAGTCCCAAGATACAGTAATACAGTATTGTATACACCAAGACCCCTTTTGATAATGAACATTTATCTCCTAACACAACAACCATCTTCTCCAAAATTGTCACTTCTTTCTTGACCAATACCAAACACATCTGTTATGTGACATAAAAAATTATTCCTGCAGATTTGAGATATTTTGCTCACTTACACTTGAAACATTTAATTTACTAGTGAAAAATGGACAAATAAACAAATTCAAGGTCAACTCTTGAACAGACACCTAAACTCTTGTAATTACCTTAAAAGAAATGGTTACAACACCAGCATCAGGACATATTTTAGTATCCATAGATGCTTTAAGGAAATAAGTAAAGGACCAAGCAGATGTGCAGTAACCATACCAGTCATGAATACTGCAACACTCACTCGAACATCTATAGTATGTGCTTCATTACATATGCAGTACTGTACTCACATTACAACATTCTAAGACTAGGCTAAACTTTACACAAAGACCTCAACCCCAATTGATGCTATTTTACTACTTACACCCCTTCCCACCTCTAGCATTTTAGATATTTTTACATGTAAACATGACTTCACTTCAGTAATCTTTCATACTTTAGGTTTTAGTAATTTTTAGTTTGATTTACTGTCTTTGCACTGTAAATTTTGGGAAATAACATTTCCTCATCCACTAACACCACTGCTTCTTGACATATAATTGTTGCTCGTTGAGTTGTGTTTATATACTTTAGGATATTTTTGCAATAAGAATGACTTTGGTTATTTCAAATTTAGCCAAAATTGTAGCAGTGATTAGTGTGAAAACAGAAGTTTGTGTGTTACAGGTTAAGATGAGTGGAGACTGCAACAGACAGGGCAATTGACTGGCCCATCCAGTTGTCTGCAGATGAAATTGTAGTTGTCTCACATTCCTGGTCACCCCACAACCAGATCTTACATGTTGCTCTTATACTAACACAAAGTTTTTACCCAGAATTACGACGCCTGACAACTTAATTGTGAAGAACTCGTATATGAATTCGTACTCACATCAGTTCAAAAAACTTTTGAACCTTTGAAATTTTTGGACAAAATTTCCTCGACCTTTTGTAAATTGATAATTAAAACATAAGAGGTAAACCCAAGCTCCTTAAAATTCTTTCTTATGACTATGTTAATAAAACTGGTGGCGAGTAATGTACTTACCATGAGGACAACAGTGTACACGATCCGGGCAGCAGACAGCAGATACATATGGGCAGCATCCATACTCCTTATTGGCCAGTAAACAACATGTCATGGTATCTGGACATCTGCAATAACTGGTGTACTGTACCTCTAACTAATGTATTAAATTTCCTAATTAACAAAAGTTACCTGCACTACCTGTTATATTAGCAGGTACTGTACCCGACTCACACAACCTAATGACCCATTACTTTGGGTAATTTATAATCACAACTTTGAGAAACATAACACGGAAACAGAAACCAGTTAAAACACTGAACCGTTGTCAATTCAATATCGTCAGGGTTCTGGGCGATCAAATATTCCCCAAATATGAAGAAATTTTTTTTTCCAGTGCATTGGAGATATGTTCAGTGCAATGTTATATTAGTATCTCAGCCTACCTCATATATACTGTACTGTAAAGAACAGTATAATAAAACTAGCCTTTAAATGACCTACCTTCAATAAATGTCAAAATGAACATTGTAATAAGTGATAAACATAAAAAAAATGAATCTTACTGTATAAACATTAAAGATTCTAATAGTAGTACTGTACATTAAAAGCACAGTACTGTATAGTAATAAATACACTTTTAAGAGTAAATAAATTTATCTAAAATAACAATGATGATAAGTGGAGGATACAATAACAATGATTTAAACCCTGGAAGCCGTCTAAAACTTATTATATTGTATACTGTACTGAAAGTTCTCTAAATACAAATGGATTTCATACTTCAAAATATGTACTGTACCCATAATTGAAAAAATAAATATTTGTGTATAAAGGTTGTATTGTTATTTTATACAGTATGCAAATACAGTACAGTATTCTGTAAAAATCATCACAAATTGTGCTTAACGAGTAATTTATTGTACAAAAAATAGTAGGATCACAATTACCTAGTATATACTTATTACTTGACTATACTGTACATAAGTTAATCCATGCCTAAGGAATGTGAAATTATGGGCCAACTGTTAAATACTTTTGGGGGGTTGAAATGTGAGACCGTAGCTTTCAGAGACCAAAAACTACGCATATAAGACCGAAATCAAGACATAAAATAAAGTTCTTGATACCTACATCACCAAAAAATTGGGTGGGAGAGATGACTGAAACGGCAATGGAAGGAGGAAGAGGAGCATAGGGATGGAAGGAAGGGGGATGAGTGAACATTTATGTAGATTAAATTTTAGAGGAGGGTGGAGAGAGAGTGGGAATAGGAAGATGGATGAGCAAGATGAATTAGCTGGGGGAAATGATATACAGAAGGAGAGGGAAGGAGAGGGATAAGCCTTTGTAGTAAAACATGGCAACTGGAAGAAGGATGACAACCATAAAAGGGAAAATACAATAATGTGAGTACAGAGCAGTACACAGAAATAAGATAGATTAACTTACTTAATCAATCCACCAGGACAGAGGACTGCATTAACATACGACACTAGCACGGGTGTGATGATGATCACAATGTCCAAAAATCTTTGACCCATCATTTACTGTAGGTTCCAATCTGCAAATAATAACTTCATTAGTACAGTACTGTACAAATATTATACTTATGCCATTTCTAAAAATAAACGGTTTTAGGGGGGAGATAGGAAGGAACTGGTTTGCAAATAGGGTGGTGGACGGGTGGAACAAGCAGAGTTGCCAACTTAGCGACTTTGTAGCTAGATCTAGAGCTTTTTGTTTTTTTCTAGCGACATTTTAGAGCGATTTGCGACAAGTCTAGAGATATCCACAGAAATCTAGCGACTTTCTGGATACTTTTGGACTGTCCATGAAAACTCGGTTTTCCTAATTTCGAGCCATAATATATAGCAACGGGGTTACAGGGACAATGCATTTGAACGGGTTGAACTCATAAAACAACTTCGTCAACGCTTACCTGACAACATTCGTGTGCTGCAGTCGATTTCTTTTCTGAGTGCCGATGAATGCTTGAAGCCTATTAAATCAGATATACTTGGTTTGGCACACTTATTTACAGAAGATTCCAGCACCCTTACCAAGATTGATTTCCAGTGGAAAAAACTGCATCACACAATCTGGACAGAAACATCTAACACCCTAAAATTGTGGTCAGAAGTGGCAAATTACAGAGATGCGACAGGTGAAAACCCTTACCATGATCTGGTTGAAATTGCACTCGCTGCCTTATCTCTTCCGCATTCAAACGCAGATGTAGAGCGCACATTTAGTAATATGAACTTAGTGAAATCAAAATTGCGCAACAAAATGAAACTATCGACATTAAAGGCAATTCTTACAATAAAGTATGGGTTAAAAAGACAGAACACCTGTTGTGCAAGTTATGAACTTCCTAGTGATATTTTAAGAAAGATAGGGACTGTGGAGGCATACAGTTACAAGAGAACCTGAACCAAGCATGCCAAGCACTTCACATACTTCCAGCTCTACAGTTGTTCACACTACGAAGAGGACTGGGATGCAATTACTATTGAATAATAGGTAAGTGTGCACATTAAACTTTAAAAAAAAAAATATTTTTATTTTTACATAATGCATTTTATTTATACTCCGTCCATTATAGTCGGCATTATGAAAATATAATTTGCATCAAATTACTAAAGGGGGGGAATAATAGCTAGCGACTTTCCATGGAAGATTTAGCGACATTTAGCTACTTTTAGGTACCAGCCTAGCGACATTTGAAAATCCGAGTTGGCAACCCTGAGAACAAGCTTAGCAACCTTGTAGTAAGTGCTGGAAAGTTGGAAAGTTTCAAAGGGAGGCTGGATAGATTCATGGATGATAGGGTGGTAGTAACTCAACAGGAGCTGCCATGCACAGGCCAACCGGCCTATTGCAGACTCCTTATTTTCTTATGTTCTAATAAGCATTTTTCATGTAGGGTAATTATTGACGGCTGACCCACCTGTTAATGATGTAAACAAACCTGCACGAATGTACGTGTCCTGCACGGGTTGCATCTGGGGCTGCCAGACCAGCAGACGCCTGCCACTCCCTACTCGCACGTATAATACGAAATGTAACGATTTATTGCCCAAAACTGTTTGAATTATTACAATGCACAATCAAAATATGTGTCAAATGTAATACAAATATAGAATGAATTGTCAGAAAATACAAGTCAGTATGGACCTTGACTTGGTAACACTGCCTTAACGGCTTGATGATGCTTAACTTGTTGTGAGGGGGTTGGAGGGGGTCTTAAGTTGATCGTCTACACGTAAAAGTTCGAGAACAAATCTTCTATAATCGATATGATATAAATCGTCGAATTACAAAGGGGTTACAAAGATAGTTGAAAGTACAAACATTATTCTGACTTCTTACATTTTCTTACGCTTCACTTCATTTACAATACGTTAATTAAAATCCCTATGGTTTATGTATTATAGCTTATCAAACACCAGTGCACGTAATAATAAATACCTGCATGTGAATAACAGACAAATGATAACACATCAAGGTGATGACGGTACGACGTCAGCACGCAAAGGATGAACGCCAACTAACCAGAACACTAACGTCACGTTTATATAAAATTATCCACCCTCTCTCCCCCAGCTCACAGGGTTTCTTCCAGTACAGAACAGGTCCCAGACAGTCTGGGCTCCTGTTATATTGCACCATACGTATCACTCGTACAGGACAAGAGCGAAGTCGACGAAGGACAGGCAATTTGTCACCACTTGCCTTATTTACTTTGTCCACTTCGCCACTGATTACCTATTAACCACTACGGCGCGGTCATATATATATATATATATATATATATATTATGTGTGTGTGTGTGAATATACGCCAAAGTAAGTGTTGGTCAAGTCTGGTCTTAAATAATACAATTCTCACACCCTAAAATATTTGCCTAAGTTTGGCTGCGTCATAAATTCGGACAGGATACACTAACACGACTGGTAAATGTTTAACAAGAATTGAACGCGTCTAAAACTACAACCAACACACGACATGAAGACAAACTCGTTTAAACTATTTATAGCCCCACGGTATGATGTTCTTAAAATTTAGAATTTGTTTTTAATTTCGTTTATGCCGATTCTAAGTATGCAATTTTTTTTGGCTGAAATAAATTTTTAATATTTTATTGGCGTTTGTTTGCTGGAACAGTGTTTTTGACCTAACCTAATAAACAAGCCGGTACTCATCGCCAAATCTTGGATAGGTACCTGTGCGAGTTTACCGGTATGTGGCGCCAGCGTCACAAAGGGCAAAATTTATACGAGCTTATGATTGATTGATTGATTGATACGTTTATCGAGATACAAAAAACATTAATACATCTCAAAGGGATTGCATGTGTTCTGGGTATCAAGTTCTATCTACAGAAGCGAACACAAACACCTGTGGAGTTTTCGTAGGTTCTATTGGATAAACAGAGGTACACAAGAGGGGTGGCACTACTCACTCTGTCTGGGGGTCAACTAGCCTTTCGGGGACATGTGGTAAGTGATACATTAGCAGCTTCCATATGTCGCCAGGCACATTAATTAAGCGTGTGGGACATGGTAAATACATTGACACACGCTGCTAGCTAGGCTGAATAAATAGTGTATATAAATGGAGCACATACATAATATACATACAGCATACATAATATACATACAGGGATGAAGTGACATAAGTCATCCCCACCCCAGTCCAGGAATGTCCCTCTCAGGACTCGCATAAATCCCTAATATTTCATATAATCAGTTATATACATACATAGTTATATTCTAGATGCAAAATTTCTATATTTCATCTATTTTCCTATTTTTAAACATCCACTCTATTTGCTTGGAGACATTATTTATATGGGCATTTCTATATACATTAAGCAATGGGCATTCCAGTATATAATGTGGCAGGGTATGGTATCTGGGTGTTCTACAAACTCTACATTCTTTATCCTGTTCACTTCTCTCAGCTCCAAGTTCCCAATAATATTTATATTCTAATCTTAACCTCATATACACTGAATCTTTCCACCTACTCCTATCTTTCCCATTTGTAAATTTTGTGTTCATGAGAACATGATGGTAATGTTTCATTGTTTCACTTTTCTCGTATATTTCATTCCTTTTGAAATAATCTTCTATTGATTGTATTTTCCGTAATTTGCTCCTTAATTGTTTCAAGGTTTTAGTACATATTATGACGATCTCGGCCTTTTCCGTGGCTCTTTTTGCTATAATATCTACTGCTTCATTAAGACCAATGCCTACATGTGAAGGGACCCATACAAATTGAACATTATGGCCATTTTTCCTTATTGTATTTACTAATTTTCTACATGAACCAATAATGTGTTCAAAGACTGGACTCCCACTGTTCAAAGAATCCAAAGCTGCTATACGAGCTTATGTTAAGCACCATTGGCAAGCACTTCTGATTCATAGACCTGTAAGTCACAAATAAAACATTTCCACAAAACACGAGTTTCACATTTAAAATCAGCATGAAAACTGTATCTTTAATGCAAGTTTAAAAAATCTGGAACACAGTCCAATCTTTTAAGAAGACCCGTCCCACGTCAAGAGTCACCATCATGTAGCACACTAGAACAGTTTTAGTATTGCTCTGCTGTATTTACTATATTTACATTAATATTTGCCACCCATAATGGTATAAAATTATGTGTTCTCAAAGCCCTCTTCCCGATCTTTGCAAATTGTGTAAAATAGCCAGTTAATCTTAAAAACGAAAGTAAAAAGAAGCACTATTTAGGATTTTCTTTTTACTTGGTCTCCACCCATATGTCTGCTCCATGGGCGGGTAGGAATACAACAATCACCAGTCTCGCCATTATCTACCTTCACTTGCACTTCTAATTCCTTCTTTGTCACTTTCCCTATTACAGTACTGTTACTTAATTCATTGCCATCTCTTAAGAGTTCTTACAGATTAATCCAGTAACTATCAAAGTTACCAGAAAGTATCACACTTGTTGATGGAGAAGCCAAAGGCATAAAAAAAAAAAAAACACTGCACATTGGACAAAGAGCAATAAAATTTTGTTCTGACGATATATTACTAACTTACAAAAATTTTAATGCTAACCTAACCCATCCCAACCTAACTTAACCTATCTCAAACCATTCCAGCCTAACTTAACCTATCTCAATCTGACTTAACCTCTCCCAACCCATCCCAGCCTAATTTAAGCTAACCTACTGGTATGACTAAAAATCTCCTCCAGGAAGTGTCTAACTGAAGAATCTCCAAACCCCCCTCCCGCACTACCTCTCACCAAGACCTGGCCTGGGGCATGCATTAGAAGAAGTGTGATCAGTGTGAACCCCCACCTCCCAAAAAATGGTTTCCTCCTTTACTGCCAGTGGACAATAAAGCTCATAACTAAGTAGCAGAACAGACCGACCTCCCCAGGGCCAGTAAACTGATAAGCGATGAAAAGGTAAATTTAATGAAATTACAGAGATAATTAAACTATGTTCATTATACTGTATACTAAATTGTCGTCCACATTTCTCCACTCCTGAATAAACTTTGCTGATAACTATGAGAGCATTGCAAATTGTACATAATAACATAAAATATTTTAACCCGTTCTTTTTGGACACACTGCGTTCCACCACGGGCAGCCTTTGGGTAATAAACTGTACAGTACTGTACTTGATATCACAAACTGTCTCATTAAAAATTTTATACATTTACACCTGGATACTGTATTGTGAAAACAAAATTTACTGTATACAAAGTACTGCACTTCCATGATTTCACATGAAGAGGTAAATCCTAACCTTACAAGATATTGTGGATCACCTGAAGATTAGGCACCTAAGCTTATTTCACATGAAGATTAACCACCCTAATGCTAACCTAAACCTCCCCTAGGCAGACGTCAGGGGAATCGGTAATCTTCATGTAATCTGATACTGTAATCTTTGAGGTATCACTGAATTTTTCCACTGCTTGAGAATATTTCTCCTGAGAACACAGCTAACCAATACAAAGATGGGAAAAATGGAGAGAATCATTTAAATTTTACACTATAGTCTGTTAGGAGTATTTCATGATGTGTAGGTCTGTACTGTACTCCATATGGCAGGTACAGTATCTGCCATATAGTTTTTTTTTAATTAGAGTTTACTACATACTAATTAAGAAGATGTAATGACAGCTTTTACTAAGAAGAAAAATACTATAGGTCTTTCAGCACAAACCAAGGTTAGTAATTACTGTACAGTACCCTAGTCCATCACAATAAAATATTATAGAGAAATATTAAACACTGACAAAATTTTATCAAAGCACACCTTAATGAAGATGCAAAACCAGATAAAACATATGACTGTTAATGTCATTTAACCATGTAAACAATATTGGAAAATGCCCTGATATCAGCATCGATTTTGGTGTCCAAAATTCTTGATGTCAAGTCTCGCTCACTTTGGACTCACTGACCAGTACAGTAACTTAAAATCCCTCAATTCTGTGTCCTAAGATTGGTTGCTTTGTCCATGGAATTTTGCAACAGTCTGGGGAAAGTACGTTACAGTACACTTAACAGATTTTACTATAACTGGGGGTATGTTAAACTAAAATATTTTTCTTTAAATGTACTAAGTTGGAGCAAAAGTTGTAAATATTATGTAATGACCAGGTACAGAACTCTATATGTATTGATTTGTATACAAAACTGTCTAGGGAGAAAAATACTTTATATCTAGCCTTTCTGTCGAAAATTTTTTGTTTAAATTTTGTTTTACTTTAAGAAATGCAATTTTGATCACACTAAGTTGGCAGGGCTTTGAATGAAATGGAAGTTGTGGGATAAAAACATACAAAAACTTAATAAAACAAATTTAATGACAAATATCAGTAGACGTACAAGTCTAACCTAACTTAACATAACCAGAGAAACAAGAAGGACCTGAACTAACCACCTTTCCAGACCCGCTGGTGTGTAAATCTAACCTAACAAGAAAAAGGAACCTTAAGAAACCAAACTGAAATTGAAGTAAAAAAAAAATCATAAAATATAAATTTCCGACAAAAATGCAAGCAGGTGCACAAGTATTATATAACTAACACATCTGCCGATTGGCTGAGTAAAAATCAAGCAATGTATACGCTTACGAACTTGTACTCTCTTAAGTGAAATAATATTAACCAGAAAACTATAAATTTCAGGCAGAAATGCTATAAAGTACTGTATATTCTACTTTTTTTTTATCTCCCTATATGAATCAATATGAAGTTCCATGCATGGTCACTACAGAATATTAACCAAGTTGCTCAAAATGAAAATACTTTCTAAAATGTCAAAATTAAAGAATGTTACTGTACTTAAGGTTCTCAAGTATATTTACTTCACTACTTTACACTTCTGCCTATAATGAAACAATAGTTGAATAGGTTAGGTTTGGTTGGCTCATTGTCTACTCTTTATACAGTACAATATTTGGATTTAAAACGATTTTCCTAGCTCTATGATCAAATTTGCATTCTATACATTTAAATATTCATACTGGAGAAGATCCCTGAAAAAAAATAACTGGAACCAATCATGAATGTTCCACTTGAATAACAAATGTTTTATACCGGTAATAATTATTTTAGTTGTGCACTTTCATTAACAATTACCCAATAGTGACATACTTCGAACTTCACCTCGATATTAAAACCAAGACTTATTCAAAGATTCTGAGTTTTCAAGAAAATACTTTAAACTACAGTCATGTGCACTGCGGAAAAAGTTGTGTGTGTGGTAATAGGGGTTGTCAAGTACTGTACCAATCTCTTTAACTCTTATTTTGGACGTCTCCTTTTAAGCTTTCTTTCCACACATTTATTGTGGGGCTCCAGTGATATAATTGTGTAATGTCAGTGTTTAGGTAGGGGCTCCAAGAGGCATCATGTATCTGCTCAAAAGTTATCATTGTGTGTGTAATGATAACCTATCAACACATCTCCACAACTCCATAATGATCATGTTCATTCTCTTTTTATTATAAATATAGTTCAACCCAGCAATATCCTACGACACATATTCTTCACCTACCTACCAGGTGACAATTAAATTGTTATCTGTAGTCAACAAATCTAGCTTTACCTTGAATAAATAAATTTTGCTACGTACAAAATGAAAACAGTACAGAGACCCTGACTATATTCGGGAAGTGAGTCATGCAACAAGCTGGTCATGTGCCTTGTTGGGGGTGGGGAGTAATGGTGCCCGAATACACGTCCTGGACAGTCCCTCAAGCACCAAATTGTCACTGATTCCCCCTGCCATTTACTGATTCTAAACCCAAACCCCCGGAATTTTAAGCCAAGAGTGCCTATTTCAAGTGACAACCTTCATAACTGTCCGTATTAATAAATTGTCTGTACAGAATAATGTTTTAATATATCATACAGGTGAACACTTACAAACTAGGGTGCAGGATAAGTTCAGTAGTGAAGTACCTCTGTCAAGGCATTAGATGCAGTAGTCTTATAACACAGAAGCAATAGTAGAAGCCTGTCAAGCTGAGCACTCCACACCACACACTGACACAGCCGTCAGGTCGGGTGCACCTCTCAAGGATTGGTAAACAATCTCTAGCACTGCCTCGGCCCTTGACTGTAATAAATCTATAAATATAAACTTGTTGACTGTACTTATAAAGAAATTATCCTAAAATTCAGTTATTATGTACTATATAATATGTGATAAATACGAATCGTATTTATATGATAAATTGAACTTTACATAAAGAAAACAATGATGTACACACACGAATCGCTTAAGGACGAATAATAGGAAAAATGATCGTGTCTGGCAATGTTTGTTACCAAATTCTGATATTATATTTACTTTAATAATATAAAATCAGCATTCCATTTAACTTATTCTCTAATATATTATATTTTCAAATAATCAATTTAAGTAATGCCAGTTGAATTAAGAGCTAGAGAAAGAGACAACAACTGTTTAAAGTACAAAGGTACTTCAACTTGGTATTTTATTTTGGCACCGGTTACCTTCCAGTGTCATTTTTTGCTAGGAGAGACGTTATAAAACACAGACTTGATATCTTTGCCGAGTATTCACGAATTTAGAAAATACCCTGTACTGTAGTTCTTGGAAATGTAAGTAAGAAAGTGCATGCAACAACATAGTGGCTTTTGGGTAAACATGAACTCGTCAGGTCCACTCTTGGGTAAGGATGTGGTGGGCGGCAAAACCAGATAGCCTTGAGATATGGAGGTCCCGCCCCCTTCCCGCCGTGTCCAGGCTAGGTTACTGGGTGGCCGGTAATAAAGTCACAGGGAAAAAAGTCACAGAAAAAAAGTCACAATTTTGGCTAGGGAAAAAAGTCACAATTAATTTATGGTGGCCGGTAATAAAGGTTAGGTTAGGTTAGGTTAGGTTACCATCAGTTCTGCATATTCCTTTACTGAAACTGATTGACATTGTGGGGTATGAGATGTTTGGTTCACACTCAGGATGGGATGGAGAAAGGAAACTCACAATGTGCTCTCTATATACATGTTGTATTGGATGTACAATGCAGCTTGGTGCTGGGAAGGCAGCATGGTTACAAGCGTGATGTAGAGAGAGCTGGTTGGTGAGGACGCTCAGAGAAGGACAGCTTGTGGGTCGCCATGCTCGCCAGCGGGAGAGAGGACCGCCAGGCAGGCGGAGGAGCGAGGACCGCCAGGCAGGAGGAGGTGTTGCTGGCTGCGGCTGTAGGTAGAAAAAGAGAGATCACCACGAGGTCAGGTCTTAAATAGCGGGGGTAGGCGTGGCTTAGCAGTTGACCCCCGCTCCGTGGTGTATGGCGGCGCTGGTTGACCTAGACCACGAGGCATACACTGGGGAATTGGTGGGGTCGGCTAGGCAGCGACAAACAGCGTTTGTAGGGGAGAATTCCACTACAACATATTAACCTTAAAAAATGTGAGAATTCGATAGTTAACTTTTCTTTTTTTCCTGTGACTTTTTTCCTGTGACTTTTTTTCTGTGACTTTTTTACTTGGATTCAGGTGCTGCTACCTCCTCAAACCTACAACCCCACACCACGCAAGTTGTGTTAAGCAACGACATCTGTCCTCTCCCACTAAAATCCTCTCTTTAAACTTCACTGAAACTCCTCCTCCCCCCGATAGCCAGCGAGCCGATCAGTGGTGAAGAGGAGGCGAGCGCCTTGGAAACAATGACATTTCTAACCACATCCTGCAAAATACAGTGTACTTAGCAAATGCTGAAGCTCATGAGAATAGGGGGGGGCGGCGGGGTTACTACTAAGAGCAGAGACGTTACCGAGAACAAATTCGGGCGTACCATCGGTAAGGAGGCGTATCACATGTCCCAACGGGATGAAGAAGCTGCACTATTTGAGACAATTTGAGAAGGACCTACCTGTAGGTGTGTATGTTGATAATGAGCTGAAGTTCTCGGGCCATTGCGAGAAGAAGGTAAATCAGGCAAATAAATTATTAAGTCTTATAAAAAGGTCATCAGATATCTAGACGGTCCGTCCCTCATAACGATCTTCAAGAGTCCCCGAAATATGATAGGGACTGTCACTTGGTTGAAAATGTTCAAAGGAGGGCTAGCAGACTGGTGCCTCAACCTTCCTGAGAGATTGGAGTGCCTGAACTTGCCTAGCTTATACTAGACGGGCAAAGGGCGACCTAATTGAGGTGTTTAAGCATCTCAAGGGGCACTACTCAGTCGAGTGTCCTTACTTGGAGCTGGCGGACGCTCGCCCCACAAGGGGTCACAGCTCAAGATTAAGGAAGCTGCAAGTCCAAGAAACTGTGAGAGCAAACTTTTTCGGAGTGAGGGTTGTGAACTCTTGGAACAATCTACCAGAGAGTGTTGTGACGGCACCGAGTGTGAGCTCTTTCAAGACCACAGGACTTGACCAAAACTGGAGCAGGTTAGGATTGCTCGTGTAGCTTGATACAGTTAATTGGTTCTGTTCCTATTTTTTTAACTTTGGACTGTGTGCACTGTTAGTATACAGTAGGTTGTCGGTTTGCAAGTTATTTTGCACAATTACCAATTCCGCAAAAAAAGTATTATACACACATATATATATATATATATATATATATATATATATATATATATATATATATATATATATATATATATATATATATATATATATATATATATATATATATATATATATATATATATAACCAAGGCCTTGGACATGATGGTATGTGGTGGTTGTTATAGAGGCTGGTGAGAGTGTTCGCCAGCAAGGACTGTATCGCATTAACTCCTCACATCGTGTTGTCTTGCGTCAGCCGCGTGTATCTCCAAGTGAACAAGACAACTGATGTTATTTTAATACCACGAAAATTTACCCTAAACACTCTAAATTTGTCATATTTTTCAGTATGATATAAATAATACAATAAAAATCAATAAAAAAAATCTCAAAAGAACTTGATTAGTGTAGTTGTTTTTACTAATTTTTCGTGAAAATGTAAAGGGAGTTAGCGACTATCTTCGTGGTACTCTTTAAACATTAGCACCTCTGTTTGGTTACGGGTGTACGCGGCGCTGCATCAGCTGGGCCAGTGACAGTGAACCGGGGAATATGTTGGATATTGTTTTATTTCGCGTGGATCAAGGGGGCAACCCTGATATTGTCAGAGAATCACAGAAAAGACGATACAAGGATGTATCGACCGTGGACAAAGTAATTGAACTAGACACAAAATGGAGAGCAGGTAGAATACTTGTTGGTCTTATAATTTCCTCATGTTCCCAGTTATATTGTCTAGTTAAACCTGGCTTTGCTTTTTACAAATAATTGTGGGTGAGGCAAGTGAAATACTATTGGTTTGCATAGTTTAAGCTAGTCGTGAGAATATTTACTTCTCTTCCCAAAATTTTGAGCACTAGAATATAGTAACGTACAGTATCGTGGTGTTAATGTGAATTATGCATGGAAAAGGGGAACGCACTCTTAAGCTTTACTTTAATTTGTAATTATACCACAAGACGATGAAAGACTCCAGGGAACTGAGGCTGAAGCTTCATATTATAGAGGAGAGTTCTTATCACAGCTGCTGCTTGGGTTTTGGCTCTACCATTTAATTTTTTCAGTATATGTTGAAAGGGTTTGGTGTTGGCTATTTTCTCACTTGTGTATTATGTTTTACTTTATTATATATATATATATATATATATATATATATATATATATATATATATATATATATATATATATATATATATATATAACCAACAAACACACACAAGTACAGATGTACAACGATGTTTTCCGTGCCCTCATTGAAATGTTTTATACATTTAAGTGTTTCTAAATGTAAATTGAAAAAGTCAAAGTCATGGTATATACAGATATTTATTATGCAGGACTTTCAGACTTCATTGTAGTCGTGCTCGGTGGTTCATTCGTGTAAAATCACATAATTAGTGTATGACAGATTGTTTTTCTATTTACATTTAGAAAAAACTTACAATAACCCAAAATACAACAGTAATGCAAAAAACACCATTGCAGTGACACTGCCAAACATCACAGGTTACCTCTGGGTACTCCAATTTCTTCCTGTACCGACACAGGACAATAAAATTTGTTACAAGGAACAGACCACCCATTTGAACGGCTAGTAAGGTGATAAATGGTGAAATGATAAATTAATTTAAACATTCAAGTGTGTATTATTTATTTGGTGTCACATTTCTAGACTTGCAACATATATTTTCTGAGGACATAACACATTTTATTAATTAAAAAATGTCATAATACAGTGGATGGTTAAGCAGTGCAGCTTTTGTAAATACTGTACTGTAGTTACCAATAAAAGGTATAGTTCAGTACGTATTACTGTACTGTACCTATCGGGTAAGTATCACATTTCTTGTCCTGTGCCTGAAGTAAAAATTTGATTCTTTGATTTTTAGGTTAAGGAAAAGTTAGTCTAATTTAAAAGAAATTGTTGAACTGTACAATGATTGTGTTATTTTTTGTAAGAGATTTTTGTATAAATCTCATCGGTGCCGAGTGGGAGAAGACGTATTGATAGATATCATTGTTATAAAATGTTAATTAATTTATCTCCTCAGCACGTCACAGAGGCGACCTCCTCAACAGAATGGGGAATGTCATCTCCAAGACTGTTGGGGAAAAGAAGAAGGTGAGAACAATAACTGGTAACCTAACTCCTTTTTACAGTATCTTTATTACTTATTTACTACAGTACAGTATACTGTCACAAATGTGTACTACCTCTTAATAGTTGATCATCATACTGTATTTCATTCTAACAAAATACGTTCTTGTACTCTACTATTTGCTTCTTATCTACAGTATATGTTTTTGCAATCCAGTTATACTTTATTTTTACATGACTTCAAAATATAACACAATGTTTTCATCCAGTGAACGTGGAACATTTTTTATATCCTGGCTCAAGGAGTGAGCAATGTAGCAGTTATGGTACATTGCCTACGTGTCTCCAGGGACATTATTTTTGCTAGTCTTTTCTACTACAAAATGTTAGTTTCCAGAATTTATTCCTAATCAGACATGTAAGTGGTCCTGGGAAGCCTGGCTGTCAGACTGTAGACTTTTTGGTTGTACCAGAGATGTCTGATCTAGGCTCTTAAAAAATTAGATTTCAAGATCAATCCCACATTTATGCTGTAAACTTTTAAGATTTTTTACCTGTTTACCTTCCTATGAACAACAATGAACAACACCCTTTCCATCTACTGTATATTGTTACAATACTAGACTATTATTTGACCCACCCAACAAAATTTATTCTTCAATCTAGTTCCCAGATATCATCAAGTTCAGTTATCTGTTAAAGGTAATGAAAATTATATTGAAGTTAAAATATAAATGATATACTGAACTGTATTACAAAATTAAAATAGCTGATGATTTAATTTTTTATTCAAAATCTATAAAAACCCCATAACTCAAAAATTTTAATAAATAAATAGAGTGCTGTAGTTCAGTAAATCCTCACTTAACAATAAAACCTAAACACAACAATATACTGTACTACTTGATCACTCTGGAGCACTAATAATACAATCACAAAAGATACTTATGGTTTGGGAGGCAGGGGATAAGATGTTGACCTCACAGCTTTTACTCTTCAACTAACTATGAAACCCACCAGTCTCCCACCTCATTACTAGGACCAATCACAGAGATCCACATACTGTACATAATACTGTACTTCTATACTAGGAATGCCAAGTCCTATACACCAGATATTAAACTCTGATGGCCAGCGCCATCTATTGAACAGATTTTCCCCTTTACCAAATCTACCTTACAGAACTCATGTAGTTCATCATAGCAATAGTACAGTATTAGGGATTATACAGGAATGGTAAGTTTCATAAGGGGAAAAGTCAGTGTAGATGTAAACATCTTAAATATCAGTTAGCATATGAATACTGTAAATAAATCCATTACTGCATCTTGCCCTCAATTTGATTGTAAGAAATAATTACAGGTTCAGGTATTGGTATTTATTTTTTCCTTCTTCATACTTATACAGTACAGTACTGTACATGCATATACATACTTAAATTCTTGAGAAGGAGAAAAAATGCTTTAAAGAATTTTCTTGTGTTTTTCATGCACACAGTAGAAGCCAGATTTTCCCATTGTCACAATTTAAGGGGCCAAGAAGAGTATTCCTAGCCAAATATTTTATTCAGCGGGAATTACTGTGCTTAACAACTATCAAAGTAAATACCATGTACAGTACAATACTGTAGTTAGGACTGAGGACAGTTGTGGTCTCATGTCAGGCATCGAGGGGAAAGGGCGAACAAGAGGTTGAACCATTGTGTGTGGCACCGGACCTGGATGCTCTGGAGAGCCAGCTGACTCAATATAGCTACGTTCATGGTCATATGCCATGCCAAATTGATCCTCTGTTGGCAGGGCGGCTCTCAGTATCCCCAACCCCCGAAATACACCCGTCTGTGTATAGATGGTTCAGCCACATGGCCTCTTACACAGCTGGAGAAATTAAGGCCCTGCCAGAGCCTCAACAACTTCCCTTCAGGGCTCCACTGGTAAGCGAGTGGCCCAAGTGAGTACAATTTAGCAGTGCTAAAGATAAAATTTTGGATGTGCAGAATGCTGAACTTTAGATTTATGGATATTTTTTTTTATCAACACCACACAATAAAGAGTGACATTTGAAAGGATAGAGTGAGAGCAAATACTTTATTCTTGAATCTTGGTAATTGGGTTAAAAAGGATATTGAATTTAATCAGAATTACAGGAAACTTATGGCATTCATATTGTACATACCGGGTACGTACTGTACTGTATAACCTGCCATCATTCAATGTGCATCATCATCTGTCGCTCTCCAATTTTGATTTGGTTTGTTTTTTCTTTTTTCCAAATGTTCTGCAGTAAATTGAAGTATGTGTTGTCCTTCCTTTGCCATATTTAATTCTAACTTTCCTGCTTTGCTTTATTGCTCTTTCCATTTTCAAGAAAGGAGTTTGTTACTAACCATTTGAAATTTTGCATTACACTTCCTATTTTTACTGTCTTGTGCAAGTGTAACTTGTTATAATCCATATTCAGTAACTCTTTATTGTCCCTGTTCATAGATTATTTGGTATGACACATAGTAGTCACAGTAACCGTGTTTTGTCCCTTCAGTTACCTTCTTCGCTCTTTGACTTGTACTGTACAGTATTAGATCTCTCACTCATCATACTATATTGCTTAGTTTTCAGTACTCATTTACCAAATTTGCTGACACAATAAATTACTGTAGTTTTTCTATATTTTTTTCAGTACTGTACGTAGTATTTTTATTTCATTTGCACGACAAAGCCATTGAAGTTATTTATTTTTTAAATCTTGATTTTAGAATTTCACACTGCAGTACTGTACTCTACTGTGTTTGACTCTCTTATCAATCAATCTCATTTGTTTCTTAGCATGAGATATTCAGTCTTGCATTCCCGTTGCACTATTTTCATATTAAAGCTTCAAAGTCGATATCCTTGTTTTTGTCTCTTTGTTTATTCTATCTCATTGAAGGCAGAGTTACTGTACTGTATATACATACCACTGATTAGTTTGTAATACAGATTGTGTTTTGGATGCAATACCACTGTATGGAACCACCAATGCTATAAACTGAGGTTCCTCACTACTGTTTATAGTATCATTCTTGCGTGCCTCATCACTGCTTTCATAACTCACAATATAGTTTGAGTCAACCTAACAGTTGTTGTGCTCATACCAGATTAGTGACTGGCATACTGTACTTTACTTGGAGATCCCTGCCAAACCATTTACTGTACCAATGTTTTTTATAAGCTCCAATGTGTCTACAAACTTTTACAATAAGTTTCTACCGTCCTCCAGTCTGTTCTGTGTATTATTTGTTGCACAAGTTATTAAAGACAATTAATTTGACAAATACTTTTGCTACACCAGCTGTGTCCTAATCCACAATAAATTAATTTGAAAATGTACAGTGTAACCAATATACCAGTAACTAATGCTTATGTAAATTTGCATATGGACACTTCTCTTGATATGAAGAATTATTTTATTTTTTGCATGTATGTCCAGTACTACTGCAAAACAGTGTTGTAGCCAATAAGAAAAGATTGGAACATAAATTCTTGTTATGCATGACCTATGAGACACCCTATACTATGCATTAATACTGAGTATGTTTTGCTTCATAATAAATCTTAATTGAATGCCTGAGCTCATCATTTAAGACTTACTGGGTGACTATCATGTTAACTAAATGTTTTGTAATAAGTGTTTATCATTCATTTAGATGTATACTGTATTATACATACTACTGTAACTAAAACTCTTGATCATGGTTTCTTTTACAACTTTTAGGCAAAGGAAGCAGAGGGCACTGACACAAAAATTCCTGATGAAATAAAAGAAAAGTTAACAGAACTTACAATGGACCTACTCCGGCCACTCACAGTCTCACAGCTGAAGGAGGTAAGTCACTACTGTATTTCTAATTTAGTTAATTTAGTACAGTACAGTTAGTCCATTTAACAAAGCATTGTGTACTGCATTAAGATTATTGGATAAAATATTAGTTCTCAGATGTTTTAGATTAAGAGAATCTAAATACTGATATGAAAGTATTATGCTTTGGATTCATATATTTTATCATACTGTTGTGTTTCATATAATGAAATCTGTCTTGTTATTAGGTGAAAAAGCTTGTAGACGAGGCTATGAACCAGAACAATGAAGACTTAGTAAAGACGGAGAGTGAGAGGGATGCTGTCTTGAAGGAGATTGGAAATATTGTATATGAGGATGTTCCTGTCAGCCAAGATGAGGTTAGTTTTCATTTGGATTACTATAGAAGGTTTTGATTTAGATACAGTAAGGTCCTGTTGAACGAGAATTTGGCTAAGTGTTGTGTTGTATTGTATGAAAATTCATTGATTTGTCTTCTATTTGATTTAATGAGTAAAATTCTGAGTGAACCAGCTTGCATTATCATTCTTGGACTTGGGTTAGGTATCTTTTGTCTGACTGGCCAGCTGGGCTGGTGCAATTAGGGTGATTGAGGCTTGGCTAGCCAGGGAGTCTAAACAACATGTTATCATTTGTTTTCTGGGTGCAGTTCAGTATTACCTGTGCACTCTTGTTGTCCACAGCTCTCTTTCCTCACTCGGAAATCTTTGTGGATTCTGATGAGGTGTGCTGCTCTTAATGATTTTCAAAACAAACACAAAAGTAATATTACTGTACTGAATGCAGTAGTGCTAAATGAGGACATAAAGTGCTTAGAGTCAAAGATTGTTTTGCCTTCGACATGGTCGTAGCTTCGCATGCCTGCCAACTGACTTGACCCTCCACTTCTTTATATTTCTTTTTCTTTCAATTCTTCAGTTCTAAGTAAATTAGCATAAATCATAAATAAAGATTAAGAAAGTAGCATATTACTGTTGCATTTTGTTTTTTTGTGAAAACCTTAATATAAATTTGGAAAAATTGGGCTTTGTGTATCTGGGTGCTTATGTCCTGACTGGCAATGCATGGTAGAGTAGGTAACTGCATTGTCTATCACTCACAGGGCGATTGTAATTACAGCACTTGGTGAGTATTTAGAGAGAAAATGCTAGAATTTATTTAACTACCCTTAAACAGCGATAGTCTTCATATTATTAGATGACATAAATTGCTGATTCCGTAAATTAGTGGATATAAGTTATACTGTATCTCGTTTCAAGAATTATCTTTACAACTCTACTCGCTAAGTCCTGAGTATGGATGATCATAGTTATCCATGGACTCCAGATTAAACAACAGCTTTGTAATATTACGCTACAAAATAGTAATTTAAAATATTTTGTCTACCAGTGGCATAAAATTAATCAAATTTATTGTATATTGAATGTAATTATATTTCCTTTGATTTTAGGACAATAATGCAGTTGTGAGGACATTTGGAGAAGAAAGTAAAAAAAAATATTCTCACGTAGATCTGATTTCCATGATTGGAGGATCAGACTCGAAGCGTGGATCTGTCACATCAGGTTTGGACAAGTTTGTTTTTGAGTGTAATGTGTTGATATATAGTATGATAATGAGTGATGTTTGTCTTCACCAAAACTGGTAATCATGGTGAAATTAAACTTGAAATAAGAAACTTAAACCTTGGTGAAATTAAATTCCTCTAAAACACTACAAAACAGGTACAGGTACATTATGTCAATGCTGTTGAAACCTGAAGAAATTCAGTTTTATATTCAGAATAGGTTTATGGTTAATGCATGTTAACTCCATTGCTGATTGAACTTCCTAAAAATTTCACCTTCCCTTTTGTAAAAATACATTAAACCCTTGTAATATCAGACAAATTTGGGATAAGGTTGCTTCAAAACGAATAAATTTCAAATTTTGGACAGGGGTTCCTGTGAGAACATATTGCTTTTGATTAATGCAATGTTACTTGTCTTGTGCCTCTCCCCCATGCATGAGTATGGTAACCAGCCAATACCCTGTTAAATAATTATACTGTATACAGAAATTAGATTCCTGTGCACCATCTTCATATATCCAAAATTTTTGAAATTTCATTTTATTTTATGAACATTGTTTGAATGTCATGAAATACTGTAGTGGTTAAATATAGTTATGGGGCAGGTAGCAGAATTTAGAGTGGAACACATAGCAAATTTTTTATTTAAGAGCCTATCTATTAGAGACAATGTAAATACTGGACAGGCTTGAGCCAGTTGGGTTAGCATTTTAATACTTAATAGTTTCTGAAGAAAAAAAACCTCAGCAAAGTGCCTAAATTTAGTTGGTAAATTTGGACACTTTGGATAATTCTGATCCTTTGGGTAATTTAACAAGGGTAGTAGACCTCCAAAGCTGTCGAACAATAGAGGTTTGGGTGTACCTGCATTGGATTTATTCATTGTCCTTGAAGTGTTAGAATGAATCCAAAATAATGTCTGAAATTGCAAGGTTTTTCTGTAATTCATCATCCTGTCTTTGCTATCTATCCATATGGTGAATATTTTGTTATGCTATTGATTTTTTATACAATGAAAGTGAATAGTGTGCAAAGTGTTTTTTTTTTACAATCTTTCAAGCCTTTTCTAGTTATTAGTGATGATGGCAAGGATCAAGAGCAACACAGAGCATGCCTTACCTGGTATTGTGTGTTGGAAATAATTTATTGGGTGTAGTCTGTGAAGAAGAATAATATCCATTAATTTATCCTACTAGGGGGTCGTGGATACTACTTGATGGGTCCAGCAGTGTACTTGGAACGTGCTATTGTTGAGTTAGCCCTAAGTGTCTTGAACAAGAAGGGCTACAATCCCATCGTTACTCCATTCTTCATGCGTAAGGAGGTTATGCAGGAAGTGGCGCAGCTCTCTCAGTTTGATGAAGAACTCTACAAAGTAAGATAATGAAATTTATTCTTCATTGACTGATTCAACAGATTGTATGGGTGACACTTTTTATACACCTACATAATGTGAAGGGTATAATTGTATGCCTCTGTTTGTTCATATGTTAACATTTTAAATCTGATCCATAACTCAAGTTCCAGTGTTCCTTTGGTGACAAATTGTTTCATTTTAGGTTTAGGGGTAACTGCAGATAACCCTGTGGATAATATCACATTTGTAGTAAAGGGTATTTATTATACGCATACAGTAAACCTTCGATAACCCGGGCCTTGCCGAGTTATCCCAAATTTCGACTTATCGAAGCACTTCTCCCTTCTACAAAAATAAAACAATAAAAAATTATTGACCCATATATGTGTACATGTATTTACTAAATGTAAAAAAGTAACACTTACCAGCACTACAGGTGAAGAGTGAAGCATCATAGTAGGTGATACAGAGGCATAGTAGGTGACACAGAGGCATGGTAGGTGACACAGAGGTATGGTTGGTGATGCAGGCAGCCAGATATCTCAAGATTTGCCCATATAATTTTACATATCTCTGCATTTCCTGAGTTATAATAATACATTCCGAGACCATATCCATGCCAAGTTATATGAAATTCTGAGTTATCAAATGCCAAGGTATCGAGGGTTTACTGTATATTTTCTTTGGTGATTCAGACTGTGTAGTGGTTGTGTTGTCTATCGGTAAAGGTGATGGTTAATGTTGTGTGAGAACTGCTGGGGAGTCATTATGTCTGTCTTGGAGGATATATAGGCTGGTTGAGTATTGTATGTACTGTATGTCATTTTATTCTTAAAGGCCTTTTATTTTTCAGTCCTTCATCCTCAACAACATTGCTATTGCTCTCTCCCATATCAGTATTTTAAGAATAACTATAACATACAGTATGCACACACCCACTTCTCTCTCTCTCTCTTTCTGTTTTAAAGGAATCCTATTAGATTTTAATGTGATTACAGTATCTTGTTGGTTGTCCATATTCCTAAGTAATTTGCAATTTATTGTTAACTTCCATAATGAACAGGTACTGGGTAAAGGTGATGTACCAGGCTCAGACCAAGTAGATGAGAAGTATCTGATTGCAACATCAGAGCAGCCCATTGCTGCCTTCCACCGTGATGAGTGGATACCAACTGACCAGCTGCCCATAAGGTGAGTGCATTAATTATTTTTATTTTATCTCTATTACCTTATTCATTAAGTGCTTTAGTAGAGGATTATTATGTTTAGGCCAATGATATAGTAATCAGTTATTTAGTTGTTTGTTAACTTTTAAGTTGATTGGTGGCTTTCTTTCAGAATTATACATCAATGTATAGGATTAATGTTGCTACAAGTATTGAGATTTGTTTAAACTTGCGGGATGGAAAAGATATTTAATTTTCCAAAAAACAAAGGTGAGTTAGTATCCACAGCAGTAATTGCACCATGTTGCTTCACCTACTGCATGGCTCCTGCTAATGAATCACTGTATCTAAATTAAGTTTGATGTTTGTTTGTATTTCTGCAACTCTTAGCGGTTTGTTACTGATAAAATCATAATTCATGGATGGTTTGTTTTCATTCGTCAGAGCCTAGGCACACTACAGCTGTGTCACAAATCCTGAGTGAAATTAAGAATCCACACTTAAATACTTCACCCACTCACCAGTCTATCTGCAGTAGATTATTGTCGAATCTACCACACCTGGACATTCCAGAACATACACCCATTCATTCTGTCTCCAGCTAGAATGATTTAAAAACTCAGAGAGGTGTCCAACTGGCCTTACAACACATTACAGGCCACCATTCAAGGCATGCTGAGGGTGGTGTGGCACTAGATTTTGGGGGCATGGTGATATTGGCAGGAACCTCCACAAGACATATTTGGGCCAGTTAATACATTTGTTATGATTAAATAAACCTATATGTTGTATTTTCATCAATCAATCTTTTTAAAACTCAGTCTAACGGCTGTGGATGCATTAAAATCAGGAAATTTAATTTTAAAAACTTCCATACATCTGTCGTCATATTTTGCAAAATTACAGTATACTGTACAGTGTTGTAAAATACTTTATTGTGTTGGTGTAATGGTCAGTTGTAGTCAATCTTCAATTATTCTGTCTCTTTGGTATTTAAGATACGCTGGATTGTCGTATTGCTTCCGCCAAGAAGTTGGATCACATGGACGTGACACCAGAGGTATCTTCCGTGTACACCAGTTCCAGAAGGCGAGAAAATTTTTATACAGTATTTGAGATCTATGATATTTAGCAATTACCGTTAATAATTTTATTTATTTAGTAGTTACATTTATTTCATCTTCTGCCTCCCCTCCTTTGATTCCTACACACCAGTACATCCCCATAGCCATACTTTGACCTTATCGCTGGTATAATGTTTTAGGTGGAGCAGTTTTGCCTGACGTCCCCTCATGATGGTGCCTCTTGGACTATGATGGATGAAATGATCACAAATGCAGAGGAATTGTGTAAAATGTTGGGTTTACCGTATCGTCTGGTCAATATAGTGTCAGGAGAACTCAACAATGCTGCAGCTAAGAAACTTGATCTTGAAGCTTACTTCCCTGGTTCAGGTGAGTTTATAGTTCAGGTGGAATTCAATTAAAAATGGGGGGGGTGAAACTTAATGTGCTCACAGAAAAAGGCAATCTGTAATGTTTATAAATGTTCTTTGTAAGTAATTGATAAGGTGTAAGGGTCCCAGTTGATGTACTGTATATTAGTAAACTTTGCTTGCCTAGGCAAATAATACATATTCATTCCTTACTCTATTGTTTTTCAAATATCCTGTAATGATTTTCAAACTATCCATCTGTACTGCTTCCAGTCTTGACATACTGTACCAGTACTCTATAACACACGAGTTTCACATTATTATGCAGGTGTTAGAACAAGCACTACTTAATGCAGTCTACATGTACACTGTATTCTCTGATTCATGCATGTAAATAGAAATTCTTTTGGTTTCATTGTTTTAGAGAGTACAGTATACAACTGTCATACGAAATTTCATTTGATTCGACTTCATTCATCTGACAAATTCCTCAGGAGCGTACCGGGAACTGGTCTCATGTTCGAACTGTCTTGACTATCAGTCCAGGAGGCTCAAAGTTCGCTATGGAGCAACTAAGAAGATGAACACAGCTGTAAGTCTGCCATTTTGAACATTATATATTTGCAATATTTACTGTTATTCATCATTAATGATTAATAATTATTGTATAATGTACTGGTCTATACAAGTTAGTGTTAATGTAGAAAATGTATGCATGTATTTAGAGAAGCTTGTGTCTGTTACCTATATGCATGGTGCTCTTGGGAGATGATCAGTATCACACCTGAGGCTTTAAGAAATATTTGTACACTTTGCTCAAGCCTCATATAATTGATTGGCTTTACGTCTTCACTGGTTAATGCAATGCACTGGAGAGATTGGGTGAGAAGGTGAGGTGAGGTGAGGTGTTTGGGAGCTTGCATGTGTATGTTTGTGAAGGGTTGTTAATGCTTTTTTCAAAATTTTTGCCAGTTTATTATTTGTGTGAATATTTTATACATTTACCTAATGTGTGAAGTAAAAGTAATAGTTTTTTCAGGGATATAAAAGAATATTTTACTAATAATAGCCCCTTGTGTACGGGCACTCCTCTGAGTAGAATAAAATTGTCTGGCATTAGCCAAATAAAATATTAAAAGTGGCATCCCCATAGAGAAAGGGTTAGACATTATCATAATTTTAAGTTGTTGGTGTAGGTACTTTGAATGCTGCTAAGAAAATCCTTCTTATTATGTATTTGTTCCTTAGGTTGAGTATGTGCATATGCTTAATGCTACCATGTGTGCCACTACCCGAGTAATTTGTGCATTGTTGGAGAACTACCAGACAGAGGACGGCATCACTGTGCCAGAAGCTATCAGGCAATACATGCCCAATGGTAGGACTAATTTCTGATTATTATTTTTATCATATGAAATGGGATGTAATACAAAAGCCACTTACTTTATATGCTCACTTACACATATACTGCACATAAATTCTTAATAATTTGGCATGCTAGAGGCTTTATATATTTAGCCAGTTTCTCAATTTTTGCCTCAATTATGGCATGATGCTCATATATTGTACATACCTACAACCCAAAACTTCTGTTTACACTAATCACTGCTAGGTTTTTAGCTGGTCAATAATATAAAATTACCCAAGCAAAATCATGTTGAATCTAAAGATGTCTTTAACGATATATATAAGGTACACAGCTAACCAGCAACAACTGTGTGTGGAGAGACAGACAAACCTAAGCACTAAAGACCAAGACCTACATCACTGTTGTGCGAGAATTTCAGTAATGTCAGATGCTTGGGACTTAACCCTTGCTGGTTTTCCAAATGGATACTCTCATAATAATAGCAAAAGCATATCTTATATTGATATGATTACCAGATTTTTCAACTCAATATTTGTTGTAAAAGATGATACTGTACTGTACTTATTTAAATACTGTATAGAGTACAATGAAGAAATACATTTATGAAATGAATAATACAATATATGCACCTAGTGTAAAATAGTGCTAAGCTCCTTTATAGAGACTCCCTTGTCAAGTTCATGTACTAGTTTTGCTGTGTTAAGTGACAGGTATTTGCATTTTGCAGGCTGTGTCCTTTTTGAACCACTTGATGAACTTTTAAAAGGCACAATGATGATATTTGAGAAATAATGTTAAAAAATAGGCACAGTTAAGGTATACCAACAGGAAAATGAACAAACAAAAGTTGGGTACTGTACTTGGGTAAACAGAGATGACAGTTCCAGCTGATTTGGGGACCAAAACAAATGCAGCACCAATACAGTCAATTATTCCAGGATTCTGTTGATATGAGAAAAGGGATTCAAATTAAGAAATAACCAAAGCCTGTTAAGATTATTAAATTTTTTTATGTGTATTTTAGTTATTAATATTCAGTCTTAATCCTTTGCAGATTACAAGGAGTTCATCCCCTTCAAATTTCCAGCACCAATTGATGAAGAGGCAAATAAGAAAAAGAAAAAGGGGAAAAATAAGCAAGAAGAGTAAGATCTTAGTGGGGGAAAAGTACATTTGGAAACTGCTTGAGTAGATATTAAATCGGTCATTGGTTTTTCGTTTAGGGTTCAGTATATTAATATTTTCATTACACATAACTTTTCCATTCCATTTCCATCACTTGCAATTTTAGAATCTTCCTTGGGTCATTAGTTACAGTTTTGTAGTAATTTCGGATTTAGATTTTTTAATTAGCAACAACACTCAAAATACCTTAACCAATAAATAGGTACTCTGTTTTTCATCCAGATTTACTTCATACCTAAAAGAATGTTATATATGGTAAAGGTGACATCTTCTGCATTTACCTCATCAACTTGTTATTTCCATTTATTGCTTGGTGAAACATATCTTAATGTTTAAAATATTTTTATTAATCCCAGTTTGGGCATTGATTGGAGTGGTTCATCATGTACTATCTTGAACAAAAGTTCACCCTTTCCGTGGTCCTCCTAAACCCTAAATGAGATAGAACAGTACACTCGCTCCAGATGACAGTCAGGGTTAGTTCAAAGACTCGGTCTCACCATGGGGTGAACTTTGTTCACTGTTGTGCTATAGAAATTTTTAGCCTTTATAGTCCGAGACGTTAAAAAGTTTACACTTTATCATGGCTTCAGCATCTTGCAAGTTCAGTGCATAAGGTTAACCTTCAGACTTTTTCCTGTTATTCAATCATAATGAATTATGGCAGAAGAACTTGAGATAAAAAAGTACAATATAAACTTTTGACTGAGTGAGGAATCCTAAATGTCTGACGTATGTAAAGAAAGGACAAGTTATGGTTTGAGAATTAGAAATATACTCTGTATCTCATAATGGGTAATGCTTCGAAGGAAAAAATGCAGCATCTTACGTTATTTTCGGGATGTCGCATGAAACGTTCAAACACCTTTACTACCTCCAGTGCATAGTACATGACATTGAGATTAATGACCAAGTAATGTCTGTGAGAATATGACGTACCAGTTACTTAAAAGTATTATATTACATTTACAGAAATGAGATACAAAATAGAACAAGTAATGATAAGTTATAGTATTTACCATATGAGACTTTTGGGTGTTAAAGCGGATCAAGACCTCATAAGTAAATTAGAAAATTTTTATCAAGTGCTATACTGTACAGTATATACTTAATATATACATAATTGAACATCCTTCTTTGTATGAAAAATTACTCTCTAGTTACTGAAACATTAAATTTACTTATGTAAGTACACATTTCTTTAATTCAAAGTACTGTATGGGTACCCATGAAACAAATGAACTTTTTTCCATACTGTACCTACAACTTCACAGAAGTACCTATTTGTTTCATAGCTGCTCATTATGCCTTTCCTATTTCTCATACTCTCACAATCCTTTTTTCTCTAATTTGCTTCTGGTTTCTATCTCACTGTAGCTACTTATGATCCACAATTTGAATATAATAATTCTTATCAGCATATTGTTGATTTTAGTATTTGGTACATAGGCAAGTTTGGTACAACTATGACCCCTGTAATGTTTATACCATTTAAAAATAAAAAAAATGCTGTAATGGTAATTTGCATTTTTCTAACCTATAGTTACTCCCAGCAACAACGGACTGTATTGAAGAGTGGCTGGAATTAAGAGAAAACAGACCTGCTCTTCATTTTGTTATCCATTTACTCTCATCCCCATTAACCACTTAACCACTATACTGATACACCTCTGCTTCTGTGATGTACTTTCAGATCTCTCTTGGTCTTCCATTCTCTCCTCTATCATCCACCTGAGAATTATGTACTCGGCCAGTTTTTCACTTCATTTTACTCATCACATCATTTCTCCTACCCTATTGTAAAAAAAAAAAATTGAATGTGACCTTTGTCCGAGAGACTCAAACAGTTGTGGATGCTTTCCGAGTCAAAAAAGACACACATTATGTATGAGGCAATGTTAGCTGATTCACAGCACCAGTACCTGCCAAAGTAACATGAATTTTTAATTAATGAGGGTACAATGTGCTTGCTCCTGTAGTTTTTAAGCGGATTTTTGGGTATTTTATTTTTTGTTACTTTGGGTGTACAGCCAGTCCTCGCTTTATGTTGTGGTTATGTTCTTGTAAACCACAATGTTAACAGAATAAATTTTTCCCATAAGGAATACACAAAATACACTATAGTTATGTTCCCAGCCTCCTTTCGCACCATAAAATACATTACAAATACAGTATATAAATTCAATGGAATTTTTATAGGAAATACTGTACTGTGTATATTATACATCCAAAAAGATAAATACATTAGAAACTAAATTAATGTTTAATTAATAAGATAAAACAATTATTTTGTACTGTACAGTACTCACCGATGGGCCTTAATCTTGTCTGTGTTGGTCTGGATACTACACACTGTTGTGGGGGTTAGGCCCAACACTACTCCAATGTCCACAGCACGTTCACCTTTATTAAAACGGTTTAAAACATCCATTTTTGTAGCAAGGCTAATAGTCTTGCGTTTCTTCTTCACAACACAAGTATTACTACCACTTGATGGGGGCTTGGAAGCCATTTCGATGGGTTACAGTACTGTGTTTGCAGCTCAAACACTTAAAACATGTCCATACATTGCGGAAGCTCATGAAAGACTGGGAAGAAGATGCTTGGGGACACCAGGATGTTCCTCTTCCTAGTCCATGAGAGAAAGCGTAGTGTGGCGAGAGGCCATATTCTGCATACCATACAAAGCAGCCCGTGCTGGGTGAAGACATTATAATGAATCTGGCAGGTTGTAAAACAATGTTGTCGTAACCATGGGTATCTAATGAGTAGGAACGTTATAATGAAACAAAGTTGTTTGGGACAACATTAAGCAAGGATTTATTGTACTTTACTTTATCCTCATTGGCACTAGCCAGTCAGGTGGTCGCTGGTCGGACATTTCTCTATTATGTACTGTAACTATAGGCATGTGTTGGCTATAGAATTCAACTCTACCTGCACCAGTGTTGGTCAAATTTATCATTGAAACTGTGCCAAAGAGCCTTAGGACATAAAATCAAGTCAAATTGAATACTGTAGGCAAGAAAGAGTTCCATCCCAATAGTGACTAGAGGCATACTGGTACCATACCTTTCCATCACAAAGTTCCCGATTGTCATGACGAGCCTCAGGAAATGGTGCAATTATAGGTAAATTTTTTTGTGGAATTGGACAAGAAAAAATAAGTTCCTTTATGTATCATATGTAATCTGTAGGAGAGATACTTTACTATAATACTGTATAGTACAGTGCAGTACAGTAGAAGGTATATTTTTAGGTTAGTTAATAATTGAAAATAGCAATAAAATTTATTCCATGACTAGCTATAAGCACTTATATCATAGGACTTAAACATATTATTGTGAAATGTAAGCATATTCAGAGCATAAGTGAGATTACTGAAACAATATTTGAGGTAACAAACTAATATAAATTAATTCAAATGTCATGATTCACCTTAGTGAGACTGTTGAATGATACATTTAGGCTGACAAATACGGTGTTATGCAGCTTACAAGGTAAAACTTTGAAAACTTAACTTGACACTGATTTGGAGGGAAGCAGAAAAGGTGCAAAAACATTTCATAAATTACTGACAGTGTCCAATAAACTCTTTACAAAGGCTATCTCACAAATTAAATCTGAAGGTCCAACAGGTAACAGTGTTAAGTTATATTCTTTGTTAAAAATCCCAATAAATGACAAAATAAAGTGTGCCCTACCCAATAATGGAAGAAAATACAGTAAATGGAAATACATCTGAGAAATGAATCAATGAATAACCATCTGGAAAAAATACTGAACCTCCAACAAATGAGCAGATAATGTGTACAGTAGATCAGTAACTGTGACCACTATGTAAATTAGATCCGTAAAAATAAATGGAAAAGAAAAAAATGGTCCCAATCTTAGAAAAAATATTAAGGGAAATACTGAAGGCTCTCTAGAATGAGAAACATACTGCAGATACTGTCCATAAACACTTTGCATCCATGTTAACACTGGCTAATATCCCAATTCCAGGAGTGGAATATGAATCAAGAGGTACAGTACACCAATCACAGACAAAATCAAGAGGAAGACCACTGTTTTCATTTGGTGGAGAAAGAAATTAAAACTTTCAAATGGCTAAGGTTAACAATAGAGGCTGTTCTGAGGGTCCATTATTATATGTGATGTTTTAGGCCCTAAGGTACTGCTGTACATCTACCGATGAGTACAATGAACTAAAAAAGCCAACAGAGACAATTAAGTAACAGTGATGACTCGGTCAAACAACTGAAATAACAACCTTATTCTTTACCTGTTATGACATGTAATACAGCCCAATTAAATTTCCCTCCTGTTTCAGTGTCATATATATATATATATATATATATATATATATATATATATATATATATATATATATATATATATATATATATATATATATATATATATATATATATATATATATATATATATATATATATATATATATATATATAACAATAAAGCTGCCCTACTAAGATAAGCAACATAAAATTATGAAATTTACACAAATAAGATGTCTGGTGCTAGAGTTAAATTTCATTAACAAATTAAATAATCAAATTTAATGCACCCACCTGTAACATAATCCTAAACTTTGGTCCTTCAAATTGTGAATAGTTCACCTTATCACATGGAAAATAATATCCACACAGGAGAAAAGGGTCTTACTTTAAGGAAATAATTGATTTTGGATAATTTTCCATGGTTAAATGCTACAATAATATAATGGCACTTGAATTTTTATATGGATTCTTGCATGTAAACAAAATCCTCATTGTGCAAAGGAAATGTTATCATATATTGTACTAATGAAAAAATAAATAAACAGCATAATATCAACAAATGATCCTGTATACAAAGCTAATGAGAATTCATGCAAACCTGAAGGGATTCAAGCAGTTTCAGCCAACTCTGTATCACGCATGTCTGACTAGATTGCCACTGTTCTTCTCATGTACATTACAGGAAGAACAAGTCTCTGCCTCCTAAACACCAGCTTTCTTCAAGAGCTCATCAGCAAACTGCTCCAAGTCAGCGCTAAATCTGTTGACAGGGTAGAAAAAGAAAAAAATTTCAAAACATTTCTTAATGAAAATAAGTTGTGTGAAACCATTACATTATGGTTCTTATGCAAAAATGTCCATGAAAGGATTAAGATTTTTATATGTCCAAGATCAGTAAGGAAACATGTCCAATACTGCACAGAGATAATAGGAATGAAAAATAATAATGGAAATGACCCTCTTATAATGCTACAGGTATTAAAATACAGAAGATGTAAATGACATGTCACAGAAGAACAGAGTTTGGAAATGCTTTACATAAAACAGAAAATGGTTAAAACATCACAAAATGAAGAACTATATACAAGTGATTACAAGTTAAACTGTTAGTTCAAGATCCATTCTCTACTCACAAAAGTCGTCAAATGCTTAATCTATGTCTACAATACAGTACTGATAAAACAGGGATGGCGGGCAACTCTGTCATAAGAAAAACAAATTGTGTTAAATGGTAATCACCTAATGTATTCAAAGACGGGAAATAGAAATCTTTATCGTGCAACTTTAATCTTTATGAATCTATCTATTTTATAAAGAATCAATACACTACAGAATATTTAAAGTGAGATAAATATTTAGAGCCATCTGTCCATTCTAGGTCACAGTATTGAATGAGCAAGCATAATCTATTACCTTTTCTTATTTTCAACCATGAGAAGGCTACCTTAGAATGCTGAAAACATATGTAAAATGTGTGACTTTCCATCCTTAGAAAATCATGCTTAATTCAACTAACTAAACATGAAAAGGATGAGAAGCATAAGCAGAGAAGCATTTATTCAGTATAAGATATTAATCACAGATATTGATTTAATTTTCAATATAATAACACCACCGAATAAAATTGTTGCATCACTTGAGAGTCATGGTGCACTTTATTGAACTTGAACCGAGGGTCACTGGATTTATTTTAGTTTTGTGCACTAATCTGTTTTAGTGTACTTAAATTAATATAAAATATTAAGGATACATACAAGACCATGGACGTCTACAATATCAACCCAATATATAACTGATATATACAGGTAGTGTCGAAACATTCCCCCATTGATAGTAATTGTGGTATTCTGTATTCTCTCCTATCAATGATGAATGTCTCTCAAAACAGTGCATTTCCCAATAGAATTCGCTATGTCCTAAAAGCATAAAAAGAAATTCAATAAGTATAAAATACTGTTCATTAAAAAGAGGAATGACAGGTTCTTAAGGCTGTGCAGCATTATGAGGTAGAACAATGAGATAAGATGATGACGAAATGTATTAGAACAGGATAGCTTAAAGGACTGAATAGGGTGAAAGGAAATATCAGATGAGGTGCCACAATGAAGGATCAAAAGTGTATGGAACATTTGTAGTGAAAAGAGAAAGCTATGTAGAATGTATCCCTCCCCCTCCCCCCCCAAAAAAAGAGGTCAGATATGCCATGTATAAAATAAAGTAAAGCAAAAACCTAATACAGGTAATAAAGACAGACAATACAAAAATAAACGACTGTTATATAACTGCTCTTACATCAAAGTGAGGAGCATTTTACAACTGAAGAAAAGCAGATGTAATTCAGAATGAAAATGTGATGGAGTACACCTTATTCAATAAACTAAAGACAACAGACATCTTCAAGGTATGAGTGTAAGGGTAAAGCCACTTGATGCGGGCTGAAGAACAAGCGCTGGGTTCTTTATGGTGCTGTTTATATTTTTATACCAATATTTAATATGAAGTGGGCCTTTGAACACAAGTTGGTGAGTACATTAAGGCTGAGGAGAAAAATAAAACACTAGGTTATTTAGCATATGTGAGATGTAAAAGTAATGGGTTGTTGAAGCTGGAGGTCAAGCATGAGCGCACTAGAGTGTGTTACCTTGCAAGGTCTCGTATTTCTTGCTCAAAGTACTTAGCTCGTAAGTATCCTTGGCCATACCTAAATAGTGCAGAGGCTGTCATGTCACTTGTGTTCTCACTCAGCTTTTCATGCTGTGACCACCTGAACAAGATGCATTATATTCCATTAACATGTGTTTTTTTTCTTAATGCACAAAGAATGTAGACTGACTCAATTTGTTTGAGGCAACTACAGACAGTGGTGTTAGGTGATTCACTGTTACAAAGTAATTTTTGTAACTCATGCACAAATTTCAGGATACTGTACTTTTAACTACAACATGGACTAGATTATGGAGAACTTAAGGGACCAATACTTCAGATGTAAGAAGTGCCAACATCGAGGTGCAGTGCTATTTACTGTGAGGTGCCTTCTTCCTCCATTACTGTATAAGCACAAAATGTTAAACAAAACATTATATACAGTACTCATTGTTAATACCCAAGAAACAGATGAAATATATTTAATCTCCAATCTTATTAAAATGTAGAGAAAGTTTAATGTTTTTCAAAATTCATCTCAAACAAACTTTCTTCACATGATTAATACAGTTATACTATATATATATATATATATATATATATATATATATATATATATATATATATATATATATATATATATATATATATATATATATATATATATATATATATATATATATATATATATATATCAAGATATTAAGCCTTGGATGGTAATACAAATACTGTATGAAAGCAATCATTGACAGTTAAGTACTTGATGCAGTTATAAAATGCATTGCATGTCAAAATATGATTTTGCTTAAGCAGTAATTACCAGTATCAAAGACACTGCATATCGATACCTTAATTTTCATACTCAATAGACATTCCTCTAAAGTTAGTACTGTACTGTATACATATTTGTCTTTATCAACCTTCCCTTTGTACAGGGGAACTATACATGCTTTCTGCTACTGTATTCCTAAGGTACATTTCTCTCTGCCATACATTATACACCTGTCATCCATTCTATTAGTTTTTCACTTCTAATTCTTAACATTTCAATGATGATTCCACCCATTCTTTGTGTACCTTGAGCTGACTTACAGCTAGTCTTGCCTCCTCCTCACTTATTACTCCCTGCTAGCTAAGCTGGGGGGTTACTCTTCAAGGGGCTAATCTGACAGTCAATGATCAAGGAACTACCATATATATTTTATGCAATTCTCCCCAAAACCTTATAGAACTCAAAAATACTTCCAAATGCACACAAACTATAGCAAATGGATAATCACTATCGGTTAATGATATCATGCACTTATGTAAGATGCCTTTCAAAATAACAAATACAAGGGGCCCCCTAAATTCGTGGATTTTTATTTTGCGGTCCTCTATTATTCGCGGATGACACTCTGGATGTACCCAAGAATGTCTGTGGGTTGTTTTAAAGTTGCCGGCATTTTCGCGGCTGGGACAGGGAGCCATTCGTTCTAGAGACAGTAAATTTCCTTTATCTGTATTGTATATATGTGTGTGTGTGTGTGTGTGTGTGTGTGTGTGTGTGTGTGTAAAAACACACACACAAAACACACACAAATAAACAATAATGGGAAAATACTCTCACGAATAATCATAAAAATTTTATTAAAAATGTGAGTCTACCCTCAAGTCCGTGCTATATTTATTAATGCATGGACTTGAGGGTAGACTGTCTCATTTTTAATAAATTTGTTTCTGATTATTTGAGAGTATTTTCCCATTATTATTTATTTGTATGTGTTTTGTGTGTGTCTACACACACACATATATACAATACAGGTAAAAGAAATAATTATCCTAAGGGCAAACACATAAAGGGAATATACATTTCTTTGTACAATGAAAGACAAAAGTCATGTTGTGAAATTTGGTGAAAACATATGCCGAAGGGCTAAACTTTTTGTGTGCTCTGCCTTGTGGTAGTGGGCTCTCATAATGTTTCACGAGTTATATTTAATCTCCGGACAAAACCGCGACACGACTTTTGTCTTTGATTGTACACAAGTAAAAATGTTCCCCCTGGTTAGCAAATGTTATTCGCGGGTCTGACGATTTGCAGCCATTTTGAGAACCTAAGTCCCGCAAATTTTTTGGGACCCCTGTACTGTGTTTGTACAGTGATTTAATTAACACAGTACAATTTACATTCCTTACCAACACCTAAGAAACTTCTATCGATTAATTACCAGCATACACTGTACAGTGATAAACCAGGGGTATTATTCCAAAGATTGATATGAAGACAGTTGGCAAATTTCAACAAATCCCACTTAGTTACAACAAAATATAAGTTGCTTGTGACAAGAATGCTACCCAGTGGTAGGTATTTACTTTCAAATACGTACAGTCCACTGCTACTATTACAGTATGGCTATGTATATCTGCTCTGACATTACATCACAAAAACAAATACACCTGTACAGTACAGTCACCATTTGATGGCCATTTTCCTCGCTTGCTTGGATGATTACCTGATGGCATGGTGTCCCAGTTGTAATTTGGCAAATTTGATGTACAGTATATATTTTACAGTTGGATGCCAATTTACAGAGTGGGAATTGGGAATTATATGTTGACCTCCAAGTGCCCCCTTAGCTGGCAAGGCAGGGTAACAATTCCCTGAGATATGTAATCACAGATTACCTGCCTACACTTAGTATATTTTCTCTCATCTCTTCAACTTGGGATCAACTTGGGACCTGGTGACTATCAGGTCCCCAAAGACTGCTTAAACTGTTGACCAACATGGTCAGATCCCTAAAGGCTACTCCCAGAGCTTGACCAACATGGTCATAAGTTTTTTATTCTAACTCATCAATATATAATGAATCAGTTTTCATTCCATGATAGTATTTATGAATTATGGCAATGGAATATTATAAAAATTAAGTGAAGAGTTTAAAATCAAGTGAGCTGTCTAATTATCACAGACGAGTGAAGTGAGCAGAGCAGGCTGACATGCAAGGCTCCTGAGAGGGACGATACTTTAGTCTAAGGTAAGAATTGGTTAACAACGGTGTGAGCAAATTCCTATTCCTGTACAGACAATAAGACAAAAGATGTCTTCAGTTAATTGCATTAAATGATGGGACAAGTGACTTATGTGATTGTTCAGTTTAATCATCTGGCTTGGTAAGACATTCCACTTAAGTTGGATTTGATAGACTGCTACCAAATTGCCTCCTTCTTGTATCCACAATGTCTCTAATGGGCAGTCAGTCTGACAGAACTCACCATTTTTACTTTTGCTATAATGAGGCACTGCAGTTAAGTTATGTTAGAAAAGTTTAGTGGACTATGGAGTGCAAACTTTGGGCCTGGAATACATACATTTATTTCCTATAATATTATATTTTGTAGCATTTTCTGGGAACATAACATTACAGGTTTACCCTATTTATCTAACTATATAAAATGCTCTAAAATACCCTGATATCGTTTGTGGCATTTTCCACAATTTGTGAAATGCCATCCCCCTCCTAGCCACTAGCTTAGCCAACTCAATACAGACCACATCAGAACTTCTTTACTTCTAATTCACAAGTTCAGTATGTATCTTGGTAATGACTTTCCTCAAACAACTTTTGCCTAAGTTACCTTATTTTACATACTGGATAAAGAGGCCACTGCTGACTTATAATTTTTACCCATATGTAATTTTAGATATCTGTAACTATTAACACCAGACATTCATATGTTTGTCACCGAGGAGTTAAAAATAAAGTTCAACTCCAAGGAGAATGTATGAGTGTTTATATACACGGTGCTGTGAACAAACAGGTGATGTGTTGACTGTGCTGTGCTGGTCTACTCTCGCTACTCACGGATACGGAGTCAACACTTAGGGCGCTACTACGACTTCGCCTCTTTCTCTCACAAAACCTCATCTCACTATGTATGAAAGAAATAAAATACTACAACCTGTACTTAATACATAAAACAAAATATCAGGCTTCTTATATGTTACTACAGATATTCTAGCACAAAAAAAAAAAGTCAACATACATAAATGAACCTACTGAAAATACTACTAACAATCAATAAAAACTTGTGCCAGAGAAAGAAAAAGGGTGATCAAGAGTTGGTTAAAAGCTGCGACAATGGGGACTGGCCAGTGTGGTAGGTGCAGGCAGGGAAACTATATTTCCCAAAGTTCTCAGAGTCAGCCTGTCTGGTAGGAATGACATTCTCATAACTGGCTAACACAGCTAAGAATCTTATTACTGGGCTAACAAGACATAGTTCCAATATTGTACTGCAAATAATTCTGCCAGTAAAAATGTAAACAAACTTGAAAATTCTAGGAGAAATTAACCAAGCTGAAAAACCTAAAAAATAAAAATCATCTACATTTCACATTTAAAAATTAATGGTACAGTACTGATTTTAAGAGTGAGAAAAATTTACACATTATACCTATTAATGAGACATATTGCACAATAATAAATCAGAAATACACTGTATGGTCTCAAAAACATCTCTCAACATTGTATTTATAGATAAGACAGTAAACAAAAATATGTAAAAATCAGTAAATATTTTACAGTAGATTATGAAAATGTTGAATGCTTTAAATATTTATAAATATTTAAAATGATAATCAACAAACTCCCTTCTTATGGTGATGTTTTCATTACATTTACTATTTGGTATCTATAATATTATAGCTATCCTAAAATAAAAATCTGACCACTTACATAATGACTAACTGCACCTAGTTCACCAAGGAAGTGGAGGATCGGGGGGATCCTCCTCCCAGGTGCATGAGTGTTAAATAAATTTACCCTGATATATGGCCTAAAAGCTAAATCTAGTATATTAGTGATGATTGACTTGCACATGTGACAACTTGCACACAATGATGACTTTCACATCGTAAAAGGGTTGCATTTGCCGGCAGGCATTTTCATGTTAATAAGTTAACAGTTCCTTTTCAACCTCCCCAAATTCTCAGCCCTTCCCTTATATCTTCACAGTATGTGGTTGGCTATGGGGAGGTCTGGAAAGTATGGAGCATAGATCAACAGTTCTAAGGGAATGTCAAAGCTGGGTTTGTAACATCAGAAGCAAGTGCTCCATTGCACGGTTTTTTTAAATTTTACTAATACTGTACCTTTATTCTCAGTAAGTCTTCAAGATGACAGTATATATCAACAAGCAAAATTACAAAAATGCATTTAAGGAATTTGAACTTGAATTTGTATTTATTAAGTAGTACAGTACAGTACAAAAATACATGTTCACATACCTACAGCACACTTTCATCAAATTGTAAGATAATCATTAAACGTGTTAATTATGTATTCACTCTAAACCTCTCAACTGTGATCCACTGATATGGCTAAGTCAAAGGAGATGCATTACTGATGATAATAATGATGATGATGATGATGATGATGATGATGATGATGATGATGATGATGATGATGATAATAATATCAATACTGGTAATAATAATAGTAATATCAGTAGTAATAATAATGATAATAATAATACAAAGAAAAGTCATTAGAACTACAGAGAGAAGGGGGTTCCATGCAATGTACTGCACCTGTTTCCAAGCTCATGCATTAATTATTCCAACATTCTGGGTTTACAGGAGCTACTGCTAATGTAATACAGTAATACCAGATGAAGGAGCTCAAGCTGTCTGTGATGCTGACACACACACATACATACACACATATATCATTGAAGTCATGTCTGTCATATTAGACTGAATTCCATGAAACACTGAAAATATCATTCTTAAACTGAAATTAAACAATACGTACTTTAATTATCAAGGTCATTAATAAATAGCAACAAGTATACCAAATATTGTAGTGAAACACTGAAGTGATTCATTCACAACAAATCCAAAAACTGATAATCATCCCCAAAAAACTCAAGGGCTTTATGCAATTTCTATCACTGCCATTACAAAAGTCACAATAACAAAGGTACTGAAGGAACAATACACTAATTTCTGGAGAGTGTAAGAGGAAAGTCTCACCGATTAGTGTAGTTGGATGAGGGACGGGAACCTTCACTGTGACCATTCATGCCTGGATACTCCTCACTTTCAGGGGAAGATAATCCATCTGAAAAAAGGTAATTTATTAAGGTTAGGTCTTATAATAATAATAATAATAATAATAATAATAATAATAATAATTAACGGTTTATTGAAAGAGCTTGGCAGCCAGAAGGCTGAAAATATACAGTTACATATTTGGGGAATGGGTTTCGAATAACAAATAATATAAAAGTAACATTGCCTGACATCATTATCTGATAGAGGAATGCTGGGGCTATGTCCTGACATGAAAAGTGGGTAACTGAGAAACTCAGTGATATGCCCTTGCTGTTCTAAATGCCTCATATACAGTACACAAGAATTTTGAATTTCTGAAAATAAAAAGGATGCTTTGAGATTACAGTATACACCATACAGTACTGTACTACACAGAGTACATAAAATACTGCCAACAAGCTGTCAAATCCCCAACAAGTGAAATTACATTGCAGCCATTTAAAAAAATTGGAGCTAGATTTTTTTTAAAAGCACACAAGGAATGATGCACATACAAGCACCAACACATAAAATGAATCCAAAAATACTGTAATAATTTCAGGGAAAACTTGCCTGACACTTCATGAGGGAACAAATATTTTCAATTAAAATAGAATACATATTAAATATAAGAACCTGAATATAGTCCTTGGTGATCCAATACATCAGAATGGTGAAGGTAAGAATGTCCGAGGCCTTCCCCTCCAGCCATTTCTTCACCACCCATGGTATCAATGTTTTCTGCTTCCTCCACCATATCTAACCACTGACTGTTGTACCATCTGAACTTGTGGCACTGTATTCTTACTGCCCAGTCGTCATCATTTTCCTGTGTTGAAATATAAGAACAGTACTAATTATGTGGACATAATTTAATTTTTCCTTAACTTAACCAAACTCCCACAAACAACAATAGAGTACTAGATTCATTTACCTTTTTCCACCAACTCTCTCTCATTTGACTCCTCAGTTCTTCTCCACAGTATCTTGTCATTTTTCAGGCACACTAAGCTGACAGTTTTTTATCGCCATTCTCTAGTGAACTCAACTTGACTTATATTTTGAAAGGGCAGTTTCTGAATACACCTACCTACTATAGTCATCCCCCATATAATGGATATTCAGGTTGGGAAAATTTGAAAAATCTAAAATTGCAAATAAAGAAGGCAAGTTAACCTCATCTATATCTTTATTTGATTCTCAATAAATTCCTGCCCTTTCACACACATATTAACTTCCTTTCTTGCATTAGTATCTCTTAAAACAATAATATTAAATTAGTTCTAAAAATTTACTCACCCCAATAATATCAAGCGTTGTATCACAGACTCTGCGGATTTCTGTGTTCTTGTCGTGCATGAGATCAATGAGATAGGCTGGAACTTCAGTAGTGGATATGACCTGAGGTCGTGTTACCTCATGTCGAGTTAATTGGTAAAAGACATACACTATCTGCAGGACGACTTCATCATCCTCTTGTTTAGCTGGTATCGGAAGGTAAGTGTTATGTGGCTAACTCTACTTACTGAAAATGTTTACTTATAGTATTTCAAACTTAAAGCTATGTGGCATGATGGGTTCAACAACATCAGTACAGCTCAGATTTCAACTTTTATTTGTTATGTTTAAAAATGTTTCTAAGAATAATTAGCCCAGTGAACAAGTCCTGTATACAACAGGTATGTTGTCATGCACAGAAGAGACAAAGGAAAAGTGTTACTTTAAATATAAAAATGGTTAAGGTGTTTTGGAATTATCTTACCATTAAGAAGATTAACCAGAGAGTGGAGTATGCCAGAGTCAACAATAAGCTCTGCAGCAGCTTGGTCTCCTGCCACTGTTCCTAGTAGTACAACCACCTCAAGGGCCAGATCATCCTCAACTGCTTCTGTGTATTTACAAAGTATATTAGTTTATAGAGTTAATAAAACTGTGTTTAGCAGTTTCTCTAATTACTGTATATTACAGAATATGACACATTTTGTCTAAAAAATGGCTAAAAGAATCAGCCTGCACCCTAGATGTGAAGTTGTGATCTCCCATAGGCTAATGAATCCCCCAGTTGCTGCCCCCAGTCGGCTAAATTCTACCTAACACAACACCAGAATTAAAAATATGTTATTGTTTACTTGAACACAATATTATTACTTTTCACTATGTACTAGTACAGTAATTAGATAATGTGCAATTCAATAGTTAAATATTTCAATATGTTCAACAAATTTATTTGCATGACAAAAAACAAACATAATTTAGTTACTGATTATATTATCCAAACAGCTTAAAAAGTTATCTAATGATTGTAATAGCAAAAAAATAAAAACAAAAGTTTTTAATCTAAAACCAAGCTAAGAAAACATTTAGGATACAAAGCAAATAAACACTACAGTAGTTTATTTAAATAACACTCCATCATTTTTCTAATGGGGAAGTAATTAGAAGTACTGTGTCTTAGAAACATGAAAAAAAGTATGTTACCTGGTTGAAGACTCTCCTTGATCCAGTCAATAAGGTTATATTTGGTGAGCAGCTGGCAATAGTCCAAATCAGGCAAAGAAAGATTACCCAAGACACCAACGCACTCTAACACTAATTCATCACTTTTGCCACTGCTCACTACTTCACACAGCTCCCCAACAAACTCCTGAAAAATATGGTCTCTATTAAAATTTTATTATTCTAAATGACTGCTTTGATAATACATTACAGTATACATATCAGCACTTACAACATCCTCAAGCCTAGTTCAAAATGGATGTAGTAACTAGTATCCTATGTAAGCAAAAAACAATTACAGTATCAAGTAGTATCAGTATGCAGGAGTACAAACACATATAATGTTTTGAGCCAATGAGGTTGCTGCTACCTTTTATCGGGGTTAAAGTGGAGGCTGAGGTCAGAACTCATCTGTCAACAAATGCTGCAAGGATGGGTACAATATTTGGTAAAAATAAAGTTACTGTGAACTAAAATTTTTAAAATGGGATTACATGTGGAGGATAAACATAACTACAGGGTACATGGAAAATCATACAACCAGCAGCCTCAATCACAGGTCCTAGATGAAAGGCGACTTAAGTATTTGAAAAGGCAGAGTTATAATGTCAGTTAACAATGCAGAGTTACATACAGTAAATAGAGCTCTGGTTGGTCCTTCGTGCTGGGCAATGTTTCTAATCATCTTGGTGAGTAAGGGATCCCTGTATTTAAGTGCCCTTTTCAGTAACAACTTGAGTCCAGCTCCTTCACAGATGAGCTGGGCATTACGCTTATTAGCTGCCAGGTTTACTGCCAGAGACATCAGCTCCAGGGGGACTTGAGGCCCTGGTGAACTCAGCACCAATTTCATTACCTAAATTAAAACAGAAGTGAAAGACAAGCATTAATCATATTCATCAAATATCAGATTCCATGATTTTAAAGATTTTCGAATTCCACTACGTATTCCTTCTCCTACTCCTCTTCAAGGTGACCAGAATCAAAGAGCAAACACCGATTCATTCTCTCTGACTGCTGCAACAGATGTGTTCTACTTTGGTGCTCCCTTTCCACAAGACCCAAGATATATGTCGAGTTCAGCCTTATTGTTCCACCCTTGATGGCATTCTTTCTGATAATTGAAGTAAACATCTGCATTTCACCTCAGTTATTATAATTACCCTTCAGAAATTTATGCTTAATTAATCACAACAAACCAAACCACATCTGGCTAACACAAAGACACATACAAATGCTTTAATACAGTAGCTGCATTCCTAAACTATTTGAATTTTAGGAATGAAGCACGGGAAATAGTGCCAGATTTGGAATATGATAAAGAAATTATAAATGTTAATACTTGTGGGTTACTCACTGTTGGAATACAATCAGTGTAGGTAAACATGGACTTGCATTTGTCATCAACACTCAGGTGGTACAGGACTGCTAAAACTGCTTGTTGATGACGTTCTTCCGCTAAACAAAAAACACGTCAGCGTTAAATTTCATGAATGACAAGGAAAAAAGAATGTTTCAGAATACAAGAAGCAAAAGGTAAACTACAAATATATGAATAGAAAAAACCTTGATTGATAACTTACATATTAGGGCAACCAGTTTGGGAAGGAGGCCTACTTTGATCATCTTGGCACGCATACCAGCATCAAATGACAAGTTTAGGAGCAGCCGTACAGTGACATTCAGGAGGTCACTGTTATCTGTGGCCACTAGACGACTCACCTTCTCGACAATGTTCAGATCAGCCTAAAGAATAGGATACAGTAATTCAGTAATCTTTACTCCTGTGACCCGTCCCTGTGTGGTGTGGATAGAGTACAGTACGTACAGTAATCTCAAATATGGCGGATAATAATGGGAGAGGAATGGTGTATGAGGAAGGGGCCACAACATACATAATCATCCATATAGTTTTGTTCATATCTTCAACTTGTATATGCAGTATACAAAAGAAAAGTAATATGTGACCATTCTTGTACATACACCTATTTTAAACTTTTGAGCTAAAGAAAAAAATTTCTTACCTCAAGAATAGCAGAGAAATAATTTACATATTACAGTAACTATATTTTTTATCATAACCATTTGTGCAACCACTACTACACTTGCACTGTTGGTGTTCAAGGAGAGTTGTCATCTGTCTCAGAAGTTATTATTACTGTCTTTAAATATTCAATATTATTCAAGTTCAATACAAGCTTCTTTTGTCAGTTGGCAGACACTAAGCCATTACTAAAGATGACATGAACCAATTAAACCTAACAATCTAAGAATACTGGTACTTTTTAGATATGTTATAAAAACTTAGGTAGGTTAAGATGGGTTTGTTTGGTCTGTTTTTTTTAAAGAAGTTCACTTGGAAAATGTCTGGGAGAAAACCAATGAAAACCAAATTGCATTAATTATAATGTCTGGGCTGGACAGGAGCTATTCCTGAGTTAAATACCTTTTTTTTTTATCTATTTTTTTTTTTATTTTGTTCAAAGTCTCTAAAATATGCACTTTAGTTATGTAAGAATGACTAAGTATTAATCATGTGAATCTTTATCACTCTCTCATCCCATGTCAATATAGTGTACTGTACATTCAGTCGAGTCTTATGGGAAGTAAAATTAAGAAAGTTCAGCACAACACAAGAAATTAGGATAAACTGACATTGCTGAAAATTACCAAGTACAGGTACTGGTATACTGTACATAATTAGTTATGAAAGTCAGAACACTCTAGTATGAGGCCTCTATGATGAGTTCATACAAGAACCAAAAGTCACAGTCAAATGTTTATCATCATGTGCCACACGTCACAGTTTAAGGGCCAAGAAAAAACTTTTGATGTAAATTTAGTTGTGTTAGCTAATCACTGTGACCATTTTAATTTCTTGGGGACTCCGTGTAAACCACAATACAGAAAAACTTTCATAATTCAAAATAATTAGGAATCTAGCCCTTACAAATTATGAGTTTTTATGAAATACGAGGGACACCTTCGAATCTGAAGGGTACGATTTATGGTTTTTTTACTGTGCACTTTAAACATAAAACAAATACTGTACAGTAAAGAACTCACCATGTCATCCTTGTTCTCCATGTACACGGAAAGTTTTTTGAGGAAGGACACCACCAGAAGAAGCAGATCCGTTGATTCGCGCTCAAGCATACGAACCAGGAGACCCACAATGTTTTTCCTCCGCATTTTTTCCTCTACACGGACGTCTTCCGCAATATTCAACAGAAGGTATGTGCACACCCGTAATACCTGATCAACAAAGAATAAACAGGTGTAGGGAACCAAATTCTGAAATTAATATCAGGGGATAGTATTAATATTCTTAAGAAGCAAACAAAATACAATGTAAATCTAAATCCTATAATACTATAAGATAAATCAAACCAAAAGAAAAAGAATAAAAAGTCAAAAGATTAATGCTAAGTAAATTACAGTATTTACAATGTAAGCATAATCACCTGGTCTTGCTTCTCTACAACAGTCTGATATTTCTTTAGGTTGCGCTCATAGTCCTGCTGAAGCTTAGCTGGGTCAATGGCCATATCTCCACCTTTTTTCCTCTTGGTAAGTTGTTCTCGGTATTGGTCAGTTCGCTGCAGTTCTCCATCAACAATGTCCATACACAGCGACCCAATCTGTGAAATGCACATTCAGTACTGTAATTGCATATGATCATTTAATTCTCTATTTAATGAGCAGAAAAAGTAGGCTTAAAACAAATGATTCTGGAAGGAAACTAAAACATCTGCAATACATCACAAGTCCATTGTGATATTTGACCTTTGACATTTTCCTATAACCTGTGGCAAATATGTACACACATTCCAAAAAGCATCTATACGATTTTGTGTCAGACAATTTGTCACAACGGACAAAGGATTTTGACAACCCTACCGAGAAAACATGAGTTGCAGTGTTCATTTTGGAATTCATCGGACCCCTCTGAGAAGATACTTTTAAAGTGTGTGTACAATACTTATGTTTGGACCCAAAGACCATAAACATATCACATATATAAAAGGTATTACTGACCTTAAGATCCCATGTCAAATACAATTAAAATGTTAAAAAAGGAAATAAATATAAAAAACAGTATAATCTACACTCACCACTCAAGGAGCTGGTCCATTTAAGAGAGACAGTTGAAAACATGGATATACTGTACTGTACAAATATAGAACCTATTTAATCTAACTAAAAAAATTTTGAAAACATCCACAAAGGGCAATTTTTTATTAAATTCTGTAAAATTCAGTTTCTTTCTTCCACTTATTTGTCATATCATCCAATTGTGCTGGAATGCCAACAATGTTATAAAATTTTCACAAATCTAATTTTTAAATCTTCTGATGTGTAGTTCATCATGTGCTAAGAATGTTTATTATCTGATATGCCTTAAGTTTTTCCTTATTCTATTTGTTTACTTAGATGGGAAAAATATGTTTAAGTTATTAGGGACCAGACAAAAAAAATGAAAATCATGAGCTATTTGGTGAATTAGTGGTCTGTAAACAATGCCAAGTATGGAATACTACTGGCTGTACCAATGCTGTTTGGAGTGACCACTTCTGAGAGTACAACAGCACTTTTGGATGACAGGCAAAATATCAGGTACCCAGTAACAGAAGAAAAATATGAATCTGTGATCTTTTTGGATATTGAATGCTTTTGGGTATCAGAATTTTTTATTAATAAGGTCCTACTGTGCTATAACTATCATCAAGTCATACCATATATATTGGCATTAAGTCTGGAAAAGTACTTAACTACTCATACATTCTATGTTAGCTCTGAGGTTCAATATTCATGTCTAGTTTAAAATTTCATGCCAAAAAGTATAAAATTAAACAATTCTCTTATCCACTCACCTTGAAATGAGATATGACAGTGTGGAAGTTTGAGAAGACAGAGAAACAGAAGAATGTGTACACAATGTTGTAGCTGAGATCGAGACTCTTTTTCCAGTCTTCACGCAAAACCCGTGCTAGCGCTCCAAGAACTGTTTCTGTTGGTAGAAGATACACATTAATTCTTATGTTAAGAATAATTACACGTACAGTATGAGTATAATCTTACTAATCAAATAAGACATGCATTACCTGTATCATACCGCATTAAAACTAATTTCCAGTTAATAATACAGGCTTGAACCGTGTTGAAATAAAATAAATTCTGATTTATGATAAAATTTATACAATGCCACAACGAGGGTGGCCATCTGGGGTGTGGGCAGGTGCTTGAGTCAAGCTAAGAGGAGGCAGGTGACATAATTTTCCAAGTACAGTACAGTAAGTTTATAATCTTAATTTAACTTATTCAGGTGTTGAAAAAAAACCTGAATTTTTTAATTTGCTAGTGTATTAAGGTGTGCAAGAACACTTTTTTTTTCTTCAGTCGTGGAAGTGGTGGGAGCTGAACACTCAAGGTCAGGTGTACTGTCAAAGATTAAAAAAGATCTTGTGAAGTGGTAACAAACTCTCCAAAAAATCAGCTTTGTTTATGCAACTGTGCCTAGGAATTGAACCCATGACACAGTAGTGAGAGATATTCATGTTTGATGTTTGTTTTGTTTTAGAAGGTGTGTTGACATGGGCAAACTCACTCAATGACTATTAACTCATTATTCATCAACAACTTCCAAAACAGCAATTCAGAGTATCATTACCTTCCCCAGCCCATTAACCACATAATTGTAGTTTATGGCAAATACCTGTACATCATACTTTAATAGATACAAAGTAAACAGTTATTCTTGCTCAAATTCCCTTTTCCTGCAATAACATTCAGTAAGGTTGCACAACAATCTCATGACCTCAACCTACCATTTTGACATAGTTCTTCCAGATAATCAGGATTTCTTGCAAGCTGTAGGATGAGCGATGCCCCTCGTACTTTCTCAGGAATATCTTCATACAACATCTCCATATATGAGTCCAACTCATTTAAATTAGCTGGTTCAGACATGCCATTGGAGATTCCTGCAGCTGGGTGGTCTAGGGATACCTGCCCATCTGAAAACAAAGAATGTTTAAGATAAAGGAGTAACATATACAGTACCCATAATGATGAGATTATTAATGTGGAGTAAGAAGAAGGAAGGAGTAAACATTGGGTTACAAGTCACTCCAATACTGATAGGAAAGCAATCACACCTGTATGAATATAGCAGTTACATTCCTGGACTGTATTCAAGATATTCCTACAAGAGAAAATGTGCCAATGTCAAACCTTTTCCAGCATCTTTCCTTGAGAGAAGGTAACTGATGAGGTGTTGCACTTCATTTAGTTTGGAAGGATGAATAAGTTTACACTTATCTACCACTTCTCTTGCCAATGCTGAAACATCAGTGTTGTTGTCCAAGCTTTTTAACCGAATGATTTTTTGGCATTCCTGAAAATTTGAACACATACTGTACATGAATACAAAAACAAAGAAGGAACCATATTTTTCTATTCAACAAAGAAGTAAACTAATTATTCACCAACTCCTACTAAAAGCAGAGTCAAATTAAGGTTAAAAGTATAATACAGGTATCCCTCACTCTATGAATGGGTTAGGTTCCTTGTAAACCATTCACTATGGTAAGTGAATTTATCATATCTTGAATAACATAGCAAATGGGAAAAATAGGGTTCAGGTCCACAACGACAAGAAAACAAAGATATCATACTTAAAAGAATGAGGTTCAGGTCCACAATGACAAGAAAACAAAAATATCATACTTAAAAGAATGAAATAGGTTCACAAACAACAAAAAACTATTCTGGCTTATACTATACAGTATAAATATGGTCTCTTAACGTGATGTACCAAATTTATATTTTATTAATTATTTTATATGTTAAGTACTACTGTAATTTAATACCAAACACATCATGCACCTCCCCACTGTGCTCTTGTACAGTATTGTCACTAAAATGTGAGTAATTTTTGTCTTTCTTTTTCCCAGCAACTTCTTCATAAATACTTTTGGTGACTAGCGACACACTTACCATTGTGAACACATGAAAATACTGAGAGAGGTATAACGCTTAATTACCTTTTTGTCTCCAAGCATGGCATCCCCCAGCTGACCAAGTATGGTGGCTTCGAGTTCATAGTTAACCACTAGTGCCTTCTCTGTCGGGTGTACATCCAGTGAACCAACCTTCACCTTCCTTAAAATAAATAAAAATAAATATTACATCAAAGTAACTGAAGTACTGCACTATAATTTCAGTAACAATAAACTCATTCCATACAAGTAACTTCTTTAAATGTGTGGTCAAAGGTTAAAAAATATTCTTGGTAAAATTATAACCCATACTCTTTTATACACGCCTACAACAGACCCTACATTATGTATGATTTTTTTTAAATAATTCTATGGAAGATATTCTAATTTTTCTTTTTGTCATTCTAACCTTACCCAGTTAACAGGATTTCCTATCTAATGCCACATTACACATCTACTTTATCATTATTATTTCAACTCACTCAGCATATGTATGTCATTCTCTTTTAACTGCCCATATTATCCTGCTAACAACATCACAACTTCTCACAGAATTTGCATACAAATTTACCTCAAGTACAGAGAAAGATCCTCTCGTCATCTATAAAGACAACAATTCCCTAAATTTCTTTCAGCCACTTCTGACTCTTCCAACTGAGCTAGCTTTGGTAACCCCTAATGAGCTTAGATTAGTTGATAAAACTAACTTTTGTTCTGACTTTTTTTTTGCGGAGGTAAAACAGAAAAGTTTGAGAAAGAAATAAGTTTTCTTGTTAATAGTCAAGAACAATTGTGTGCCTTAACTACCTACTGTACAATATTACACCATAGAACATAAATGCTTTCTTACCTAATGATATTGAAAAAAATATATATAAATAAATATCCAAGAGCAATGCAGGACATTCTGCATTATATAAATTTTAAGATATTTTGGGCTTCAACTAACGAAGACAGGTGGCACCACCATCTAAAGTATCTTCTTAGTTATCATATGTAGGTACAGTGGTCCTAAAAAATTTATTTTCTTATAAATCATTTTGGTTTGGTGAGGTAGTATTTGAATGGTTAGCTTAAGTTAGGTTTGGTTGAGTAGTTTGGTGCATTTAATGAACCCTATATTAAAGTACAGTAGATACCCTTGTAACAGTATCGGGCATTTCTTGAATGTTAGCAGTTATCCAGAGGGTTTACCGATAATGAATCATTCATAAACTGAACCAAACTAAACTACATAACCTAACCTAACCTAAAAAATACTTATTACATTCTGAAAAAAAAAACCCACAGCTGAGATACATGAAGAACATGGCGGACATGACACGTGAACTTTGGAGTCCTCACAGCTGATGAGACGTAAAAAGTGTAAGCATGATTTACTTAAAATTTATTGCTCATATTTTGTCAATTTCATAATGGATAAATGCATTTATGTTCTATGGTGAAACGTCATACATAAATTTGTTAAGGCACACAATTGGTCTTAAATAAAACAGTTTTAAGTGGTTCATAATAACATTCACTCTTGTAAAGTATTACCTATCATTTTTGCAGCAAATAGGTCTCAGCCGCCAGTAGGGGAAAACTATCAGTGAACTTTTCTTTTATCAAGGTATAATTATCGCTTTGGTCATCCACCTACTTGGAAGCAGGTCAAAATCGTTAAAAACACATCCAAAACCATTACTAAAACATAATTTCAACCTAACCTAATCTCTCTCGGAAGGTAGTAACTTAAAATCAAAGAATTCGCTGGATGACTGAAACGATAATAATACCTTTATCCAATACAGACCACTAAGCCTTGCCAACACTTGATCCATCCCTAATAAAATCATAGTTCAGTGATGGTGTACAGTAGTTTCATTCATCAGAGCAATGAGTCTGAGTGATTATACACATACCTGCTACTTCCTCACTGAGGTATGTTCAGCCTTGTTTACTTTACTCCCCAACTGGATTACTATTCTGACCATTAAAACACATACTAAGATCTCGTTGAAACACAACCAATGTTACTAATAATGAGACATTTTAGACAGAGGGGAAAACCTGCTAAAAATGTGACAAATTGGTTGGTGAATTTTTCTTTATGCACCGGTCTTTCTCTCGCTGTTGTTAATATGTATTTTGTAATGTTTAGACAATTATAAGACCTTTTTCTTCTATGATATTTCAGCCGGAAATTAAGGATAACTGAGATATTAATTTTTTAATGTTATTAAATTCACTCAGTCACAAGTGTCACCATGTCTTCGTTTCTGTGAGATGTTATCAGTGCATCACGCATGCGCAATATTGACTGACATCATCCAGTTATGACCAATGATGTATCGATATCACGCAAATTCTTTTCGACCAATCACATTTATTTTTTTCAAAGGAAGCAGCCTGGGTAATTTAATTGACCAACCTCACAATGGCCGTGGTGGAGGTTGGTTGTTGTTTCTGCTCCTATGATTATTTTAAGTTTATTGCTGAGTTTTAGGAGAAAGACGATCATTCTATCCAATTCTTACATATCCCTGGTCCTTCCACTTCTAACTAAGGTATTGTGCTTTCGGACATGGCGCGCCCCAAAGCTTTTAACTACCGAGACATTTAGGTTAGTTTAAGCTAGGCCTACCAGGGATCCGAGGGCGGAGCCCCTGGCTTGGGTTGGGGTGGGGTTGGGCTAGGTTAGGTTAGATGATTCGTTTTCTCCCCCACCCAAAAACTTGATTTCCCAGGCTCTCCCCCCATTATTGTTGGGGGGGTACCTCAAAACTAGTGATTTCTGGCGGAAATGAATATCAAATTCGTTCAAAACTAATCAAATATCACCGGAAAAACATATTTTCAATATCCAAACAAAGACCGGTGCATAAGTAAAAATTTCCCAATTGGTTTGTTATACTAAAACACTAATGCGAGATGACATTAGGGGTTATACGATGGTGTTAGTGGCTGAAAAAATATAAATATATTTGATCTTCATAATTCCTTTTATCAAAACAATTAACTAACAATATTAGTTAATAATTTGAGGTAATTTGTGGTTATAATACTTACTTTTTCAGGTACCTGGCGTCCTCAGCCTGCATCATCCTCACTCTTGTCTGTCAAAACATCCCAGTGCAGTGTTCCCAGATCAAGTTCTCCACCCCGCTAAATACTAGCAGAGAACTAGCCAACAGTCGCTAAATCAGTTTTAAATATATCCAGTTGAATTTTATGTGTAGTGGGAGCCTTAATTTAGTAATTATAATAACTGCTTTGTGCAAAAATTATGTATCCAGTGCATTATTATCATCTGAAACATGTGATATGTATTGTCTAGCTATAAGCTTGTATTGTTTTGGGACTTTGACGGTAGGCTGTATGTAAACCTTGTGACGTCGCCGAGGTTGTGTGTGTTCACTCTTTTGGTTTGGTATGATAACGTCCTTGACCTTTATAAAATTTTAATCTCGCCGACTATTGAATTTAGGAGTCAGCTATGGTAATCAGCCAATGAAAAACACACTATGTGTTTCCTATTCTGTTAGCTTATCGGCATAGGTCCAGCATCGCCGCCTCACTGCCTCCTGTTTCCTCTTTCATTTTAGTGGTATGATCTCAGCCAATGACAAACTAGCTACATGCTACTTATTTTACTAGCCCCATTCTTATTAGCTCAGGTTCCGCAAAGCCAGACTGTCAGAAGCTTAAACACAGGTGTGTGTGTGGTCACCTGTCACCGCAATGTTCTCTCTCTTTCTATGAAGTAGGCTCATACTAATATTAGGTCTATTCATAAAATCCCTAAACCAGCCCAAAACCGCGTAATCTCGAAATTTCCCTTTAAACGCGAATAAAAATAATTCAATTTAGCAAAATATCACCATACCTGGAAACACTGTCCCAGTGACTCACTTGCTCGATCCTTCGAACCCCTGAAGCACTTTATTCGATCATACTGGGATGGTCGAACCTTTACTCAATGATAACAATTATTCTTCACACTCACCTTACAGTAGGTATCCTTTTGACATGGATTGTATTACTTAAAATCGAATGAATATCTGCAGTTCCAATACCTGCACTTACAACTAAAACAAAATATTTATTTACTGAATTATATCTAAAAATATGGATGTAAATTCAAGGAAATTTTTAAATAGTGTATATTTATAGAGGAGGAGGATGGATAGAACGAGAAGAGCAGACACACTCCTGTGGTTTTCTGGGTGTTTTGCATTACTAGAGGTTAACATTCATGTAAAATATCTAAGACTGCCTCAGAGTTGCTCAGAATATCCTGGGTTTACCAGCAATATCTTATTTACCAAATGGCCACGTGTTATTCTCAACTCGGAAGTTGAAAAAACACCCTTTTAGCGTTTCCACAAAAAACTATTTCCTTTGCATTAAGCATTAAATAATGTGCATAATGAGACCAAAATTGTCCGCCAAACTAGCATGTCAAGGTATATATATATATATATATATATATATATATATATATATATATATATATATATATATATATATATATATATATATATAACAAAGAGGAGAACCAGGGAAAACACAAACATCTTGACTAAGTTGGTTTCTTTAATCACTAACGTTTCGGAAAAATCATTTTCTATCATCAGAGCCTAGGCTCTGTTTTCTAGGCTCTGGTGATGGAAAATGATTTTTCCGAAACGTTAGTGATTAAAGAAACCCAACTTAGTTAAGATGTTTGTGTTTTCTCTGGTTCTCCTCTTCGTTATGAAACTACGCTTTCCACGTAACAAGTTCATTGCTGAAGTTAAATATATATATATATATATATATATATATATATATATATATATATATATATATATATATATATATATATATATATATATATATATATATATATATGTATATATATATAACAAAATTTATTGTATATATTCTATACTAAGGCAGCATTCACCTTTTAATTACTTTACTGTTTAAAATGAAAAGATACCCGATGGTATAAGTACCATACTGATTTTTGTGTAGTTTACAGCATCTCTATCGTACATGAGGCAACTGACTTACTGATCAATCCACAGTGCCTGCAACTGGTTTATCACACGGCCAGCCGTACGATAAACTAAAATGAATGCCTTTCCTCTCTAGACTTTCAATTAAGCGTTATTCATATAAAAGGTGAAATTGGTATACAAGAGAGAGTTTCAATACTCAAGTCCGTTTTAACAGAAAGCAGAGTCAACTTTTTTAATCACTCGATTTACAACATAATATTTTCGTTAGAAAACAAAACCCATTATTAGTCGCATAATTTTGATTTATATGAATCGGATCGTATTATTAAACAATATCAACATTTACATAAGTAGTAATGCTAATTTAAATAAATTACTGTATTACTACACCCCACTTGAGTGTTTGGCAACAGGCCGGCAGCGCTGGCACAGTTAGCGAGTGACGCGAAGCTTCCCGTCAAACTCGTTCTCCACACCACACAGGCACACAGCAGTGGATGTACGTCCTTCACACTGGGAGGGACAAGTCTATCTTGAGAGTAATCATAATGGGAGGTGATCCACAACCACCATCTTCAAGAGAATCTCGCTCTAAGCATAAAGAAACGGGCAAGACGGAGGAGCAAACCATGGACTTGCTAAATGAGGAGATAATGACGCTGTACGAGTTGCTGGAACGTCAAGGGGTGAGTTATAATAGCAACAATATCATACGTGCCCCATTCTCTTGCACAACCCGATGTCCTTTATGCTCTTCCGCGTTTACCGTTATTTGGTGTACACCCTGACTTTCATTTGTCATCAAGGATATATGTAGCTTCTTTTAATCTCAACTGCACGCCATTCACATATATAAACTCTAAATATTGCAATTATACAAACTCTGAACATTGCATTTAAAATTTTGGGTAAGGAATTTTGACGATTGGATAAGAACATCATTAATAAAACCTTTTAAGAGATGTCAAGTAACAGGTGGTTTTGAGGATATATCTTGGCAAAATATGTCTGTTTTTGGGCATAGATAAGAAGTGTATTCTTTAGTTTATCTTATTTTTTAAACCTACTCCACAGTACTGTGATTGAAATAGTAGGCTTGCGCCCAAGGCACACGTTAAGAATATAAGCACGACGCGTTTCTAATTACAATATGCTTAAAGTATGTCACACGATTGTTTCAAGGTTGTTAATATCCATACAATATTCCAAAGGTATTTTAAAACTCAGAACTTTAACGTGTATAAAACAAAGATTTATCATTCGTGTCAATACCATTCACTTTCGTGCCATCCACACCGAGATGAAAGTAATTTTGCTTCTCAGGGAAGTTTAGTTGTCTGCCGGCGTTATCTGAATATTTTCTAAACGTTAAGAAAAGTACTTCGTAATATCATCATCAACGTCACTCTGAAATAGGTCTTGTTAGCTTGAATTGTAAATTTAGGGTAATGCATTTTGTTTTATCAAGTAATGGCAAGAAAAACTGCTCATGGTCAAACTCATAAATGTGTTGTAGAGCACTGAAATATTTTATAAATAATAATAGTTTCATTAAAAAATCCAATAAATATTTTAACTATGTTTTTGTCCTACAAGTGTACAAGGAGAAAGTTAAGAAATTGTCATAAAAATATAATAAGTAATTTATTAAAGATGGGGAAAATAAAGAATAATTTTTGTCATAATCTTTAAAAGGCAAAACTAAAATAGGAAGTATCTCCACAAGTAAATAATAAAACATAATGCAGTGCTAATAGAAGATACTTACTTTGCTTTAATGATTTTACAAGTTCTAGAACAGTCTTGGTAACACTATAAAGTGAAATCGATGACTATCTGATGACTGGCCTTACCTACTATTACTGTACAGTGTACATGTCCTTTCAGTATATAACAAATGGTGCAATGTTACATTTAAATTGTGTTGTTTCTTTCAGTTGAACAAGAGTGAGTGGGAGGCAGTGACGCAGCCACTGGTGGAGGCTGTAAATCGGGCGCAACTCCGCAAGAAGGCAGCTAAACTGGCCAAGTGCGTCGGCTTCCTCCTGGTCTTCCTGCTGGTGCTTTACCTACTGCTTCAGGTATTTTTCCCACTTACTTACTTTTACATTCTTTCTTGACCACTTATCAACTTTCTTGGTCGGTCATATCCTTGCTGCGCACCGTATAGGTTGGTACTGCACTACTCTTGAATATACCAGCATGTGTTGGTTTAGTTTGAACTTTAAAGCAATATTAAGGCTTGTACTGTTAAGATTCCATAGTTTAAAATGCAGTGACCTCCATGAAACAGCTACCCCGGTAATCTTGATCTAATATTTGACATAGTTACCTGTATTAAGTCACCTCTGGCTTTTCCCTTCAACAAACTGAGCAGCCACTACAGTGTAAAGTTGCAAATATTCTAGTCGCTTTTGGATTTTGGGTATAACTTGGCATCTGCTGTAGTTGGTCTTGTACAGTAATTCTTTGATTTGTTTGCTCAGTTTTAACATTTTCAATGTGATCCACGTGTAACAATACTGTTTATGGTTTCTCAACACATAGTTATATATATTCCCTCGTGGTTCATTATCATAATTACTGATTGGGTAGTTTTGTGTGGACAGATACCGTGGGTGCAGAAGCTGGCGACGGTGTTGTTCCGGCACAGCCTCCTCTTGGTAAGTACTAAATAATGGTTGCACCTGGTGTTCGAAGCTGGCCTGCCCTAATGTAATCAAGGCGTGAATTTGTCAAGTGTAAAAACTGTTGGCGCGCGCACACAATATAAGAGAAAGAGTGAGTGAGTTAGGGTAAGAAAGAGTAAGTGAGGGATAAGAGAACGTGAGAGGGGAGATAAAGCGAAAGCATAATGAAGAGGAAGATAAGAGTGAGAGTGCTCAGTGATAAAATAAAACGGCAAGTTAAACTATTCCATAAACTTGTCCTTGTGTTTTGTAATATGTAACACACTAGAATATACGAGTCCCTCATACTTTGCGAATCCCCATACAATGAGCGAATCTCTGTACTATGCGAGCCTCTATGAATCTCGATTGTGAGTCCTCAGTTAGATTGTGCAGTATTGTGAATCGGGTGTGACCGTATGAGCACAGGACGTCAATACACAGACTCCCGTGAGCCTCCCTGGCCAGTATTGAGTTCACTTTTGTAAATGGGATTCGAATGGAAACTTGTCTTTATTTTCCACTTGGCTTGGTGGTTGTAACAGCTCGGCCCGTGTCTTGGGGCGAGATTGGTGGGGCGGGAGAGTGGAGTGTCACCCTTACTGGTGTGTTGGGTTAGGTCCCTCAACCAGGAGGTGCGGCATAATCTGGTGTGAGCAGACGGAGGGTGGGCGAGAGGGGAGAAAGTGATAACGAGAGCTTGAAGGAATCGGAAGAACCAAGAAGTGACAAAGGGCAAGAGAATGTATTGAGGATAAAGACGAATGAGAAAAAATGAACTTTAAAGAAGAAAAGTTTTTCATATTCTGTATATACAATTTCTGTACCTTTATACTGATTGTTATTTTGCATTAAATCTTTTATATTTATTATTATTATTATATAAACTTCAATGCGTCCCGCAAGACAACACTTTTATTAAGAAAGGGACATCAGGAAACTTGTTAAATATAGTGTACTGTACATCTACTTACCTGCAGGATAGCGAGAAATTCTGACGTTTTAATGACGAACGTATGACTCTCCCTGCAACAGATCCAACACTCACCATCTGCTGAAAAAAGTGCTTGATACTCGCAATAAATGTAATTTTTTACATGTCAGGGAAGTGTTTATAAACTGAAAATAATAAAGAATAAAAATAATTCTTTAAAAATTCATACTTCCGGGTATTTGTCCTAGTTTGCTTTTGTTTTATGGGCTTTTGTCCTGCACTCATCAACACACACCTGTCTCTCAACATACCTTTCTTTCAACACACACTCTCGTTATCAGCACACTCATGGCTCAGTACCAACATTCATCACCAGTCTCATTTGTCCCAAATGTAATCTCGGCTAAGTCAAGTTCTCGACCTACATTGCAGCTGTTGCCTAAATGGGACTGGTCACGCATCTACTACTCTGACTGTTTCATCACCAACCCCTACTATGTAAGCCGTGCCCTCACAGAAGATGACTGCAACGTAAGTTTTTTTTTTATTATTTGTAGTGACTCCAATTTTTTACAAGGTATGTATGTATCTCCCCCTTTTAATTATTTATAAGATACCGTTATTTTTTTATCTAGTTTGAGTAATATATGCCATAGTTTATGTGCTAATTAGTTGAGAGGCACGTGTATTTATATAAAGTAACAGTTTGCATTCAGGAAGATTTAAATAAACTTTGTTGTTTATGAATAGTAAAAATCCAAAGTATGACACTTGGTATGAAGTACAGTGCAGTACAGTATTATTTATACGTAAGTGAATGAAATATGATTATACGTACCATCAATAAACTTTTATAATTTCATATAGTTAATTCATTGACGAATATAAAAGTATGGAACTTATATTATAGTATATTTATTATTTTTAATTATCCCCATTCTAGGTATGTGAATCACTGGACAAGGTGGATCGGCTGACTAATGTTTCATCACATGTGGTGTCTGAAGATTACCTGAAGAATGATATTCCTTTTATTGTCACGGATGCCATGGACGATTGGCCAGTCATGAACACTGAACAGTTCTGGTTTGATAATATTACAGAGGTGAGTACCCTTTAAAAAGTATGAACTCTACAAAGCCCTGTACAGTACAGTATATAGAATATGGTGTATGTGTAATGTGTTCAGTGTTTTGAAGAGAGATTTGTCTATCACATTCCTAAGTACAGTAATAAATTTGAGAAATCTAGGTCATTAGTGAGCAGAGTAGAAAGATACTAGTACTGTAGCTTGCATTAGGGGAAACAGTTTAGAATATCTTTAAAAAATAAATTATACCTACCAAAACTGTAAACTGTTTTGCTTCAATGAGATCATACTCATGAATATGAAAGGCAAGAGAGTGTTGTTAGTACATCATAACTGTATTTATCATGTTCAGTACAAAAATAGCCCAGTTTTTCTACAGTCCATTATGGGGAATGTCTTTAGAATACCTAAACCAGTTTATTTCATCTGAAATGTAATTTGATGTATGAATTACATCAATAGCTTATTTTTATACACACTTAACAGATGTACTTGAGTGAGGAGCTGCGCACCATCTACCCTTGTGAGCTGACCTCAAACCTTCGGCTTCGTCCTGACGACTTACGAACCTTCCTCAAGAAAATCCATAATCCAGATATACATCGTTGGTATGGCCATTGGTAAGTTTTATAACCTATGGGTTATCTGAAGTGACGTGAGAGACCGTAACCACTAAACATACTCTGTGTTCTTTGGAGACAGTGTATAATTTCATACCATGTTACAGTATCCAGAGACAAGTTTTCCATATAAACCCAGAGCCAGGGGAATATTCAGGAATATTGAGTTAAACTGATCGAATCTTGGGTCATTATACTGTACGGTATATCTGTCGGAACTCTCTTTAGCTATTAAAGAAAGGTCACACTCCTGCCTCTTCAGTTACCTGAATACAGCGCTTGCCTGTTTCAGGGGTCGGTACTTGAGACACAGAAGAAAAACAGATTCATATCAAAGGAATGATTTTACTATAATTGGCAAGTATTTGAAATCCTCATTATGTGGAAATTTTGACTTTAGTCGCCTTATCTCCTGTTGAGAAAAAACATCAGAACTGGCAAAGCACAAGTGCCTTGTACACCAGTGTTAATTTATTCCAACAGGTTCATAAACTTTTGTATATGAGGGAATAAATTCTCTTAACGAACAGAGCTCCAAATTCTATAATCGCCAAAGACTACGGTAAAAAACAAGTGTAACAGGAAAATTAGAAGCTTAGGATTTCAAACTTAAAATGTTTCCACTTTATAGCATTTTTTTTATATTGGTAAATGATTAAGATGAGTTTTTATATCAACAGGGAGAACTGCAATAAGAAGGCTGCAAAAGCCCTGAGACAAATTTACCGCCGCCCTTACTTCATCCCACACATGGTCGACTTATCAGACTCCAATTGGGTTATCATATCATCTGATTTTAAGGGCAAGGTATATAAAGAGGTAAGCAATTTATCTACCAGTACGTATTTTTTATGTACGTAGATGTAAGAATAATTTTTTTTAAATGAATATATTTACATAAAAAACCAGTACAGTACTGTATAATAGTAGGTATATATGCACAACTGTGTAGATAGGCTGTGGTCTTTAGCTTGTCACTAAAAAGTGACAATCTAGATTTAAAGATTATGATGGCAATGCAGTATATGATTTACACAAGAAGTTATCATGTGGACCTGGAGTTATTTTGGATACATACACACACACACACAGTATATACACGCAGACAAACAGAACTAAAACAATATCCTACCCCCACAGTTGCATGCTAACAAAGTGTCCTGGTTTGGAGAATTACATCCGAGGAGTGAAAATGTTATTTCTGAAAAGTTTGGAGAAAGTTTCAACTCTAAAACCCTTGAAACTAGATTCATGATCTCTATGTATTACAGTGTACTCACTTATTCTACACTGGCAAGGCCTTTCCTGCTATATTTCAGGTTGGTCAGAAGCAAGTGCAAACATGTCATGCTTTTCAGTTATGCACATTCATCACTGCTTTTATGACATCTATCCTCCTTTTTGTAGTGTGCCTTTCACCTGTTCCTTCTATTACAAGATTCCTATTATACAGTACTGTACTTTCTCCTGCAGATTGATTTCCAGACAGAGTTGCTCTGGGTTGGTCAGGTCCGAGGCTGGAGTCGCATAAGGCTGGTGCCTCGGGAACCTTGTGATCACTTTTGTCCTGAGCTCCTTGAGACCATCACTGAGGGACAGATGAGTAAGTTCAGCATTATTGTTTTGGTCATCATTTCATGGTAGGGATAATGTGAATTGATAATGTCGAGTACTGTACTGTACTCTCTTTATTATTGTGAAATCAAAAAGTAAAAAGTGATCAATTTTACAAAAAAAAAAAAAAAATAGTTATGTGGATATCATCTGACTTCTAATGCTTTTTATCTTCTGTTGTTCTGCCAAGCCTTTTTTTTAATATAATGTTTATGCTTTGTATTTTCAGTGTTGGTAACAAATCTATTATGGAAGTTTGAATACATCCCAGGAGAACACACGGACAACCTGGCAGTAGCTGTTGGTGGTTTTTGGACCTAATTTAATAGTCAGTCGGGCAACAAGGGATTCACAAGTCAATCTGTGAAGGCTCCACCGACTTTCTTTAGTGCGCTACTGTAAGGTAAAGATATCTTATTATTAGGTACAGTCAGTATACAGGAAATGCCATTTTTTATAAAGAAAATGGTCCAATATATGTTTTCATTTATAATTTAAACCCAGAAATGTAAAGAATACAAAGTTTGTTAAATATTATCTTTTTCAACCTCACTCATCAGAAAACAAAAAGCATAGTATCTTGTTAATATTTGAAGCTAGTCATGTGTTTTAAACAAATTTTACTAAGATAGGCTAAGTAATTTGAGTAGTTCATGTTGTTGATAGTCTTAATTGAATTGGTATCTTAGAAATATAAAGATATGGTCAGTAAAATAATTCTCAAGCAGTTTTTTAAAGAAAGGTATGCATATGGTATTTGTTTAGTACCAAATTGAAAGTGAGCAACATCATAGAGAATTGTTACCGATATGGAATGTTGCCGTAAGATAATTTGTGGAAGTACGAAGTTCTCAATTATTAAATTTAAGTACCAGTCTTGTGCAAAATTAATCTTCTATCACAAAATGGCTACATTACTGTATTAGAAAAAACTTAAGACATGAAGATTTATTATGCATTTGAAATTTGTATAATTGTAATGGTTTTGTCTCAAGAGGTATTATATAAATTTATAAATGGAATTGCAAATTTAAAGCTGTTTCATTTATCAAGCACCTGTCATAACATTTGCATTTGACACTATTTTCAGAGTCCATATTTTGGGAAGGACTATGGTCAGTTCGTAACAAGCCAGCGTTAGCTTTCCCGGACTGTCATAAAAAAATAAGACACTGTACTGTGTCTTGGGAATAACTATTGTACAACACAGTCTTCAGAAAACAATAAAATTAGGAAAACTGTTATTTGGACACAATACGGAAAGAAATAGTGAAGAAAATATACAGAAAATTATGAAAAGAAAGACAAAAAAGGAAAAAAGTCAGTCAACAATAAATAAGAATACAGTGTAACAAAAAAAATCGGGCCCGTTGTAAAGGTTGGTGGTCCAGACTCCATGATGGGAGCTTTAAACCACACACTCGTCTCGCTGCTACATTGTTTACAGCTGTGAGCATACATAAACACGCAATATGACGAATTTCAGATTCGTTATGTCTTAATTTTTGCACTTACAGAACTATAAAAAACTTTCACCCTTATTTAAAGTATCTTATGAGTAATGATATTAAAGTTTTAATCATATTTGAGTAATTATCAATACTGTACTGTTACACCAAAGTCACCAATGGCTAGTGAAATCGGACAGCACCCATGTAAAAAGGGCGGAGCCTAACAGGTTTCAACTAGGCACAATCCGTTTCAATTCTTTCATGCCTTACACTTTGTTTTAGGTCCTATCCAATATACTACCGTAGTATATAGAATTATTTTTATTATATCGCAGTTTTTTGTTGCCTTAAATGCCTCCAACTCTTCAATATTAATCAAAATATTCTCCATAAGCAACCATGATCCGTGTTATTTTCACCAGGAGAAATCGTTGATTGGTTGTTAGCTATTTGTGCCACTTGGGCCATGCGAAAGGTTAACGCCTTCTGGAGGTGTTAGCTCAAGTGTCATGTGCACAAATCAAAAGCAGCGTCTGCGCATACAGAATAGCTAACGCGTTAGCTATTCCGTGTATTGAAAACGCCTTACAATAACCGCCTTTACATAAAACACGGCCTCCTCCTGAGGTAGAAACCATTTCAATTTGTTGACTTTGCCAGAATGTCCTACCAAAGAAAACCTCTGGAAACATGGAGGTTCCTCAGACAAAAGTCTTCAGCTCCCTGCTGTTCATAACGCTGTAATAATTTTTCAAAAAGACAAACTTAGTGTCAGCATAGATAAATATGATTCATGCCTCTAGGGACAAAGATATCACCATGCTTGACAAGACTAGGGAAAGTAAACAAGCTGCCAATCACGGGTGATTTTGGAGCCACTAAAGTGACAATTTGGCACTATCCTTTAAGTTGCCTTAGTAAATTCCAGGAATTTCCTACAACAATGAAAATCCAAGAAAATTGAGGAGGTGGCAATTGTTGGCCAGTTGGAAGGATAAGCATAAGCCAAATAGCAAAGTATGGAGGCCAGTTAAGCTACGTAACTAAACTTTACTTTATCGTGACACTACAGTAAACTCACTTGTGGCAGCAATAAGTAATAAGTTCTCAAACCATCAACCAATTCACACATCGTTCCATTGACAAATTCCTACAATTATTTCCAGAAATACGGTCTTCATTTTAAAATGATGCAATCCACAAATATATAATATAATGTAGTAATACATTTACAGACGTATAATTTAACCACCTAAATGAACCTAAAATAAAACATACCATAAATATGAAGAGTGTATATATATATATATATACTTCATTTTAGTCTATATAACACGCAGACTTGAACATATAATCAACAACCTCACCAGCCAGGATTCGAATTCTAGACCTTATGCGTGTGACCAGGGAACGCTACCGACTGTGCCACATAAGTGGCAAGGGCAATCCCGAATGGGAGGTTCACAGCGCCATCAGCTCGATGAACAGGCTTTGTGTGAAATATAACATAGTCTAGGATTGCTTTTAGTGTCCTTGTGGCATGGTCGGTAGCATTCCCTGGACACATGCATAAGGTCTAGGGTTCGAGTCCTGGCTGGTGAGGTCGTTGATTATATATATATATATATATATATATATATATATATATATATATATATATATATATATATATATATATATATATATATATATATATATATATATATATATATATATATATATATATATATATATATATATAATATATAATGTAATTGATCTTCAGGGTAATTCACATCTTCAGGGATGAGTACAGCCTGTACTCACCCCTGAAGATGTGAATTACACGAAAGCGCTTGGGAACTTCGTCTTTTCTTCTTTCCTTGTGGTTATCAGCATATATATATTAACAATGCAAATGGTCTCTTAAACAAGAGTAGATGTAAGTCCTGCCCACACACCATTACCATGACAGGGTAAAAATATTGCACTCGTGTAGTTACCACTGGAGACTATAATTATCCTATCTTTTTCTTTAACCCCCCTAAAAAAAAAAATTGTGTTCTTTAACTCTTGAAATAACTTATGTGTTATTAGTATATGAATAATTACCATGACAACACATGATCAATTTTGAGGCAATTTGCACCAATGTTGACTTTGTGGATGTTGTCACATGTTGATCTAGGATAATGTTGAGTCTCTAATCAAGGTATGGTCCCAAATTCTGACTCCTGCAACTGAGCTACATTTGGCACCACTTTTGGTATTAATCACATCATACATGTAGCAGAATTCACTGCCAATGGTGAGCTATAAAAAGTACAAAGATTTTTTTCATATTTATCCTAAAAAAATTCTACATAACTGTACATTACAAAATCGTGACTTTTATATGTAAATGTGGACAATCTACCTTTATATAAACATTGTAAATTTAAATAGTATACCTTATCATAGATATTGGTCATGGCAGTGAAATACTGTACAGTGATCCCTCGGTTAACGAGTTACCTCCCATAAGATTCTTAACTTCGGTTAACGAGCAATCCCTCGGTTAACGAGTTTCTTACGAGCCGACCTCAACAAGTTTTGGCTTGCACTTGGCGGTCAACCAGCTTTAGTATCAGTCTGCCAATACATTAATCGGTTCTAGGGCTTAAATTCCTTACTATTTTAGTAAATATCAAGAAGTCCATGATTTTGAGGGATTTGAGGAAGAAACAGAGTTGGACCAGGAGATTGTGTCCATTGGTCAGTCATTGGGCCTTGAAGTGGAGGAGGAGGATGTGGAAGAGCTTGTGATGTCTCATGAGGAGGAACTTACTCCTGATGACTTGAAGAAACTGGATGAGATGTTACAGGTAAAGGTTGACAGTGGTGAGGAGGAAATTGAAAGTGATGACCATATGTCAGCTAAAGAGTTGAAAGATGTGATTTACTACTGGGAGAAGTTCAGGGAACTGGCTTCAAAGCACCCAGATGTGGAAAAAACTGAACTAACTTTGTGTCATGTTGAGGACTCAGTGGTCTTCTTTAAACATAAGTTAATGGTGAGGAGGAGAGATGCCCCACAGACCACAATTAACACTTTCTTCAGTAAAAGGCAGAGGGAACAAGATGCTATCCCTCAGCCTTCCACTTCAAGAAGGAGAGAGGATGTTCATGGTGGAGAATCTGTCAGTCCAGAGGTTCCTGACATATTCATTGAAGGTGACTCACCTTCCAAGCAGTAAAATGCTTCTCCTCCACCTCCCACTTCAAATTCACATCATCATCCAGGAGCCTTCTACATACACACCTCAAAGTAAATAAACTTTTCTACCTTTTTTGTTGAATTTAGGCAATTTTCAGTGAGCTGGAACCAATTACCCAAAAACCCATTGAAACAATGGTTTCGGTTAACGAGATTTTCGGTTAACGAGCAACCTGCTGGAACGGATTGTGCTCGTTAACCGAGGGACCACTGTATTTAATTACCTTACATTACTGTATTTAATTACCTTACAACAAAACTAGTTATTTATAGATGGCAGACAAACAGCAGATCTGATAACAGGCAACTGATCAAATCAATAAAATATGTAACCTGTATCTAACAAAAACATATGTGGACATTCTTCTCCTCCATTTTTTTTGTGTGGGGAGGGGGGGAGAGAGGAGTATAACCCTTTATTATCACTAACAACACTCCCTTATCTACATAATCATCTCTCCACCACACTGATGAGATTGAGATAAACAAATGATTTAAGGCAATACCCCTGTACTGTATAATAATGGACGGGGGTATTTACTAGATTACAGTATACAGCACGTACTGTAAAGTTATTTATGTGGTCAATTGTACTGTAAAGTCTTGTAGATTAAAGGTACTCTAACTGAACATTCATTCATGGCATTATTTGGTTTTGGACACACTGCATACTTTATGCTTCGCGATGAGAAATATTACATCTTTGGTATCACTGTGGGTTGGTAGTTGGAAAACCCAAAGATGTGTTGAAGCATGACAAAAAAGCTGAGTGAAGCATTCTAGCTCTACGGTTTTCATCTTCCTGCAGAATCTTTAGTTCTTCCTCTTTCATTCTGACTTCTTTCTTATGGATACTAGACTCATGCTCCAGTTCTGAGATGGCTCTGAAATGAAACAACGATCACCCATAACAACAATACATGTAATTTGGTTATGAAATATGGCATAAATTTAGCAAATGAAATAAATTTACTCACTATTAGTCTCTTAATTTAAATAAGCTCCTTATTTTGTAAAATGTCACTTGTAGATCATTTTCTAATACTGTACTGTACTGTATGCTAGTTACCTACCATTTTACCCCCTGTACCACTCCTCAATATTTATGCAAAAAATATTTGCCAAATAATTCTTCTAATTGATTCACATCAGAATATGAAGAATGTTTGTTAGGTGCTTAAACCTAAATTAAAATTTCTTAACACTACGTAAGTTCTTTATAACCGAAAAAATCATTGTTGATACTCCAGTGAATGGGATGCAGTGGCCAATTGGTTATAATGTTTGCCTCCCATCCTAAGGGTCACTTGGAAAGTGATTGTGATTATGTGCACTGATGGCCACACGGTCTTCTTGTGCATATTGAAAATCTTAGTATAGAATGCACTGTATTTGCACTGCCCTTAACAGTCCACCAAGCCTAAGGGATCCATTTTTAACCCAATGAAAGTCAGTGTACAGGCTTAACACTACATGTAATCAAGCCATGCATACAGTTATTACCTTTTGAGTTCACTGATGGTACTGTTGAGTTTTGTAGTATTTTCACATTCATGTTGAAGATCATTAAGCTGCACTGTAAATTCATCTCTCACACGCTTTGCTGCTGCCTTCACCTCTGCATCCTTGTCCTCCAGTTGCTGTTGTTACCAAAATTCAACTTAATAGAATGTAATACAGAATACTCAGAGCAGGGGATGAAGAAATCCAAAATTTCAAGTTAACATGTCATTATTCCTGAACAAACATTAAAAAAAAGTAAATCCTTGAGAAAGACAATGTCAATGATCCTCAATCTCTCCATTTTTAAGTTACATTAATTATCCTTTTTGTGTAGCAAGAAACAGTATGGTGGACATTCATAGGAAGGTATATATAACCGAATATATCTCTGAAGTCAATAAATATTAAAATAATAAAACTTACAATATTTATCTCAGCTAGATCATTTTTGAGAGCATGAATGTGAGAATTGAGCTTAGCATTAGTGGCAGTGAGAGTTGAGTTAGTAGCAATTTGTACTCTCAGCCTCTCCTCCGCATCATTACGGCTGTCTTCCATGGTGTGTAGACGTTTCTCCAGCCCTTGGACTACTGAGACCTAGAATTCATAAAGGTAAGTGAAGTGCACTCCATTCAATATCACTTTCAATCCACATTATGTGCTAAGACGAAGTTTGTTAAATGTAGAGATTTTATTAGATACAAGGAATTTGCTTGAGACAGGGACACGAATCTCTGATATAAAGAAAGTTCATGTTAGGAGTGAGGTTCATATCAAAATCATTATGGATAACTATACGTGTTAACTGTTTTTATTGACCAAATGAAAAAGGAGCTATTGACAGGCAAACCAACATGAAAATATCCTTCAGAATTTAATAGAGCTGGAGACTGAAGAAATTGCATTAAAACATTCATACTGTACTGTACAAGGTATTGTCTAATTAGAATTTATTACCTCTGAATAAGTTAAAAAGACCATCCACATCATATCACAGAAAAAGGTTAATATAAATCACACAAGACAACATCATACCTGCTCAGCTTTTAAATGGTGTTTGAGAGAAAGTAAATGAGCCTCAGTTGAGCTCCTTTCAGTTGAAATCTGTACCTTCAAGCCAGCAATTTCTGCTTGTGCCTCACACCTTGAAGCCTCGGAATTAGAAAGCTTCTCCCTCAACTCTGCCTGTTGAGAGAATCCATCACTGTATGGTAGATTCTCACACAACAGTAATATAATATTTAAAATAAAATTGTATACACTGCATCAACTCCTTTCTGAACATATTTGTCTGTTCATATTCAACCATATTATATATATATACAGTAGCTAAAACAACTATCTGTGCATACTTTGTGGGAAACAATATGAGACCATGGACGATAAATTTTGGTACTGTATATGAGGGCTGTCACTAGTCACACGTGAAATTTTGAAGCATATCGACCCCCACCTGCACAGATAGTTGTTTTAGCTACTGTACATCTCCCAGAATATACTGTACAATTATGCTCTCATTTCAGAGCCTTTTCTTTTATTTCATATTGAGCTGAAGAAGTATAAAATTAAAAGAGTCGTGTGATGTAAAGAATACTGGGGCATAAATCATTCTTGTCACACTCAATACTTAGTTAACTTCTAACATAGATTGTGCTTGTATTACAAAATTAGTTCATGATGTGAAGTTGCCAATCTTTGCAATACATATTCCTTAACATGTCTTCCAAAGCATCCCACTACACCATCTCTATTCGCTTTGTCATTTGTTTTCAGATATATGAACAAGTTTATTTATTGTTCTGAAAAAAAAAAAAAAAAAATGCTGAATATCTATAGTCAAGAAATGAAACTAATTTGTTAATAAACTTAAACTTACCTCTATTTGCTGATGATCATATTTCATTTGTTGTACCTCAGTAGTGTGTTGTTGTTCAAGGTTCTTCAGAGTCTCTTTAGTTTTCCTAGTTTCTGTGGCCATCATCTCTAGTAGTAACATAAAATACATTATACTGTAGTTGTATACAATATATACCAAATTACATATCCAGACTGTATTGTGTTTATGGGGCAACATAGTTCAATGATTATTCATGACAGTATGATTTGGCTGGAAGCTGTCAACTCTGTCAAGCCATAGCTGCCATCTACTACACTTGTTGGACCCAAATCATCAATTCCCAGTCAAGTTCGAGTTGACAGCTCAAGTTTCACCAGGAGTTGACAGCACTAAAAAAAGTCAGATTCATTTGTTTTATATTTTGTACCCAACTTACATAAAATCCTCATACTAACCTTCACATTCTATTCTGACCCCTTTTGCTTCTAACTGTAGTGAGCGCAACGTCTCGTTCAGATCATAAATTTGTGTGTTTTGATTCGTACATTTATACTCCAGCTCCCTAACCTGCAAAGATAAGCCATATCAATCAATATTTACTTTTATAATATCAAATACCTGTACATTGTTTTGTGGATCTTTTATTAAATAACTTTCCATATTTTAGTTAAAAAAAAAAGAGACCTGTTTACTGCTTTGAGCAAGTGTTTTATATAATGTATTCCTCAAATAATTTAACAATAGACTGTAACTATATACAGCACAGTATATAGACAATGCAGGTCTATGGTGTACACAGCCTATGCAGGTAAACAAATTCCAATATACCCAAACGGTGCACGTAATGTACAACAATAATACTCATCAAGGCAATTCAACCAAGGGAATATGTGAATTCAGTTCATTAGGTGTAAGTTTAATGGTCAAAACTGAAGCCACTTAAGGACAAGACCTCCTCCATGTTGACTAAGGGGGCTGGCAAAACCACAATGACGTACAACCAAAACCATGTACAGTAGTATTAAAAGAAAATGTTGTAGAGACTTGACTGTATACTCTTCAGTACAAGTCAGTACAGTACATTAATAACTTCAAAACACTTCAGTAATGTGCAAATTGAAGCTATGACTTTGATCTCTGACCTTTTGATCTCCCAAAATAGCATTAACAGATCACTTATGCCTGGCAATTTTCATTCATACACTCTACTACTATTTTCATCATGTTGCTTCAGTGTATTGCTGTCTTTCACTGTTAATGTTTACTGTTTCCAAAAGTATTAAGATTTTATGCTTTGAATGTACATTATACTGTATAGCACAAAACACACTAAAATAGATCATCTAGTTTGACCCTTTCACTATGGGGATGCCGGTTTTAATACTGTATTTTAATTGGTTAATGCCAGGCGATTTTATTCAGCTCAGAGGGCACCCCATACATAAAAGGTTAAACACAAAAACATAAGTACAGTCCACACCTGAGTCTCCAGTTGGTTGATGGTTTTCTGTAGTGATCGCACCTCTTGGTCACTTGTTGATCTCGCTCTCTCAAGTTCCTGAAGCAAAAGTACACATCATTATATAGGTATGATGGCCAGTATCAAGAGCATGACTAGACTCCCCTTCCACTCTACTGTATTAGTTAACTTATCCTTTTATAAATATCCACACTCCTTACCATGTACTGTATATGCATAAATACAAGATCTGAAACAATGTACAGTGCACATCAACTTTCCCATGACATATTGCCACACCTACGAAGACAATATTGTACAGGCATTCTCTGATTTCCTGTGGGGCAAACTCTTTTTTCTTGAAGCTTCAAATTTTCATAAAACAAACCTTCGTAAATTAAGGACTTCCTGTATCAAATTTTACATGTTGCCGGAGTTTGTGTGATCAGAACAGTTTGTTCATAATGAAGCTTGTACAGGCTGGTCCTTCAAGAATGGTGGAAACCTTTATATGAGATTACTGTACGCTAATGGAGATAGAGAAAGAACAACATATTCCTTAGTACGGTGTCACTTGAAGATTACGTAGTCTGCAGAGTTAACAGAGAAGAAAGGAAGGCAGTGTGATGAGCTGCAACATTAAGTCGTGTAAAGAATGTGGTAGTTAAAAAGAAAATTCTAATGGTGACTACTCTTTATTTTCTTAGGACCAAGTTTTTAAATACTGTGCAGTAAATAAAGAAATGTACTTCAGAATATAATTATTTACCTCTTTCTTATTTTTATTTTCTAATTGGGCTGCTTCTTGACTTTCATGTAGATCCTCCTCCAAAGCCTTATTCCTTGCTTCTAACTGGGACACTTGCTCCTGGCTCAGGCGAAGTGCAGAGTTAACCAATTCATATTTTGCCCCCAAGGCTTCTAACTCCAGGGATTTGGATCGGAGCTGTTCTTCCAGTCTTCCAGTTTGAAACATACCTTCTCTGTGTTAAGAATCAATAACTTTGTACAAATAAAACAATCAAATAATATGAAAATACAATACATCAGACACAAAGAAATGTCATACAATACAGTGAATTATTATTGGTATAATATTGTGGGCAACAGATAAGAAACAGCTTTGTGGGCAACAGATAAAAAACAGATGTGTGCAACAGATAAGAAACAGCTTTGTGGGCAACAGATAAAAAACAGATGTGTGCAACAGATAAGAAACATATTTGTGTGCAACAGATGAAAAACAGCCTCACTTTCTAGAACAATAAAACAATAATCATTCAAAATTGTTGATACCAAATTATGTCTAGTTCTCTATTTCAAAGTAGGATGGGATAGACAAAATCTTTAAAAAAAGAGAAAAATAAACACACACACACACTTCACTCATCCATTACATCAACAACTCCAACTTCTGTGCTCAGGGCCAAACAAAATAGTACTTGAAAAAAAAAAAATATATATATATACTGTATATATATATTTTGCAATGTCTGTTTGTGTACCACGAGCGGGGCTATACAACAGTCCCTTACCTGATAGTTTTACTCAGTGTTAAGTCAGTTTGGGCTAAAGTTTGCTCCAGATGTTCAATTTGCTGAGCTGAATGCTGCTCCCGGTATTCCAGTTGTTGTTTTAATATATCAGTCCGACTTGTATATTCTTTTATCATCACAGCTGAACGGCTATTCTGACCTAGTTGCATTTCTGTCCAAGATGTTTCTTTATTAATTGTGTATCAGTAAATGTTTACAATATAAGAAAGGTAAGAAAGTGTAAGAGAAATTTAAGTCTGAAGATACACCATCACACCACGAGATAAATACAGTACTGTTTACTTTTATCTACGAGTTGATAATTTAATGATTATTTTTTAACACCTTCACTATGGGGAAGCCACTATTATCTTTGGCTAACAAGAGACAATTTTATTCAGCTCAGAAGAGACCCAGTACACAAGGGGTTAAGGAAATACAGTAAATACCTTACAAATCATCAACCGAGATAAAAAGTAAAAATTATTCTAAAAAAAAAAGACATTTCATCATGAGTCAGTGTAAGTGTGGTAACTAACCTGTCAAGATGTATTATACCCATTTCCACAAGACAAAAGGAGATATAAAAGATCAGACATTACTGTATATTATAAGAAAGTACAGTACAGTACAGTACATTTTTTTCTCACTCCTCAGCTAATATTTTAAATGATACCATAACTTTACCTGGCTCATAGACTTTAGCTCTTTTCTGAAATATATGAGTGAAGCAAGTGTATACTGTACTGTTATAACATGTATCATCTCCTATGCCATATCTTTAATATCAGCTTATATCCCAATTTATCACCTTTCCAGATTGTTTAGTATGCATATAAAGTAATTTGTCTATCTATTCATCTATTTGTATACAATACCTACTTATCTAATACAGTAACTGTATTCCAAGCTCAGTATAACATGGTGGGAAGGTACTTACTGAGAATGTCACTAATTATGACTTCATAAGAGGCCATTTTGGTTCCAACAGGCCCCCACAGGATGAATTATATATACAATAGACCACAAAGGAGAATAAAAGTAATTACCATACATAAATACCTGTACTTAAGACATAATTAATACATACCTATAGCTGAAATGTCTTCACTGGGTATGTCATTTCCTATCAAGTCCAGTTTGGTGAGAGTCCTATTATGGCATAAGCTTTCAAGTAAGGCCTTTCCTCCAACTCTTCCTATGTTGTTCCACCTTAAGTCTGAAATTTATTGAACATATATTTCAACTTATTGCTACCACAATCTTGTTTTAATTTACTAATACTGTACTCTGTACTGTATAGTGCACTTGTACCTTGCATGATCTTTCAAATTAAACCTTTGTTTGACTATAAAACAGTATGAAAGTGTGTCCAATATGTCTGTTTGCCCATTAAGGACAGTGTGGATACAGCACACTTTATGTTTAAAGAAGGCAGCATAGTTGGCACTGCACTCAACTGTCTTCACTTCTCAAACTAGATAGTACACAGGGTGGACAGGGTGCTTCAGTGACCTCACAGACAGGAAGAAAGAGCTGTATCCACTTGGTAATCACTACCCACAACAGTGCAGTCTACAACAACAGTGAAAAAAGGAGATGACTACGTGAATATCAATCAGGCCTTCTTGGACACTTGCTATATATTTAATTGGAAAATACTGGTATATAAAGGTACAGTACATAATAAATTGTCTGATAAATGTATTTTACCTTTGAAAAATGACCCGATTCCAATATTGGAGCAACCTACACTCTTAACACCACTCACCTAGGGTTGACAAATTGCAGTTTCTTGTCAGTGCTCGAGCCAGATGTGTTCCACAGTCCATTCCTAGCTGGTTACTTCGCAGATCCAGATACTGCAGAGAAGAATTACTCCCAAAGGCCTCACAAAAAGATGAAAAGCTTCCAGAGCACAGACCCAAGTTGTTCCACTCCAGGGACAGCCTAAAATGTTCCCAGTTTTCTTTACAAAGCTTCTTCACAAAGCCAGAGAATGTGGCTAGAAATTCCTTGTCTAGATTATTATCCTATTTAACTTCAACATCAACTCAAGTAAGTGATAAGAAAGAAATGCGCTGTATGTTCCATTCTTAGTGACACTGTCTAAACTTCTTGATTGGCTGAAGGGGAAAAGAATCTTATTAAGTTTCAATAGTTCTAGTGGCAAAAATAAATAAATAAATAAATATAGATCTGGAAACAAAAAGAATAGGAGTCTATTTGCTCTTTACTATTAAGTTGTATTGGAAAAGCCAAGGATCCTTTTTGTTCAGCCTGGAGTCAATGACCAGGGGGTTACAGAAAACAAAACAATTGGCTAAAAATGTAAGAGTATTAATAGTTTTCACTGTTTAATATATTTACCTTAAAGAGATTAACAAATTGATGAAATGCATTAAACAAGGCATTTCAACATGATTTTATACTGTGTACACCATAAAATAAAAATGACTGATATGCAATACAGGTAACACAATCCAGTTCTGTGACAATTGGTCTTGAACACAAAAACTAAGTAAAGAGCTAAATGTACTCAAAGTAAAAAATAGTATCAGTAACCCTCAAATTCTAAAAACTTTACGAACAGGTATCTAATGGTGCTCTATTTGTGTGAAACATTTGCAAAACTCCCATACCTCTTCAAAGGATTACCTTTAACAGGCCATACTAAACAATAGTATATCAGAGACTAATCAATGAAGTCTTGAAAATTAGTAAATAGTGTATCAGAAGATGGAACATACAGTACAAGCTGGGAGACAAAGAGACCTGATAATGGTGTTGTTATGCCTCAACATCTTGGCTAAAGCATGGGCACTGCTCCCCTGGATGCTGTTCCCCTTCAGTGACAGTGTCTTCACAGATGAATTGCCACAAAGTCCCAGCAGAATTGACTTGATGCCATCTTCTTTCAATAAACAATCTTCAAAGCTCACCTGAAACAGTAGACATGTCTTTACCATTTAGTTAGATCTTCATGTACACGTGATACGAAATGCTATATGCAGGGGGATGGTAGTGCATGTGTGTTAGGTAGGGGGTCTGGGGCAAGGTTCCTCAAATTTTTTGCATCACAGTGCTCATTAATTTTATGTGCACCAATATGAAGGTAGTGGGCAAATGTGTGCTGCCAGGACAAGTGTTTTTGGAGTGAGAGCTGTAAACTCTTGGAACAATCTGCCAGAGAGTGTTGCGACGGAACCGAGTGTGAACTCATTCAAGACCAGACTTGACCAACACTGGTGCAGGTACAGATACATTTTGGAACCAGGACAGTACTTGCCAACTTTACATAACAAAGACATGACCAACCACCCAAGCTAACAAGCTGGTCAGTGGCAAAAAGGATAAAGTAAAGTACCCTGTATCAGTGAAAAAAACAAAAAGTGATACATAATACTGTATATCTGTTTTAAAGTTACTACTGTACAGATACGCAAGAAGTAGAAAGACTATAAAAAGATAACTAACAGGTGCTCACAGCTTAAGATATTTACTGAATATGAAACAGATATGTCAATGTCACTTATATGGGCAGCAAGAAAAATTAAGTGTGCAGCACTTGATTAACTGTTGCATGGCTGCACATCTTAGAGGGAACATTGGTCTGGGAGTATCCCCCTCCCATAATTATTATGAAAAAAAGAAATACAGTACAGTAATATGTAAACAAGTTCAGGTGATGTCTGAGGGAAAGGTATGTATAAACTCCAAATCATTAGTTTGGTAAAATACTTTATTTTTCTATGATTTCCAAATTTTTTCATGAAGGCAGATTATGACAACTTACGTACAGGAGGTGTTTGTATAATTCTTGAAATTTTTATCTAGTTTTAAGTTGATGTTTAAGGGTACAGTATTTTAATTAGTTAGAAAGGGGGCAGTTAGTCGAGTTTGAATTAAGAAAGGGGATGCCATCCCATTATCTAGAAAAAAAGGGAGATGATAATTTGATTTTGAATTAAAACAGGGATGCCACCCACCCTCAGTTTGAGTCCTGCTTATATAAAGAGATAAGATCAGATACTGTACTGAACAGATGTATGTGTTTTGACTGTTGGAGTCAGTCCTGCTATTCCTGAGCTAATATGAATTGGGTTATGACCCAGCACCTACAGCAGCCTCCCATGGATAGTGATAAAGGCATAGTTGCAGCATAAATCCTCAAAGATATTCCTTGATACCAACCTTAGTGATTAAACCTGATATCTGCATAATCTTGCCGAGTACAGCACAAGTGCCAACATCCAGTGTCTGGTTGGAGAGATCTAAGATGGCACCCCTGTAAGTTAAACAAGACAAAAGAGAACTTAAAAAATATATTCATGTATGCATGGAACACAATCACACCTAAAACTATCAAAATTTAAAAAATCTGAATTTTTTTTTAAGAAGCTGTAATGCAGTTTTATAAAATATGGTAACTAAATTATTTATGTTTTTAAAAGTACTGTTACCATATTACAGTAATTAATGTTCTTAGTGCGAGGAGCACATCTAGCAACATGACTTGAAATAGATTAAAATTTATAATTCCAAGTCATGCCTTCAGGGGTGGCTTCAGGAATTTTCAAGAGAAAAAATAGCATTCCCCCAATAGGGGAATATGTTATGTTAGATTAAATAAGGATAAGTTAAATACTAACATTATATAATCACTTAGGGGGGTTGGGGGCGAAGGCACCCCCCTAGGGGGTAACAGATTAAACAAGGAAAACTTTTTTTTTCCAAAAAAAAAAAAACAACAAAATTCATGCAGGAAAAAATGTTTTTGCTGCCAAAATTCCTCGCAACACTGAAGTAAATGTTTACCAAAATCAGTTTCTGTGCTAACCTAACCTGCTCTAACTGCCATTGTTCAGAATATATATATTACCTAACCAAGGGGGGCTAACCTAACCAATGAACATCCAAAGAACAGGTATGCATTTGGGACGGAACGTTACGAAGAAAAGTTGTTAGAAATGAAGATATACCTAGAAATGGGCCTAAAAATATTGGGAGACATTATGGGCAACTTGTAAAAAAAAATACCCTTCCATTGTCTAGTCTACCCATCAGGCTGCTGTACCAATAGATATTGTTGTTTCGCATACGGCTGCCGTACCCATATCTTTGGCGAAAGTATTAAAAATAAATAAAAATAAATAAATAAAGGTTCCTCCCAAACTTTCTGGACTTTTCGTGAGGTAAAATGCATTTATCCTCTATAAAGAAAATCCCCAATTTGCAGGTCAATGTGTGCTACTGTTTTCCACTATTACCAACACTAAACCTTCACCAACCCGAGGCTATAACACTACCCCACTGCATTAATTTTCAGTAACCAATATACCTGTAATTGATACAGGATTTATATAACATTTCCAACTAATGAGAAATGAAATAAACCCTTTTTTCTGAGCATGTGACAATCTGCCAAGTATAGCACTGAGCCAACCATCACACTAAAGTTTAATCTCTGTTCACTTACTGAGCTAAAGCCTCTTGAACACATTCTAATTGTTCTATGTTGTATTTCTTACATAACTGCTTATACAAGTCATTTAATTCTGCCATGACTGCAACAAACAGAAACTCCAGTGAGCAACATGATAGTAACAACTGAAATGACTCGAGTATTTGTTGCCGTTCACTGTAGAGTAACACTACTAGGTGAAGCTAAGCTGATACATACACTACAGGATAACACTATGTGGCCCATACGTCGACTCATAGTGGCGGCTAGTTCGCATTGGATACATGGTTGAATGGATATATATAGATGGATGGATGGACATCTATAGATGGATGGATATTTATATATGGATGGATGTCTATATATGGATGGATGTCTATATATGGATGGATGTCTATATACGGATGGATGGATGTAGATAAATATAGATGGAGGGATGGATGGGTGTAAGAATGGATATATATGAATGGATGGAGACAGATAGATGGATGTATATACATCGATGGATGGATGGATGACTATGTGTGGATGGATGGATATATGGATGGATGGATATAGATGAATGCGTGAGTTTAGATAGCTGAATGAATGGATGGATATAGATGAATGGGTGGATTTAGATAGCTGAGTGGATGGGTGGATAGATTATACGGTACAGGTATATATAGTAGTTGAATGGATCAATGTAAACTTTTATTACGATTTTACTGAATATCTAAGGAAGCTTCAATAACCCACCAGCTGCAAGTGCTATAATAGAAGCACGTACTGGGTGACTACAGTAAGCGGGTTCATCGTCTCCTTACGGTACTGGGAGGTTTATTTGGATAATTGGATATTGTTTTATCCACGCTCTCTGTACTGATCTTTTCTTATTTATATCAAACGCATTACGGCTAAGAACAGTATCGTTCAATAACTACATTCTAAAAAGGCATTGAGAATCTATGCAAAAAGAAAATAATAATTTACGAAATATTGACGACAGGAGAGAATTGGCAACTCTACCTAGTTGCAAGGATCTTCAATTCTTCATGCTCGGTTCTCTCATTCAATCTCCATCCTCCCTCCAGTCACACACTTTACCGTCTTTCTCACACGCCACACCTCGCCGTCATCCCAAGAGATCGTCTACACCTCCTCCAGCCACGTTCCCGGATCATGTTTCTTGAAAAGCAAAGCATTTGAAATTTAAGATTTATAATCAAAGCTCTAAAACCTCTCGTGAGCATGTGAAACAAGTTGCGGCAACCGTTGTATTAATACTTTTTAAATATTGATAATTGGATTCAGAAATAATTAACATATTCGTTTCATCATCGTTTATAATGTGTAATGTTCAGTCTTAAGTGTTAGTTCACGGTTCAGAAATATTAAAAATGTCGATTAAGAACGGCAGATTATTATTTATCTTATTTTCGCTGGTCTTATTTGGTAAGTATTTTATTTTTTGTCTTTCACTCTTATACAGTATTATTACAATCTGTTTGCTAACGGTATTAACGGTTTTATAAGAGGAAATTAATTTTCTTTTACCTTTCAGTGATAATTAACAACGGACTATTATTAAAATCGCGAGACAGAGTTACAGAACGAAACGCTGCAAATTCAATAAGTGATAACAAAACACAACTAATTTCGACACAGAAAACAACGCAAGAGTTAGAGAAAACGAAATTAGAAGATACATCAATGGTTGGCACATCTACTGTGAAGGCGGATGAAAACTTTATTAAAAGCCAAGTAAGGGAAACTGACGATGTTGAAGAAAAATACAATAAACCCGTCCGGTATGTGATGAACGTACTGGAGAATAAAACATTTGAAGGCGCGAAAGATTTGATTAATAACTGGATAAACTCGGTCCGGGAATATAATACTATAAAAGATCTTCAAACCCAAGAAACTAAAGCAAAAAACAACACACAAGATTATGAAATAAAAACATCTATCAGCGTTATTCAAGAAGTCAAAACAATCAGTGAACCAGACGAGGGTGAGAACCAGGCCCAGGCGTCGGCGGCTCCACCTGACCGTGCCGGAAAGAATGTCGTGGTTTCTTCCCATCATGACAACAAACCAAGGGAGACGACCCCGTGGCTGTTGACCCAGGTGAGGACACTTGTACTTTTAAGAGCTTCGGGATATGTAGTAAACTGAATTATGACATCCACCTTAAAGTGAGAGAGTTGATGTAGTGTACAGTATATGATAATGTAACTTAGACAATAGTGTACAATGTACATGATGGTGTAGTGTACTTGATGAGTGTCTGGGCTCAGGAGTTGCCTGGCGTGGGTCACCTGGCGCAGCCGGTGCTGGAGATTACTGTGGACGCGAAGGTGCACTACAATACCACCTGGCACAGCCACCCCACCCCCATCCTTACCTTCAAGCCACTAGGCCAGCTGGGCAACACCATGGGTGTGTACGCCAGCGTCTGGTCCGCCGGTAGGGTCTATGACGTAAGTCTTCACTTCTCTTCCCGTTTTAATCTTTGCTCAAGCCATGAATATCTATTTCGGGATATGTACAGCTTGTTTTGTAAAGAAAATTCGTTGTAAACTACTCAAGCTTAATTTGATCTTTTCACTTTATTAGTGTCCGTATATAGACTGTTTTAACTTAGAAAAAAAGCCTAGTTTGTTAACTCCATGGTGTTTCCAAAGTTCTTTATCTAAAGAAAAGGACCTGTTTACTAAACAAAAATGACAGACAAAAGTGCAGCAGTATGTAAAATGTATACTTCCAGACGCCAGTGTTCATGGAGGAGGAAGTTGCAGAGATGTTACGGCCAATGTTCCCTCACCTCACCATGTCCCCGCTGCCTGGTGAGTCCTCCCTCCTTCACCATGTCCCCGCTGCCTGGTGAGTCCTCCCTCTTCACCATGTCCCCGCTGCCTGGAGAGTCCTCCCTCCTTCACCATGTCCTCGCTGCCTGGTGAGTCCTCCCTCACCTCACCATGTCCCCGCTGCCTGGTGAGTCCTCCCTCCTTCACCATGTCCCCGCTGCCTGGTGAGTCCTCCCTCCCTCACCATGTCCCCCGCTGCCTGGTGAGTCCTCCCTCCTTCACCATGTCCTCGCTGCCCGGAGAGTCCTCCCTCCTTCACCATGTCCCCGCTGCCTGGTGAGCTCTGGTGAGTCCTCCTCCTCACCATGTCCCCGCTGCCTGGTGAGTCCTCCCTCCTTCACCATGTCCCCGCTGCCTGGTGAGTCCTGCCTCCTTCACCATGTCCTCGCTGCCTGGTGAGTCCTCCCTCCTTCACCATGTCCCCGCTGCCTGGTGAGTCCTCCCTCCTTCACCATGTCCTCGCTGCCTGGTGAGTCCTCCCTCCTTCACCATGTCCTCGCTGCCCGGAGAGTCCTTCGTATTGTCTATGTAGAGCAGCGCCATTGTTAGGTATTTTTTTCTGGTTAATGCTGGGCGATTTTATTCAGCTGATATAAATCTCTACCCTGTAAAGGCTTTAGAAGATCTATCATAAGACGTTCATTGTATAATCATGCATCTATATTAGCGCGCGCGCGCGCACACACACACAGATGCTTGTGCGTAAGTGACATTTCTCGACCGATTAAAGCAACTTTTACAGTTTCAGCTTAGACACTACACGTGCCAATATATTTTAGTGGTGATTCAGATATACAGTATAAATAACACTGATGTTTCATGTTTGTCGTGAGGTAAATGTGTCTTATGTTAACAATCTAAGTTCAGTAAATATGGAATGGCCAGATTATTCCCCTCTCTCCAGTGCGGATGGTGGGGGGGTCGTGGTTGTATGTGGGGCGAGGGTCCCCGACGCTCACAAACTACAAGTCCTTACAAGAGGCCGCCGCTGGGTTGAGGGGGGCCAGAGCCATAGTGGTGGATGGTAAGTTGACCAGAGTGAGGAAAAGACTACAGACAGTCTCAAGCATGAGATTAATGCAATAAATAGTAAAGTAGACTGATTCTGGAAAACCTTTAGCCTCTTTAATGGGATTACTGAAGTTTTGTGTTCAAATATATCGGCATAAATATTTAGACAAATACTATTATGAACCGATAAAGTTATCGCTAAACCATCGACTTTCTACATATATTTATTATATTGTTATGTTACAGGTTACCCCTTCGAGATGCAGATCTTCAACGCCTTCAGGGATGATCTGCTCGAGGAATTCACTTTCAGCCACAAACTGCGGCAGCAGGTGAGTCACGGAAAACACCACGTGAGTAATAACGTATTCTGCCAGCTGCATATAACACGGAATTTTAGAATTTTTGCCATGGTTAAATGATATAAATGTGTTGTCATCATATGGATATGCTTGATTAACGTACAGTAGACGTGACGAAACGGTTGTACAGATCAAGTTCGTACACCAACTAATATAAACAGTGCTTCGTAAATGTTCTGTTTGGGTCTTTACATTCTGTCATATTACTTTAGATTTTGTTAAAGTTATTAAAATCATTAGACAATAAAAAAAATAATAATTTCGATCAAACTGATAACAGCATAGAAACTCGGAGCCCCTCAACTGTCGGGCGTGTTGGTGTGTGTGTGTGTGAGGGTGATCAAGCAGAGATTTGTGTGGTTATACACGAATAATCGTCTGATATCCCAAGAGAGTATATTAAAAGACGGTCGCACCCGCAGGCCCAAGAGCACCTACACGTCGTTGCCGCCGCCAGAGACAAACCCACTAGCTTCGTGGGTGTTCACATACGACGCACCGATTTCGCTGCTGCCTTCCAGGTGAGACACCCCCCTACCCCCTCCCAGTGTCAGCCTTGTTGATAACGCATTTATTTCATAGATTTAGTTTATTGCATTTTTCTGGGCGTCTTTTTGTCAATTCAACTTCCGACTTTACCGAAAAGATTTTCATTATCTGATATCACTTCGTCTAAACATAACTTCCTCTAGTTTTTAAGAGGTGGCCGATAGGAGGCGGGGCAATGTATAGATGCTGAACATTGCTGAAGTTTTAGTTAGGTACAGTATACGTCCACACCAGCCCCCCACCCCCTGCTTGCGTCTGACAGATCTTGTATTCGTGTTCTAACTTTCAGGTTTGATAACATAAGTTTATTTAAGGTGAATTAAGAAGATGCTGATGACATCTGAACCTGTGTTATTCTCAGCTGATTAGTAAAAAAAAAAAAATAAACACTCCTCCCAAATACCTGTTCCTAGTATCTATATTTGTTAACACCGTAATTCATTGAAACCAACCCACCGCCACCTCCACTGAGACAACACCCAATCACCCTTTCCTCTCACACACTAAAGCAATACGTATCCTCTCCCTTTACTCCTACAGCGTATGTTCATGATCGCCGGGCCTGGCCAGGACTACCTGAGGCGCGCCCTTGATTTCTACCGTCAGCGCCTCCCACGGGTGACGTTTGTGGTGGCGTCAGATGATGTGGACTACGCGGTGGTGGTGTTGGGTGACGAGCAGGACGTGGTCTTTGCTCCAGGTACTTCCCCTTCTACATTCTCACCTGTTCGCCTTCGATGGCAAAAATTTGTCTTGGTTATCACTAATGTGCTCAATATCGAGTATGAATGTATTCTCTCTTAAGTTATACATAGAGGGTGTGGCTGCCAGGTCACAGGTTTGCACCCCTAACACTCAGGCTACCAAACTGCGAATGCGTGCCTAATTGGAAAGTGACGACGATCGAGTGTACTGCCAGGGACCTTTGTGGCCCAGGCATCAAAGGGAGGTGGTGACTGCTGATGTTTGAAGTGACGAAGGTAATGTTATCCGTGAAGAGGCGAGTGAGTGACTAAGGTTCTTGACTCCTTCAGGTATGCCGCGGGAGCTGGACTTGGCGGTACTGGCAGCCTGCAACCACACCATCATAACGTTGGGCAGTTACGGATTCTGGGCGGGCTACCTCTCAGGCGGCACCGTCGTCTACCCGGACCTCAAGCCCAGAATGAACGAATACTCCTTCTCCCAGGCCTACTTAGAAAGAGCCAACCTCACCCAGTTCATTCCCCTCCCACCCTGAGTGCCTCTCCAGATTAGGTCAACCTTTGATGGAGGCTCAGGTTGCTGGGTTCTCTGGAACTGAGAGACGTGGAAATAAAAATATATAAGGTCAATAAAACTGACTTGGTTGTGGATATACAGTACTGTTAAATATGTGGTGGAGGAGGTTGCGGGAGTCTACCAACAAGCTCCCGGGGCTCGGTAACAGTTGCCTCACACAGATGGTGACTGTTTACGTCGAGTGTGAGCAAGATCGTGAGAGTAATATCAGTAACTCAAGAGATTTAATGTTAATGTCTCGACAGTCAGAGGGCGACTGTTAGAAGTAGTCTGTATTGACCGTTGAGTATACTGACTTGGAAGTGTACTGACTGTTGGTAGTATAAGTAAAGTGCATTGACTGCTGGAAAAGTAACTAAGCCATGTTGACTGGTGGAAATAAATCACTGTCTATTGTAATGAACAGCAAGTCTCAAAAATCACATGCCAGCATCACAGTGAAACGTGCCGACTAACGCCACCAAGGTGTAAGACTTGAGCGGTACGCCTTATTGTGACCATTTTCCATACTGTGTCGTTCTTCTAAAGTTTATACAAAGAACCATATTTAATAAGAGAACTGGAGGCAATATTTATGTACAAAAATTTTACACACACACACACACACAAATATATATATATATATATCTTGATAAATCACGGGAAAATGGAAACAACGGAGTACCTTAGCTTTCGTCTTTATTCAAGACATCTTCAATAAAGACGAAAGCTAAAAGATATCGTGCTCCTCCCGTGTATTTATCAAGATTATCTATCCACGTTTTCATTGTGGTTACATGAAATATATATATATATATATATATATATATATATATATATATATATATATATATATATATATATATATATATATATATAATAATAATAATAAAAATAATAATAATAATAAACGGTATTTAAATGGACATTTGCTAGTATTTATCAGTCAATTGATCCACAGCAATTTGGTAATGTGAGGAGTCTGAGGACCTCCTCTACATCACACTAAGTTAGTTTCCTGGACTTTCTGCACAAAAACCTGGAGAAACGTAAGACATCACTGGCCGTTGCCCTTGTTGACTTCAGGAAGGCTTTTGACCTTGTTGATCACTGCACTGTTATCAACAAGGCCAATGCACTAGGTCAATGGCCCTTGCTATGCACTTTTAAGGCCTGTTAGTTGTTGAAGCGCAGTAACATAACGTCAATATATAATTTACAATAAAAATGGAACTTATTAGTATTTTTTTTGCAGAATTGTGAATTTACCCCATTACTTTAAGTCACTGGTGGTCTTACCTATGTGGACACGAGTAGGAGCAGGGAGGTATAGTAGTTGTGTTAGGCAGCACTGGAGACAACTCATCTCCTCAGAGCGTCACCAAACCGTTAGTGCCGACAAGTGGTGATGGCCTAAAGTTCACTGTCGTCCGTGTTACTCCCGTTGTATTCGAACACTTTTGCATTCACCCCTCATGTATGTACGCTCGCACATGCATATACACTCACACACCCACACTTTAGTTTGCGGTACTGCTACACTAACCTTTGTCAACATAATACTGTACTTACTTAAAGCAACAGACTGGTGGTGACTCATCGACCCTGGTGATACAAGAACTGACGGCTGTTGATCGGAAAGGAATATTAATAATTTAGTTATAACAGGACTGTAGAATTATTATTGTTACGTCAGATAAATTATTTTTTTGATTGAGAAATAAATGTCTGAGAAAGAGAAAATATTTACTGAAATTATGACAACAAACAAGTGAATATTTCAGAAGAATTGTGGTGGTTATTGTGAATAATTTGACGAGAAAGATTAGAATGCTATTTTAATGAAACTACTGTATATTATTTTGTGAGTAAAAATAAATGCGTATGACTTGTCTGAATATTATAATCATCTTGATGTTGCTCTTTCTCTTTTATTCCTGCCTGTGTGAAGAAATGGGAATACTTTAATAGATAATGAAAGCAATCACTCACTTTTTTCTTTCAGGTTCATTAAGATCTTGATGACCAAACGATCTTCCCTTGCTCCAGCTAATGCACTGCTCATCAGGCATCTCACAACCTCTACAGTACAACAACGCTGCCACAAACACAAAAATGGACAAAACAAAAACAAAACAATTTATTATTTGAAGGTCTAATACTTTTCATATTAAGGGAATGTGATGAAACAAATACTCTTTAATTTATATACATTTTATTTAATGAAATTTTCTCTCGACTATCTACCAGTCTATAAAGGTAAAAATCAAATCTAGTGAACAGTGCACGGTGTGAGTTACTACAGGAGTGAATGTGAAAATAAATCAGCTGCTCAATATACCATGTGTTTAGTGTGGCAGCCAATAGACTACAGTGTTGTATACAAAGGGAACCGAGGTAAGACATGTCAAAAGAATACACGAGGTGGTACAGCACTTAAGGACATTTAACATCTCAAATCTTGGAGAGAATTAACCCCGAAGAATTCCACATAACGAGGGTATCTGATATAGTTCTCCAATTACAGTACAAACTATCAGGGCGATTAGATCTCTAGTTTTTGTTATCTATCTTAAACTGGTAAATAACGAAATAACTTCAGTACCAACTACCATCGAATATTTAGTACATTGTAATTATTTCAGAAACATTTAAACTTCCTGGTGTTGCTGATGTGTGAAACTCAACAAAACTACATTGCCATTATGAAAGCGATTCCAGGTGTGACATTAATTCTACCCATTATAACTACGCCAGTGTGGACCATATTGCAATTATCTTACAGATCTGTATGTCTGTTGGTGTGGATGATATGTTCTTCAGGTTCGCTTATCAGTGTTTCTTTTTTGACAGAAAAGAAGCAAGTGGTGTGAAGTCCTCTTGCGTTCATCATTAGGCCGGGAATAGGTCGCTCGGTCTCTGGTTTACTTATTCTCGCCCCCTAGTCCTCACACCACACTATACCTTCTCTTTTCACACCACACACTACACCAACCCTCCTCACACCACACTCCACCTTCCCTTTTCACGCCACACTACACCTTCCCTTTTCACGCCACACTACACCTTCCCTTTCCACACTACGCCACCTGCCCTCCTTACACCACACTACACCTTCTCTTTTCACGTCACCTTCCCTTTCACACTACACTACACCTTCCCTTTCACACCACCTGAGTCTTGTGTTACATGAATCTAGGCGTTCGTGGTTCAGCTGGAGAGGCGACAAGATTTTTGAGGGTGACTTTAAAGTTATGGGCATGAAAGTGACTGTACGTGAACAATTAGCGACTCTACGTGGTTCCTGATGTTATAATACTAAACAAAACTGTCTAAGAGTTAAAAAGTTTATAGCGGTTAAATACATGTTAATGACAATGATAGCATATTAACCTATGTGTACGTCATCCTCTTCTGTTTCGAAATTTTGACGAAGGTTTATCACAGTAGACAGTTAAAGATAAATAGTGATGTATAATGGAAGATGGGGAGGAATGTGACGGGTGATGGTACAGAGTGAACAGTGACAGATGATAACTGACGGGTGACGGATAACGAATGACATGATAAACGACGATCCTCCGTACATAACACAACATTTCGAAGAGTTGAGAATCCCTGCTGTTTTCATTGTGTTATTTCTATAGCTCCTGCGTTACAAAGATTGCAAGATACTGTTCTATAAGCTCCAGAACACTTAATGCAGTCAGTTATTTATGAAAAAGACCTCCCGTTGTCGCTCCTACCAGCCTCTACATCTTTGGGAGGCGCCATGTTGTTGAGGAACTTCTTGAGGACGAGCTCCACCCAGAAACGATAAGGCTGGACGAGGGTGTAGGCAACGGGGATGGTGGAGCGAGCATTGGCAAACCCACCCACACCTACCACCCTCACCCGCCCGCTCTTCTCGTCCTCCACCAGTACCACCGACTTCCCCACCTGAAACATCACCACCAAACAGTCATCTAAGTACAGATATTCTGGAAACTTTTATCATTACTCGTTTAAATTCACAGTATAACTCACAAAATATCATCAATGGGTAATTACCGTCTCAAACCTGATGTAGACACAGAGGTGGTTTTTGGTGAGGAGAGTATACAACATGGAGGAGAGGTCTGTGTTCGTGCGTACAGTGAAGAAGCAAGAGGCAGCCCCTTCAGCCGTCACGTTAGGCTTGGCGTACCTACTGGCTACACGACCCTGAGGACCTAAAGTAATAAATTAAGGTTTTTCATCTACCACATTATCACTTGTAGGGTATACAGACGATGGTGTACCTGCGATGAAGATTAATTAACTCTGTAGGTAAGGTAAAGAGAGGTGAAGACTTACCATCCATGATATTCTCGAAGCCAGCAATAGTGACGGCGAAACTTGCCTCCGTGTCCTGCTCCTCAAACACTCCCGGGAGGCACACAGGTTGGAGGTAGTCTGAGGGAGAGATACTAGTTATTACATATTCAAGTCTCGCACACATACATACACACACCACACACACACACTCACCACTAAAAATAAAAGGGTTGGCCAGTTCGAGGATGCCAATGTTGATGCCTGTGAAGAGGTCGTCCCTGGCCTCGATGTCCGGGTGTATCCTGCGACCCACCACGAAGTTCTCCTCCGCCCTCTGGTCAGGCAGCTCCCCCGACCTGCTCGCCTGCACCACGTTACTGTATACCCCAACAACCACGCTCATATTAGACGTGATGGAAGTGATTGATGTTCTTCATACTTGTAACATGATATAAATGACTGGTGTTCACGTGATATAAGTGAGGGATTTTGTTTATACTTGACATGATGTAGGTAACTGATGCCAGCTTCATGATACAAATAAGGTAACATAACTAACGTCACTTACATATGTGGGGAGGCAACACAGTCGGCATCTGTGAGGACGTGGAAGTTAGTGATGATGACACCTGTACAGCGGTAATGGAACCTGCCGTCCTCTCTAGACCCCAGCGCCACCACCCATGGCAGCGGTTCCCCCAGCACCTGTGTACTGTTCAGCGGGTTCTGGGGATAGAGGAGATAAGAATTAGATATCTAGTTACCTGACAATTTACCTGATGTTCAGTTGCTGTATATTAGAACACAAGAGTAAATAAATCCAAGTAAAATAATGGTAATAATAATAATACAAATATAATAATATTAAAATTCGTTTAAGATCTTATATCAATTAATTCTCTAATACCTCATACTACGTCATCCCAGCCAGCCTCACTATAAGCTGGTATGTGAGGCCTCATGTGTACAGTGATCTAGTTCGTTCATAATCAATAATCAGGAATTTATTTGACATTTTTTCTGAACTTGTAGCTCTGTTATTAGTCACCATTAATATTTTCTTTACGTTGACTGCCAAGTTTCGACAGGAAGGTACAATTAAGATTGATATGTTATGTTATAGATCCCACTGGTGATACTCATGGTGCGTGTGCTGACCTTTATGGTGCAAGAATACTTTAATGTAAACTTTTATAATGTACATTGGTGGACTGGTTAATGTTCTGGGTTTGTTTGGTAGTGTATACATTTACTGAAGATATACCCAACTTGTAACCGTCCGGAATACAGCTGAAGAACATTTATTGTTTGGTATCATAATTTATCGCCCGTGTCACAGAATTTTGAGGAACGTGTTTGACTCGCTGTGCCGTCCTCACCTGTACACTACGTCCAGGCTGACCATGGGACGCTGCCCCCAGAGGTAACTGCCACCTACCCGTCCACAGTCCAGTGGTAGGATGAGCTCGATGCCGGAGGCCACCAGCAGAGCCTTGACACGACTTAAGAACTTCTTAGCCGTGTGGTTGGAGCTGGAGTAAGACAATTCGGGAGATTCCATCACTGCCTCAGCCATGACAGGTGAAGCTGCGACGGGAGCCTTGGGCGTGATGGTGGTGGTGAGCGTCATGGTGGCTTCAACACGTCTGGTGGTGGGCCTAATGGTAAGGTCATCTATTCTGGTGACGGGGATCATGTCAACTTCACCCAAGGTGGTAGGTATGATGACACGATCAGCCGTTCTGGAGGTGGAGGGCATCATGGAGGTGGTGATCTCGTCTGCCAGTTGAAGCAACTCCTGCATGAGGAGGTCCTCGTTGGCCTGGGCGCCCTCCTTCGTCATCACCCTCACCATGTCATCGATGGTCTGCGACACAGTAGTGGAAGACAAAGAAGTCATTATTACCCAAGTTTTCTTATGACTGATAATACAGAGTAATATTTCTATCCTTAGTAACTTACAACGACACTACAGATTACATTTCTCAAAAACAGGTTATTATATACAGTATACACCTGCTAAATATATGGCCAGTTATTAAGTAATGAACTGTACATCTAATATATAAACCTTCTAATATAAAAGTAGTCGTCCCCGAAAATAGTATGGAAATGAATATAACACGTACAGTCCCCTTCACTGGTGCGTTTACAGGGGGTCGTCAGGTTTTGTGCAGTGTGGCAGGGCTGTGTTTGTTTACATTCGAAAGAAGGAAACTCCCAAGAGTAAACATATTATGGAATCAAAGTAAAACAATATTAAAATAAATATCTCAATGAAAGGGACTACTTTCGTCACAAAGGAATTTATCATGAATGACATTTTCCAAGAGATATCCACATCCCCTGACCCATAATCATCCGCTCTACAGAACATCACTGCACTTCCTCGTTGTATCATCAAGTAGCTCACTGGGCTGTTTCATTCTACATCGGCTGTGACTTGAATCAACAGTTAAGGATTTCTTTGCGCGTAACAGCTGACGTAAACACGGCGAAACATATTACTCTAAACAACTGTCTCTTGTGAGGGAAACATTTATATTATCCTGTAATGTATAGTTCACCAATAAAAAGGTAGAGAACATAGACAAGCAATTTAAATACTCTGGGTAAATTTCCTCCATAATTGATGATGTTTAAGATGACTAAACCTGACGACCACAGTCTCCCCCCCCCTACCTCCATCGTCTCGACCATGGGCGCGGGTTTCAGTAGCGTAAAGGGAAGTTGTTGTCTTCGTAGCGCCATGGACTCGTGCGCCAACCCCGTCAGCATCATATCCTGCAGAAGGAGAAGGAGGTTGGGTGAGCATCAACACGGCTAATGTGAGAGGGGGGATGCTGCCCTGACCAACGTGCTCTGCCTGACCGATGGTGACGCCTGGTAGAGAGAGAGAGAGAGAGAGAGAGAGAGAGAGAGAGAGAGAGAGTAAATGTGAACGTGTACAATGACAGCATTTGGTGCCACGAGTCTTATCTGTGTTCAAACAAGAGAAAGATCGTAGTGTTAATGGTGAATACGACAAAAGCCTACAACATAGTGACAGTTATAGTGAGAGATAACACAGTGATAATGGTAATAACAATAACGCCATGTAGATTAAAGACAGAATGGTGACCGTCATAGCAATCATAGTAACAAAGTGAAAGATTTTCTTTTTTAATTCAAGTCATTTTTCATTAGAGGAAATAGATCATAATGTGCTTTAGAAATAGCTAGTAGAAAATTATCTAATTACGAAAGTGATAAAAATATGAGGAGTAAGGTGTGTGGAATGTGTGTGGAGGGTTGTAGTGTGTGGTGGGGTGGAATGAGTGAAGGGGATGAAATGTGTGGAAGAGGGATGGCGTGTGGAGGAGGGATGGCGTGTGTGGAAAGGTAGAGCTTAGGAAGGGTGGAGTGTAGTGTGGTGGAGTGTAGTGTGGTGGAGTGTAGTGTGGTGGAGTGTGTGTGGTGGGGTGGCGCTTGTTAAGGAGGGGTGGTGTATGTCTGTGTGGTGGGGTGGCGTGTGTGGTGGGGTAGCATTTGTGGTAGAGGGGTGACGTGTGTGGTGGAAGTGTGTGGAAGGCCATAATGGGAGGCTTACCATGGGTGCAAGATGAGGACCATGTCTGGCACTGTTCATATGAACTTGGTGGCGCCGACCTGGAAGTCAATACTTGTCTTAAAACTACACAACATTAACACATATCTGGGCTCTGAACCTCCTACACTGTGAGACTCCTGCACTGTGAGACTCCTACACAGTAAATTGTATCATGACGAACTAAGAGTATAATATATAGTAAATTGCGTCCATTTAACATTGTAACATTTAATCCAGGTAAAATATGATTATCAATAAGGTTAATTGGAGGTATAATGTACTCATGTTTTCGAGGTAAGTACAGGTCCTTGAGGTACGCCAGGTCTCAAGGTTCCGCTAATAAGTCAACACAACTCGCACTGTTATGGCGGGTCACATCATGACAGCGTTACACAAGTGGACTAGTGTGTGTTAAGACATACTGTACTGTGGTTGATGAAATGTGTGGCGAGGACGTACCTTGGTTGCTGAAGTGTGTGGCCGCCAGCTGAAGATTCACCAGCACCATCACCACCGTCACCATCAACATCTCCACATACGAGACACAGAGTCTTGGCAACTTAGTGTGAGTCTTGTTCCTCTCTGGGTGGTGATCCTGGGTCTGGGTCGTCATAGATCTCTTACGAGTCTTATGGTTCTTTTAATTCTGAGGTGGTACTTGTGTCCGTTCCTACTCGCTTTGTAAATTGGGAAAAAATATTATCCACGTTAAAGAGTTAAATTTTGTTAGTGGAATATTATATAGTATTAGAGATATTTTTCCCTCAATAAAATACTTCACATGGTGTTAAAGATCGTTCACAAACAACGATCCCATCTTAGAAATTACTAAAAATAAACCAAGTTCTCGAGAGGACGACACGACACTATACCAAAACAACACAGCTCACCTCACGAAACCAGAACACTAGTCACAGTCCTTTGATGACCAACACCAAACACTGTATCTAGGTTCACACACACACACACACACACACACACACACACACACACACACACACACACACACACACACATATATATATACACACACACACACACATACACACACATATACACACACACATATACACACAGGTGCTATCTACTATATATTTTTTCTACACACTACGCTGTTCGTGTCACTTCTCTTCGTCGTGGTGAAGTGCAAGATGTTCCTGGGTAATTTTAGCGATGTTCTTAGTCGATATTAATAAATAACATATTCCCAATACACCGTCTAATGAATAATAATAGAAGCGATACATCTACCGTAATAAGATTCCCTGACCCGTTCCTTACACCAGATCAACATTAAGTCATTACCAAGTGTAAATTATACTGTACGTTGTTATAAAACTATCAGGAAAGGTCAGAGTGAGAAGATATCACCGAGATGAAGACACGACCTACCTCTCTGCTGACACACTGCTGACTGCCTGCCTCCTGTCACAGTCAGCCTCGCCCAGTCAACTCTCTCTCCAGTTGCCAGGTCCTTCCTCTACAACCAAAATATTCCTGCTGGCAAATTCCTGTTATCTCAGCCGCTGAAGAACATCACTGAAGTGTAGCCAAGCACGCCAGCCGCACTGAACTCCTGCATTATCTTACACTACAGGGATTCATTTTGGATGATACAGTCATGCTACGTGCCCTTCTGTCAACATGGACCTAGGTACATCACAGTTACTCAATAATAAAGAGATCGCTGGACTCGTTCCGCTTGTCACACTGCATAAAGACTATTGCAGTCATCGTTGGCAATGATAATATATCCCCGAACCTATATATATGTATGCTAATGTTGACCAACACCTTCACGCCATACCTGCAGGTGTTGGGCGGTGAGGGGAGGACTACTGGTGATCTGCTACACTGACGTAAAACTGTCCGTCTTAAGACACTTTCAGGGGAGAGCTCTTCCTGCAATGGTGACGAAACAAACACCATACTTATGTTCTAAGATCTGCCCAGCTTCACGAGAATCACTGAGAATTCCATACATTCAATAAAATTCTTTAAATTCTCAGAAACTCCACCCCTCCCCTCTCTCTCTCTCTCTGGCTAAAATACAGTATGGTGACATAGCAGTTCACACCTTGGCTACCCAAGAACGGACACACCTCAACTGTGACATTTATTATACCTGTACTTTCAGTTTCGTGTGTGTGTGTGTGTGTGTGTGTGTGTGTGTGTGTGTGTGTGTGTACAGGGAGCCCCTGTATATATTCATGTATTTCTAAGATAGTGTAAATTTATGTGCATACGTAAGTGTTTTTATATTAGTGTAGGTGGCCCTAGGTTCACCTTGGGCTAGGAATGTGCAATGTCCCCAAAAAGCATGGAGACTTACCAAAAGGGTGACAGGAGAACAATGTCAAGTAATAACAGGGGACGATGGTTAACAGTGTTACGTAGGAGATGATGTGGAACAGTAACAGAATAAGCAGATGTGTAGAACAATAACATATTGCGGAACAGTAGCATATATTAAGGACGAGTATCATATGTTGTGGGACAGAAGGGTATAAATATAGTGAATAATAAGGTAAATTCTGGTAGATGTGGTAGAGCGGTGGCTAATGTGGTAGAACAGTGTGGGTGGAGGATGTATCCCTGACCGAAAAATCCTGCGTAAGGCCTCCACATTCTCAAGGGTGGATGGGCCGCTCACCATCCCAATAAACAGGCGATGTTCAAATATTCGGTATAGTTCCCCCTAAAGCTATACCAGCAACCTTAACCATAGAAAACAGATCATTATATACAATTGAGGGGCTAACTTAACTATTATTATGGGATTGCGTTATAGGTATCTTGAGATTATGAGGTGCTATGAATCATGTAATAAAACACTGAATATATATATAACTAAACTACATCTTCCCAATATTTTGTGTTTACTGTAAATTAATAAGCATAAGTTGAGAATACAGCCGTTACGTGTTTACCCCTCATAATGCGGTTTGGGTTCGATCCCCGTGTTAGATGTGACAAGTGTATTTTCCAGTGTGGTCCACGGTTAGGAAGCTGAGTAGTGGTGAAAATGATATGTTGTACAATTAGACTTAAATAATGGATAGTTTCTTGAACCACGGAAATAAAAGATCCTTAATAAATAGACTAAACTACATACTTTTATCCTCTTCGCCACTGATCGGCTTGTTAGCCGCTTGGGCGATCGGTCACGACTCTTTTCCTTTATATTCTTCACCAAAAGGTCGGCTCGCTAGCCGCCCGGGCGATCGGTCACGTCTCTGTCACGCACTGTTGGCAAATACTGGGCATGCACCGGCTCCTGAATGTACCTGAACCCGCTCCAGTGTTGGTCAAGTCTTCTTGAAAGAGCTCACACTCGGTGCCGTCACAACACTTTCTGGTAGATTGTTCCAAGAGTTTACAACCCTCACCCGAAAAAGTTTGCCCTCACGGTTTTCCGGACTTGCGGCTTCTTCAATCTTGAGCTGTGACCCCTTGTGGGGCGAGCGTCCGCCAGCTCCAAGTAAGGACACTCAACTGAGTAGTGCCCCTGAGATGCTTATAAACCTCAACTAGGTCCCCTGCCCGTCTGTAGTATAAGCTAGGCAAGTTCAGGCGCCCAATCTCGCAGGGTAGCTGAGATGCCAGTGCAGGCACCAGCTTGGTGGCCCTCTGAACATTTTCAACCAACTGACAGTCCCTAGCATATCTCGGGACCAGATGTGACAGTACTCCAGATGGGGAAGCACTTCACTCCTGAAGATCGTCACGAGGACGGACCGTCTAGATATCTGAACGACCTTCTTATAAGACCCAATAATTTATTTGCCTGATTTACCTTCTTCTCACAATGGCCTGAGAACTTCAGCTCATTGTCAACATACACACCTAGGTCCTTCTCACACAGTCTCAACTAGTACATTTTCTTCATCCTGTTGGGACATATGGTACGCCCTTACCGTTGCGCCCCAGGTGCATCCTCTTACACTTCGTGACATTGAATCAGCAGCCATTCCTTCGACCATTCCTGAGCCCACAGAGGTCCTTCTGCAGCTCTTCACAGTCCGCTTGGTTCTTAATTTCCCGAAATAACTTGGCAAACATTTGTATGGAAGAGTGTACAACGTCAGGCATATCATTTATGAAACAAACAAACAACAGCGGGCCCAATACACTACCCTGCGGTACCCCACTTGTTACAGGTACAGATGACGATTTCGTCCATTAATCACCACACATTGCTTGCGGTCATGTAGAAAGTCTTCTATCCACGCTAGGACATTTCCCCGAATTCCGTACCCTTCCAGTTTGATTTTCAGCCTTTCGTGGGGTACACTGTCGAAAGCCTTGGCAAAATCTAGGTAAATATTGTCGATATTACCACCCTCGTTCTATTATGACGCTCCACATTATAACCCTGCAACCACTTTTATAGACACTGAGAATTTGTTCTATTCCAACAAGTTAAACAACCAAGTCACGAAAACGTAGTCAGGAACACACAGATACACAGTCTTACCCAAGGAGGTTTAGTATACGAGTTCTTTCTCTTCATAATCAATGTAATCACTAATCCCATTACGTGGTTGAAGAATTTACTTGTTGAAACACAGTCATAACATAATAACACCAACGACAGATAATCCTGAAAAGAAAACCTCGTCTGGGAACTAAATATGGCCATTATTACTCATAAACTTGTCATTCACTTCAAAAGACGAACACTACCATCTGCCAAGTCAAGGTCAAGTCTAGTTAAGTCCCTCAGTGGGGGGCGGTAAGAGGAGGGGCTGGCTGGGGTGAGTGGTAGCAAGTAAGTCTAGTTAAGTCCCTCTGTGGGGGCGGTAAGAGGAGGGCTGGCTGGGGTGAGTGGGGTAGCAAGTAAGTCTAGTTAAGTCCTCAGTGGGGGGTGGTAAGAGGAGAGGCTGGGTGGGTGAGTGGGCAGCAAGTAAGTCTAGTTAAGTCCCCAGGGGTGGTAGAGGAGGGGCCTGCCTGGGGTGAGGGCAGGTAAGTCTAGTTAAGTCCCCAGTGGGGGTGGAAGAGGAGGCTGGCTGGGGAGTGGGGTAGCAAGTAAGTCTAGTTAAGTCCCTCAGTGGGGGGTGGTAAGAGGGAGGGGCGGCGAGAGGGGTAGCAAGGTCTAGTTAAGTCCCCAGTGGGGTGGTAAGAGGGAGGCTGGCTGGGGTGAGTGGGTAGCAAGTAAGTCTAGTTAAGTCCCTCAGTGGGGGGTAGAAGAAGGAGGGCGGCTGGGGGTGAGTGTAGCAAGTAAGTCTAGTTAAGTCCCTCAGTGGGGTGGAAGAGGGAGGGGCTGGCTGGGGGAGTGGGGTAGCAAGTAAGTCTAGTTAAGTTCCTCAGTGGGGGTAAGAGGAGGCCATGGGGTGAGGTAGCAAGTAAGTCTAGTTAAGTCCCTCAGTGTGGTAAGAAGGAGGGGGCTGGCTGGGGTGAGGCAGCAAGTAAGTCTAGTTAAGTCCTCAGTGGGGTGGTAAGAGGAGGGGCTGCAGGGAGTAGCAAGTAAGTCTAGTTAAGTCCTCAGTGGATTGATTTTGATTTTGCTGCTTGCAGGTTGCTTTATTGTGCACCCCACACTCATCCTGTGAGCGGTAGCGCAAAGGATTACAGAGTAGAGTTTACAAGGGTCATAATAATTAACCCTGGTTGTCAGGATATTATGGCACCGAAAGTTACACAGTATTTCATTTACATTATTTGTTTAGTTCTATACATAAAGGGTAACTTATTCACAAATGCGTGAGAACAGGCGTGTGAGGCAGGTCTGGCCTCACACTTTGTTATTCACATTTACGTGGGAGGTATTCAGGCACATTGCGTATTTGGTTCTGGCATGAGAACTGATATAGTTACTGAGTGCAAAAAAGTGGATACAATCTTAATATGTCGGCTATCTTGCCATTAGAGATGAAGTGTTGTGCCATTTCACACACAGTGTGCTTGGACCTGTCCCAAGGTTCTATCTTCACACAGTCGAGGACGATAAATTCAAGTGTGTGGCTATATATGGCCACACACTTTACATTTAGTTTTGTTTACATCTGCTTGAGGAACATACTGCCAGAGGTACTTATATCCTAACCTTAATCTAGCGGTTACAACATCTTGTAATCTAGTGATCACTTGCTCCATATACATGTTTCACTTGATACATCCTACAACAATA